CCAGGTCCCCAGTTAACCTTGTAAACTCCTTAGGTAACCCAGCAAACTTCCAAGTTCATCCCCAGTTAACTCCCTAGTTTACTGCCAAGTTAACTACCTAGTTACCCTAGTTAACTGCTTTGGGCTCTCGGTTCACGTTTACGGTATTCACTTTGGTGCCTACTCTTCTACTTAGTCTTAGCTTCTCCCTGACCCGGGAAGATCCGGGGTAGAATTGGTCTTCAGCAACCCATGCTTGCCGTTAAAGGTGACTATGTTTGTCGTAAAAGGCGACTAACGGGATTGGGTGATCAGGCTCGCTGACTTGGTCGATGCATGTCATCGACCCCAAATGCTTGGATCGATGCTCATGATGTCAACAGAGACCATATAATAGATTATATGGTCTCTGATGTCAATCACTGGATTGTCTGGTCCAGACTCGATTATTTACAGACCGCCGTCATATAGCTGGAATATTGCTGAGTGCGGCGTTAAACAACAAACCAACCAACCTTAGCTACTCCCCCGACGGTTATGTGCTATACAGTTGAAAAGACATCCAACTAGGACCCTTTGAATCCTGATGATCAGGCAATGGAATTGTTAACATCTCAAAGCACATTTACTGTTAGTGCTTAAATAAAGTTGTTTTAGTTTTAAGCTCTTTTGCTTATGCCTGCCATGCAAAGTGGAGAGGACTGACATGATCTGCGCATGACCGCTAGGAATGCCAGGTCAGCAAGTGCGACTATGGCAACCAGTTATCTGCTGGCCTATATTACGTTGCTTCAGGTCGTGATAAACAGGGGCCCTTTACTCGGCTCTTCTCAGTGATACAGGTCATACCAATATTTGGAGAAATCCACTGTGAAACCGGATTCACTAGTTTCACTACTTTACGTGACTATTACATTGTATAACGCGATCCGGTGGCAGTCGCAACCGTTATGTAATAGTTTTTGGTTTATGTAACTAAAATGTCTATTTACCATAAAAAGTTTTTCTCACAATCAGCCATATTGTACAAATTTATATACTGGGGCATATGTTGGTAAGCTATTTACACATAGTCACTACTCCACTTGCGGCGGCGGTGGCGGTGGTTGTGCCGGCGGCGGTGGTGGTGGTGGTGGTGGTGGTGGTGTGTGGAGGAGTCGATGAACCAAGTCATATCTAGATATAAAGGGGAGGTCGCTTAAAACAAAATCACAGTGTTGAATAAAGTCTGCTCAGATTATTGATTTTCTCTCCTTGCCAAGTCATGAATCATGATAATTGATTTCTTTGTAAGTAACACCTTTTTCACGCGTTATTCTGTCACGCACAAATTGGTGTATATATACATTACCGCTCAACACTAAGTACCTTTTAGAGCAGTACTTTCGCGAAACGTAGGCGGAACTTTCGCACTTGAGTGGATTTGAGCTTTATTTTTTCGGAATTATTGCTTTATGTTTTCGGAATTAAAGGGTTCGCCTTTGTGGTCTTGTAGATAGAGCGTCTGCCCGGAGACGAAGGTTGTGGGTTTGATTATATTCCCGGCCGCGTCGCACCAAAAGACATTGAAAGATGGTACTTGTTGTTACCCTGCCTGACGTTCAGAAGTATTTTTGTATACTTTGTATACTTTGTATACTTTGTATATGGGGCTGAGGCCTCAAGCACAAATAAAGATTGATTGAATTAAGGGGCTAAAACAAAGTTTGGCCGGCTCGGAGTCAGTATACTGTGTCTGAGTGGGATATTCATGTTAAACTGGGGCATGGTATCTCAGTGGGCTACAAAATCGGCCATAGTCCGGACTAGTACAAGCAGCCACACACACACATACACGTGCATGCACGTCGCTATATAAGTGCAATAATCTTGAACGCGACGTTAAAGCCCGTAATGTACACCTGTGGTATCGCGAAATTCTTCACAAGAAGAGGTAGGTACTTGTGAGCAGTAGTGTATCAACCGCCCCTTGTTGTTCAGATTTAGTTTAGATTAGAGCTTCAAATTCAATTTCTAATAGTTTTCTACCAACAGCCTCCCGACCGGCCTTGGTGAACGTAATCTGCCATCTGTATTTTCAGTTAAATGCCCAGAGTTGACGTAGACTTAATAATGTTGGTTAGATCTGTCGACGGAGACATATTGACCTTGTTGTGTACTTGGTTGACAAGAGGTGAGGTGAAATGGGGTTTAACGTCGCGTCCAAGATTATTGCACTTATATAGCGGCGTGCATGTACGTGTGTGTGTTTGTGTGGCTGCTTGTACTAGTCCGGACTGATGCCGATTTATAGTGCTAGCCCACTGAGATACCATACCGCAGTTTAACATGAATACCCCACTCAGACACAGTATACTGACTCCAGTCCTTGTTTTAGCCCCTTAATGCCGAGCGCCAGACAGGGTAACAACAAGTACCATCTTTTAACGTCTTTTGGTATGACGCGGCCCGGGATCGAACCCCGGACCTTCCGCTCTCCGGGCGGACGCTCTACCATTGACCACGGAGGCGGTCACTGCGGCATGGTATATCAGTTGGCTACAAAATCGACATCAGTCCGGACTAGTACAAGCAGCCACACACACGTACATGCACGTTGCTATATAAGTGCAATAATCTTGAACGCTACGTTAAACCCCATTTCACCTCAAAGTAGTTTGGGGCATCAACGTATTGTACACCTGTGGTATCGCGAAATTCGTCACAAGAAGGGGTAGGTACTTGTGAGCAGTAGTGTATCAACCGCCCCTTGTTGTTCAGATTTAGTTTAGATTAGAGCTTCAAATTCAATTTCTAATAGTTTTCTACCAATAGCTTTCCGACCGGCCTTGGTGAACGTAATCTGCCATCTGTATTTTCAGTTAAATGCCCAGAGTTGACGTAGACTTAATAATGTTGGTTAGATCTGTCGATGGAGAATATTGACCTTGTTGTGTACTTGGTTGACAAGAGGTGAGGTGAAATGGGGTTAAACGTCGCGTCCAAGATTATTGCACTTATATAGCGACGTGCATGTACGTGTGGGTGTTTGTGTGGCTGCTTGTACTAGTCCTTACTGATGCCGATTTATAGTGCTAGCTCACTGAGATACTAGCCGCAGTTTAACACTAATACCCCACTCAGACCCAGTATACTGACTCCGAGCCGACCAGTCCTTGTTTTAGCCCCTAAATGCCGAGCGCCAGACAGGGTAACAACAAGTACCATCTTTTAACGTCTTTTGGTATGACGCGGCCGGGAATCGAACCCCGGACCTTCCGCTCTCCGGGCGGACGCTCTACCACTAGACCACGGAGGTTGACAAGAGACCATGTCAATACTCGATATCGCCCTGGCGCCTGTGTATCTACCACCCTTTTATTTTCTCAGTTTAGATTAGATGTTCGAATCCAATTTTACAAACTTTTTCATTGTGTTTGCTCGACAGTGCATTCAGTGGAGATATTGTCCGTTTTACGCTTGTCAGAGGGGTACACAAAGTAAGTGATCTAGACTACCAATCGGACTTTCATTTTTTGTGCACATTCTGAGTGGCTGAGTGGGTTAAATCGTTGACTTTGTGTGCTGGCGATTTGGTGCATCACTCCTAGAAGAAAGAAAGTTCTGAAATTTGTACTTTACGAAGGAAGTGTTATCCCAAATATATCATATGTTACATGTAATGACTTTCTAAATGACATTGTGCATTCAATGTCAACCTGGTTATGCATTACATATTACTATAGCAATTTCCATTCTGTTACACAAGGAAACCAATGGCATCTTTCAATCTGGAACCTAGTGACGTTTTGAACACTGCATTCTCGTAAGCTGCATGTGTTTATGTCTCCGGTTAAAAAAGGCGTTTTGCTGGGATTTTTGTGGGGCGGTCAGGTAGCCTAGTGGTTAAAGCGTTCGCTCGTCACGCCGAAGACCCGGGTTCGATTCCCGACATGGGTAACAACGTGTGAAGCCCATTTCTGGTGTCCCCCGCCGTGATATTGCTGGAATATTGCTAAAAGCGGAGTAAACGAGAAATATGTTCGTTAACTGTCTCAAAACAGGTATTGTTTTCATTCCTGTGGGTTCGGTACTCTAGTTAATAAAACATGTTTGCTCATTCTGGGTGACTAAATGTGTTCGGTCCTGTTGGGTGACATTATGTATTCGGTAATCTGGTTAACTAGAGGTGTTCAGTACTGTGGTTAACTAGAGGTGTTCAGTACTGTGGTTAACTGGAGGTGTTCAGTAGTGTGGTTAACTGGAGGTGTTCAGTACTGTGGTTAACTAGAGGTGTTCAGTACTGTGGTTAACTGGAGGTGTTCAGTACTGTGGTTAACTAGAGGTGTTCAGTACTCTGGTTAACTAGAGGTGTTCAGTACTGTGGTTAACTGGAGGTGTTTAGTACTGTGGTTAACTGAAGGCGTTCAGTACTGTGGTTAACTCGAGGTGTTCAGTACTGCGGTTAACTAGAGGTGTTCAGTACTGTGGTTAACTAGATGTGTTCAGTACTGTGGTTAACTGGAGGTGTTCAGTACTCTGGTTAACTAGAGGTGTTCAGTACCTTGGTTAACTGGAGGTGTTCAGTACTCTGGTTAACTGGAGGTGTTCAGTACTCTGGTTAACTGGAGGTGTTCAGTACTCTAGTTAACTAGAGGCGTTCAGTACTCTGGTTAACTGGAGGTGTTCAGTACTGTGGTTAACTAGAGGTGTTCAGTACTCTGGTTAACTGGAGGTGTTCAGTACTCTAGTTAACTTTAGGTGTTTAGTACTCTAGTTAACTAGAGGTGTTCAGTACTCTAGTTAACTTTAGGTGTTTAGTACTCTGGTTAACTTTAGGTGTTCAGTACTCTGGTTAACTTTAGGTGTTCAGTACTCTGGTTAACTGGAGTTGTTCAGTACTCTGGTTAACTGGAGGTGTTCAGTACTCTGGTTAACTAGAGGTGTTCGGTACTCTGGTTAACTGAACGTGTTCTGCCCGTCCAAAGCCACATTAACACAACCCACCAATCAAGTATGTCTAACATGTCCTGTTGTTGTAGATCATCTCCCTGGCGCTGATTGCTGTGGGGGCGATCCTCAAGTTCTTCCCTGGGATGCTCATGTCGTTCCTCATGGCCGGCATCTCGTCGGTGTCTGGATTCAGCAAACCCGGAAGTTCTGCTGACTTGACCTCGATTCCCCTCATCGATGACCTGGGCGTCGCACTTCTTGTCTTTGGAGCCGTTCTGTTCCTGATTTCGTTCCTGGCATGTTGTGGAGCCTGTTGCAAGTGGAGGCCGTTTCTTGTCGTAGTAAGAACATTCGTGGGTTCGAATCCAAGATTCGTCCTGACTTCATTCTTTGTTGGGGCGGTCGGGTAGCCTAGTGGTTAAAGCGTTCGCTCGTCACGCCGAAGACCCGGGTTCGATTCCCGACATGGGTACAATGTGTGAAGCCCATTTCTGGTGTCCCCCGCCGTGATGTTGCTGGAATATTGCTAAAAGCGGCGTAAAACCACACTCACTCACTCACTCATTCTTTGTTGTCGGCACCGTATCTGTTCTCGTGGGTCTCTCTGAACATGTACACGTTATTTGCTCCTGCATTCAACAGACACGCCGTGATATAACTGAAAAACTGTTCAAATGGCGTTTACCTCACTCACTCTTTCTCAGCCAGAGAGACTTGTAGCTCGGTCATTATTTATTTATTTTCTGAGAGTTTATAACTTATTGAACTGGAGGTTTACACTTTACATGTTCAGCATGCTGTTTGTTTTTTCATGAAATTGTGTGTATAAATATGTTCAGTATATAAATCGTCAAGCAGCGTGCGTACCAAATATACGAAAATGCTTTGTCTGAAAATAATTTTTTTTGGAACAATTTTGAACATTCGACAATAATAACGATGGTGAGCTTCAGTGCCTTGTGTATTGGTAATGGAACAAAGGCAACGAGACGAACGGGTGAGAGAGTGAGTTGCGCGTAACGCCGCTTTTAACAGTATTCCAGTTATATCGCGGCGTGTCAGCTTAATGTGGGAGGAAAGCCCGAAGTGATGCAGGTCTCAGACGTTTATCACTTCGGTGAAACCCACGAGCACAGGTATGGTGCTGACAAAGCTGGAAACATAATCGGGGCGAACCGGGATTCGAACCCACAATCATAGGTTTCTGGCGTGCCCAAGAGACGCAACTCTGCACAGCGAATCGCGGCGCCTTAGACGACTGGGCCACCCCTGCCCCCGACGAAAGGGTGACGTTGACATAGCCGAAGTGTATGTATGTGGAGACCACTGGGTATACAGGCAGGCATCTTCCAACAGTCTAGGGCGGTGGGGTAGCCTGGTGGTTAAAGCGTTTGCGAGGGTCCGGGTTCGCTTCCCGACTTGAATATTGTGAAAATCGGTGTTAAAGCAAACTCACTCACTCACTCACTCACTCACTCACTGCCCTCTGTATTGCCAGATACAGCTTCCGTGACTAGGCCGTGACTGTGTGTGGTACTGTTGTTGTTTGAGAGCTACCTGGATGCCTGCTGGGTTTCCGAGACCACAGGGTTACCTTCAAGACATTAACATTCTCAAGTACAGTGTCGACATACACATTTAATATTGTTGTTCAGAACTGTCGATGAGGACATATACTGACTGTTGTTTTTTTCTTTGCTGACAAGTTTGTAGTGTCTATGACAATACTCATCATCACCCTGGCGACGGTAGGGGGACTCTTCCTGACCAAGACGTCCACAGTGAGTAGCCGTACACTCATGTATGTGTGTGTGTGTGTGTGTGTGTGTGTGAGTGTGTGAGTGTGTGTGTGTGTGTGTGTGTGTGTGTGTGTGTATGTGTGTGTATGTGTGTGTGTATGTGTGTGTAGGATGTGTGTGTGTGTGTATTTGTATGTGAAGGATGTGTGTGTGTGTGGTGTATAATGTGTGTGTATGTGTGTGAGTCTGTAGGATGTGTGTGTGTGTATGTCTGTGTGTGTGTGGTGTATAATGTGTGTGTGTGTGGTGTATAATGTGTGTGTGTGTGGTGAGTAATGTGTGTGTGGTGTATGTATGTGTGTATGTGTGTGTGTATGTGAATGTGTGTGGTGTGTAATATGTGTGTGTATGTGTGTGTGTATGTGTGTGTATGTGTGTGCGTATATGTGTGTGTATGTGTATGTGCGTGTGTGTGTATGTGTGTGTGTATGTGTGTTTGTGTATGTGTGTGTATGTGGTGTGTGTTGGTGTGTTTGTGGTGTGTCTGTGTGGTGTGTGATGTGTGTATATGTGTGTGATGTGTGTGTATGTGTTTGTGATGTGTGTGTGTGATGTATATGTATATGTGTGTGATGTGTGTATGTGTTTGTGATGTGTGTGTGGTCTCTTTGGTGTGTGTTTGTGCTATGTGTCTGGTGTGTGTGTGGTGTGTGTGTATGTGTGTGTATATGTGTATGATGTGTGTGTATGTGTTTGTGATATGTATGTATGGTGTGTGTTTATGTGTGTGTATGTGTCTGTTATGTGTGTGTATGTGTGTGTATATGTGTGTGATGTGTGTGTATGTATGTTTGTGATATGTGTTTGTAGGTGTGTGTGTGATGTGTTTGTATGTGTGTATGGTGTGTGCATATGTGTGTGATGTGGGTGTATGTGTGTGTATATGTGTGTGATGTGTGTGTATGTGTTTGTGATGTGTGTGTATGTGGTGTGTGTTGGTGTGTGTATATGTGTGTGATGTGTGTGTATGTGTTTTGGATGTGTGCGTGTGGTGTGTCTTGGTATGTGTTTGTGGTGTGTGTATATATGTGTGATGTGTGTGTATGTGTTTGTGATGTGTGTGGTGTGTGTATATATGTGTGTGATGTGTGTGTATGTGTTTGTGGTGACTGTCTATGATGTGTCTCTTTTCTCCAATGTTTCGAAACTGTATCTATATCAGTAGGGTATCTATGAGTCGAAGTCAAAACTAAGCATAACACTGGGCAGAAGTACGTCAAAAACACTTTCGTGCCAGATACGTATGATTTGGGGTTTGAATCCCGTTAAACCTTCACTAAATCCTCTACGTTTATGGGGCGGTCGGGTAGCCTAGTGGTTAAAGCGTTCGCTCGTCACGCCGAAGACCCGGGTTCGATTCCCGACATGGGTACAATGTGTGAAGCCCATTTCTGGTGTCCCCCGCCGTGATATTGCTGGAATATTGCTAAAAGCGGCGTAAAACCATACTCACTCACTCACTCACTCTACGTTTATGTCCAGCTGCACAGCTCAATCAGGACCAGTCTCAAGACGAAGGTTCGGAATGAGTACCAGGGACCAGAAAGCGAAGACATCTTCTCCCTCATCATCAACGTCCTCTCCTACGGCGTCAGTAACATTCAAGATCCTTGCCACTCCTCATTGTGATGTCAAAACCTCCATTTCCATGCGTGACATGACAGCCATTTATTTAATCATTTGTTCATCTCAAATACACTCAGAGTCCGTTGGTCGTTGATTCAAATCTAATCGCGCCATGAATATGATTCTTAGTCAGCAAATATGTCCGTCGTCGTGAACTTCATCAAAGAACGGTTCGCCGCGATCATGTTTCTAGGTTTGTCAGCACCATACCCGTGCTCGTGGGTGTGTGTGCATCACTTCGGGCTTTCCTCCCACATTAAGCTGACACGCCGCGATATAACTGGAATACTGTTAAAAGCGGCGTTAAACCCAACTCACTCACTTATCAAAGAAGACTTGCGACTCTATAAAGCAACACTCCTATATCAAGCTGTCACACTGCTACATAAATAAAAGACTGCATAAAATCAAATTCACTCACTCACACGCGCTTGATTGGGTCAAACTCCCGTGAATAAATTCACGATGACTCACTGTCTCATCCGCACACTGAATCACTGTCTCACCCACACACGGACTTACTGTCTCACCCACACACTGAATCACTGTCTCACCCACACACTGACACACGGTCTCAACCACACACTGAATCCCAGTCTCACCCACACACGGACTCACTGTCTCACCCACACACTGACTCACTGTCTAAGCCACACACTGAATCTCTGTCTCGCCCACACACTGACACACGGTCTCACCCACACACTGACACACGGTCTCACCCACACACTAAATCACTGTCTCACCTTTCCATACAGTTCCAGTGTTGCGCCATTAACGGCCCCGACGACTTCGACCCCAAAGCTTCCTGGAGGACCTACACCTATGGCATCCACACCGTCACTGTCGACGTGTCCCCGGCATGCTGTATACCGGAAGTACTCAAGACCGACACTCAACTTGACTGTGCCAAGGAGAATGGCGCCGGAGAATTTGACTTGAAGAAAACCAATACACAGGCGGGTACCTTACGCTTAATCTGTTAAACTGTTTATAGATTCCAAGATTGTCCGAACACAATGCCCTCCAGTATCACGTGTATTATGTACACTTCCGGACAAAAGAAGATGCACAACCATGCATGATGGTGGCTAGAAAGGAAACAAACAAGTCGTTATCGATGGGGATGTTATAAGGAGAGTGAAGCGGGTACTGTCACGATCAGTTTGAGTTGCTACACAGATACCAGACATTCAGCCTAGCAACGCTTTGACAACGTTTGTAATTTTGCGATCAAGTGTGTACTTTCTTTTGCCCGTAAGAGGCGAGTAAAAGGATCGGGTGGTCAAGGTCGCTGAGTTGGTTGATGCACGTCATCTATCCGAATTGCGCGGATCAATGCTCATGATATCAATCACTGGATTATTTACAGACCTCCGTCATACAGCTGTTATATTGCTGAGTGCGGCGTTAAACAAACAACCAACCATTGACCGTGTATGCTTAAGGAATAGGAGTCACGTCAGTTGTGGTGCTACGATCGCTTCATGGGACAAAACCCTGGACTTTCAGTGACTGTTATGACCCGTGAAGATCTGGGTTAGAATAGGTCTTCAGCAACCCATGCTTGTCGTAAAGGTGACTATGCTTGTCGTAAAAGGCGACTAACGGGATCGGGTGGTCAGGCTCGCTGACTTGGTTGATACATGTCATCGATCCCAATTGCGTAGATCGATGCTCATGATGTCAATCACTGGATTGTCTGGCCCAGACTCGATTATTTTACAGACCGCCGTCATATAGCTGGAATATTGCTGAGTGCGGCGTTAAACAAACAACCAACCATTGATCGTGTATGCTTAAGGAATAGGAGTTACGTCACTTGTAGAGCTACGATCGCTTCATGGCACAAAACCCTGGACTTTCAGTGACTGTTGTGTTGTTTCCAGGGCTGCTATGACAAGATCCTGAAGCTGGTGGAGGACAACCAGTTGTACGCCATCTTGGGCCTCGTGGGGCTGCTGCTGCTGCTGGTGAGACCATCACTCCTGTCGTGGATTGTGAGGGAGGTAGATTTTACGCCGCTTTGAACAGTATGTCGGTAACATCACGGCTTGTCAGCTTTTCTGAAACCCACGAGCACGGGTGTGGTGTGGACAAACCTAGAAACAAAATCAGGGTTGGCGGGATCCGAACCCCTGATCATGGCTCCTGGCACGCCAAGGGGAAGCAACTCTGTACAGAGAATTACTGTGCCTCAGACAACTGAGCAGCCCGTGCCTCTTGCAAGGCAAGTAGAGAGGGGTTCAAGATATGTTATACTGAAAAGTGTCGTATACACCGCCTTTAGATGGCGATCACACCGTTTCGTGGCCCTGTTTCGAACAATGAACGATCGCTGTATTAAGGGTATACCTTATATATGTTTATTGTGTGCATCAGACGGAGGGTGAGAAGTGATACGTCTATGAAGACATAAAGGGGAAAAGACAGGGGGCAGGCTGTGGATGGAACGCTCCATAAATATTTTTTTTCAAAGTTCTCATTTACATCTTAAAATACACGACATTCCATTCCCCACATGGGTACATTGTGTGAAGCCCATTTCCGGTGTCCCCCGCCGTGTTATTGCTGGAATATTGCTAAAAGCGGCGTGAAACCATACTCACTCACTCACTCTTGAAGCTAAGATGCATTATGTATCAACAAACACGAGCGGACACTATAACAAATTTTCAAGTGCAATCTTTCTAGGCTCGGCAGTTTATATCCTGGGTCTGGTGCTGCCTCTACGTAGCACACGAAAAAGCTTGTAATGGCTGAAAACATGTCTTCTTAATGATTTCATTCCAATTCGTTTATTTTCAGTTGCTGGAAGTTATTTTCTCCATCGTTCTCATCATAGACATAAACAACAAGGCCAAAGTAGGACCCATCTAACCGACCGCTGGAGTACAGGCCTACAGCTGAACAAAGTGGGATTTTATGAGTGCTTGCAGTTGTGTTTGATTTCGCTTAACAGATATTTGCAAATGTCGTTATGTTCATCGATAGACTGCATTCTCTCTCCGTTTATCCTTAGAGAAGCGGAGCGTGGTATCAAAATCTTGGTGCACGTAAGGATTCTATCGTTACTAACTATCTATGAAGATTGTACTAACCAAGTTTCACTGTGCTAGGTTTTATGGGTTTGATGTCTGATCATGGTGGCTCCGGGCGGTCGGGTAGCCTAGTGGTTAAAGCGTTCGCTCGTCACGACGAAGACCCGGGTTCGATTCCCGACATGGGTACAATGTGTGAAGCGCATTTCTGGTGACCCCCGCCGTGATATTGCTGGAATATTGCTAAAAGCGGCGTAAAACGATACTCACTCACTCACTCATGGTGGCTCCAAGGCTCCGAGGCTCCCATCCATTAAGAATTACCGTCTCGCTTATTACACTATGTACTGTAACATTGACAAGCCCCATGAGAAGCGAGGTTCCTAATCACCACTGAAATCATTTGGGCTATTAATGAGGGATCGTTTAATCAGAGGTGAGGTGAAATGGGGTTTAACGTCGCGTCCAAGATTATTGCGCTTATATAGCTACGTGCTCGACGTGTGTGTGTTTGTGTGGCTGCTTGTACTAGTCCGGACTGATGCCGATTTATAGTGCTAGCTCACTGAGATTCCATGCCGCAGTTTAACATGAATATCCCACTCAGACACCGTATACTGACTCCGAGTCGACCAGTTCTTGTTTAAGACCCTTAATGGCGAGCGTCAGACAGGGTAACAACAAGTACCATCTTTTAACGTCTTTTGGTATGACGCGGCCGGGGATCAAACCCCGGACCTTCCGCTCTCCGGGCGGACGCTCTACCACTAGACCACGGAGGCGGTCTTATTGGGCTTCGAAATAAGCCCAATATCCTCGCCATAATAATGAGGTATGTGCTATATAGTTAATTAGGTACAAGTGTTGGCCATTCACTCTCTGGTCACTGACTGGTCACTATCTGGTCACTGACTGGTCACCAACACTCTGTGTTCTAGTGGAGGTCCTGCTCAATTAAAGACTTGTGAGTGAGTATGGTTTTATGCCGCTTTTAGCAATATTCAAGCAATATCACGCGGGGGGCACCAGAAATGGGCTTCACACGTTGTACACATGTTGGGATTCGAACCCGAGTCTGTGGCGCGACGACCGAATGCTTTTACCACTAGGCTACCCGACCGCCCCCAATTAAAGACGAAAGTCTTTATATCTACACATGCTTGGGCTGAGGTTATATTTAAAAAAATACTTTTAGCTAAAAAAACAACTGGGGGTAGACTGCAGTATTTGGGTTCCTAAACCGGAACGAACATTTTTACGTTTTTACGGAAGTTGTCGAATGGAAAACGTTCCACGCATGCGCAGTTCGTTATTTATGGTCGAAGCGAGAGGGTGTATAGGCCGCCATTTTGTTTTATCGAACGTTGTCTTCAGATCAGTATTTTCTTACACAGACAACACAGGGGGGTCCGAAATATTAAAGTACAAAAACGGGAGGTAAAGGGGGATGTAGCCCCCCTTTTTCAAATAAATAGAACTACGGTAAGTTCACACTGTGTCCAGAAAAAAATATTTTGTTAGACGGACAATACAACTGGGAACAAGTCCTAATTTTGTTGTTGTTGGAAAGTCTATCTTTGGGGGCAAAAAGAAAGAAAAATAAGTATTAACGCTTCATTACTATTGTAGCTGACACTGAAGTAATAAATAACTTATGCAGACTATCTACACGTTATTCTTGTAGTAAATCCCGGTGTTTGATATACAATGTTTAATTAACAACATGAAACTATGTATAGATAAATAAATAAAACTTTAAATATTCAATGCCCTTATAACCTTTATTACTGTACTTGTGCTGTTATGATTCTAGATGGAGTAAGCAATATATATATTTAATAATATAGAAGATGAATATAACTTTTCACTTGTTTGTCCATGTAATGTTGACATTAAAAACCAATTCATTAATGAGTGTATACAATTTTACTTACTAATGAAGACTAAAATACTGTCACAATAATAAATTTGTCAATGTTTATTTTCCGTGCCATGACTCTTAGAAAGCATGCACTTACTCAACGACTGGATGTAAAATAACAGTTATCATGGCTATTGATGTATAGTCTTGTGTATCAATGTACCCTCAATCTCTTGCCTTCTCTGTACAGTAAACTACGGTTATAACGAACTCAAAGGGACCACCAATTTTAGTTCGTTATAACCGTAGTTCGTTATAAGCAGATATATAGCATAAATACAACAAATGGCCGGGACTAAAAAATAGGTTCGTTATATCGGTCAGTTCGTTATAAGCGTGTTCGTTATAACCGTAGTTTACTGTACTTAGAAACATAGATTGATTGATAGAGTAAGCATGACTTGTCAAGGACCTTTTTGTCTCGGTTTCACTATGGAGACGTGATACGGCTTAAGTCTGTTTTAATATCTTATCTTATCTTATCTTATTATGACCACTTGTTTATACATACTCATACTTAAACAGTTGGTTGTGCTGTGAGTGGTGATACGCATCCTGAAAACATTCCGTCCTAGTTGAATATTTTGTGAAGTGACATATACATTTTTTTTTTACTATTTTGTTACAGATTCCCTGTTTATGTGATATGGCGTTTAATATTTTCGAACATCATTTTAGAAAGCATATTTTGAATAAACATATAAGAATAAAGTTTTCATATACAATAGCGTGCCTTCTGTCGTGTATAGAGCCCTCTCTCTCTCTCTCTCTCTCTCTCTCTCTCTCTCTCTCTCTCTCTCTCTCTCTCCCTCTCTCTGTGTCTCTCTGTCGATCTGTAGAAAGTGAACTATAGGAACTGTAGAAATGATTCATAAGAGACCTATACAAACGAGGTCTTTGGAAGTCAAACGAGGTCTTTGGAAGTCATACGAGGTCAATGGAAGACAAACGGGGTCTATGGAAGTCAAACGAGGTCTATGGAAGACAAACGAAGTCTATTGAAGTCAAACGAGGTCTATGGAAGTCAAACAAGGTCTTTGGAAGGCAAACGAGGTCTATGGAAGACACACGAGGTCTGTTTAACACAAACGAGGTCTATTGAAGACAAACGAGGTCTCTTGAAGACAAATGAGGTCTCTTGAAGACAAACAAGGTCTATTAAAGACAAACGAGGTCCATTGAAGACAAACGAGGGATATTGAAGAAAAACGAGGCCTATTGAAGACAAACGAGGTCTATTGATGACAAACGAGGTCTCTTGAAGACAAATGAGGTCTATTGAAGACAAACAAGGTCTATTAAAGACAAACGAGGTCCATTGAAGACAAACGAGGGATATTGAAGAAAAACGAGGCCTATTAAAGACAAACGAGGTCTATTGATGACAGACGAGGCCTATTGAAGACAAACGGGGTCTATGGAACACAAACGAGGTCTGTGGACGGCAAACGAGGTCTATGATAGACACAAGGAATCTATTGAAGACAAAAGAGGCCTATTAAAGACAAACGAGGCCTATTGAAGACAAACGAGGTCTATTAAAGACAATTATAAATATAAATGGGAGACATGCGTAAAACACAGAAGAAGAAAAAAAGAGAGTGAGTGAGTATGGTTTTAAGCCGTTTTTAGCAATATTCCAGCAATACCACGGCAGGGGACACCCGAAATGGTGTAATTTACACATGGTACCCATGGGGGGGGGGGGGGGGGGGGGGGAGTGTCATCGTGTGGGACGGCATCAGTCATAACCATCGAACAGAACTCCATGTTTGTCTTGGAAGAGTTAATGCCCTTTACTACAGGAATAACATATTGGCAAATCACGTCATCCCATTCTTTCATCAGCACCAGGATATGCACACCTTCCAGCAAGATAATGCAAGAGCGCACACAGCACGTGTTTCAACACAGTACCTAGCGAACAATAATGTGCCTCTGCTTCCATGGCCAGCCCTGTCACCCGATCTATCGTAAATTGAACATCTATGGGATTACCTGGGTCAACGCCTCTCACGTCGTCCGCAAGTACAGAACCTGAGAGAACTTGAAGATACACTACGTCAAGAGCGGAATGCCCCAGAACACTATTCGCAGACTTATTCGATCAATGAGAAGACGTTGCATGGCCTGAGTTGCTGCACATGGCGGACATACTAGATATTGACTTTTCATTTTAACCCTATGTGTCTTCCTTACACTGATGACGTAATTGTAATTACTGTGTGGTATTCCTGTTTCCTTTGTCGTCTTTCTTAATAATCCGTCTATGTCTGTTCTAATTAAAATCGGTCATTGCTCAAGTTGTTTTTGTAATATTTCAAGATTTATTGCTGGTGCGTTTTCAATGCTGTTCAGTATATAAGTAAAAGTTCACATAGTTATAACACTGATGAACACGCCAAGGCAGGCTCGACCACAGCATCGCGACGACAGCGGGTCCCAGTACCTGGCAGGTGCACATACCAGGTCAATGGACACAGAATTAAAGCCAATTGCAGGTGCGGTGAAGCCCCCAATACATAACATGCCTGACCCCTACATTAGCCTAGACACATGGGGATCCCCTCTGGCCGATATGTATTGAACAGATTAAATGATTAAATTAAATATTAAATACACATGAGAAACATTAAAGAGTAATTAAATCGACAGAAGACGCGATATCTCTGGAAGATCCCCGGAAGACAAACTATCTTGCCTCACCGAAGCCCTTGAATAATGAAGCTGTGATGCCCGACGATAGCGACAATTGACAAGACATTCCAAATAACACGTCTGAGGCGAATGTGCCCTAGCTATTTTATTTCAGCACATAGCCCTAGGCAGATCAAACCTTACCATAAGGTGAGGTGAAATGGGGTTTAACGTCGCGTCCAAGATTATTGCACTTATATAGCGACGTGCATGTACGTGTGTGTTTGTGTGGCTGCTTGTACTAGTCCTTACTGATGCCGATTTATAAATTATAGTGCTAGCTCACTGAGATACCATGCCGCAGTTTCACATGAATACCCCACTCAGACACAGTATACTGACTCCGAGCCGACCAGTCCTTGTTTTAGACCCTTAATGCCGATAAGTACCATCTGTTACCGTCTTTTGGTATGACGCGGCCGGGCATCGAACCCCGGACCTTCCGCTCTCCGGGCGGACGCTCTACCACTAGACCACGGATGCGGTCCCTTACTATAAGACATTACCATCTAAGTTGATAGGAGCACCAACGGTACGAATTGTCTATAGTTAATACTGTAATTTCCCGAGGCTCTGTGAGGTGAGGTGAAATTGGGTTTAACGTCGCGTCCAAGATTATTGCACTGTTATAGCCTGAGGCTCTGTGTTTTATGTTCATTTGGATCACGTGCTTACATGGAACATACGTACATCCCAGGTGTATATGGACTTGTTTTCATGTTTGTTTGTTTGTTTATTTACACTGATGACTGATTGATGACTAGTGATTGATAAACAGTGATTGATGACACCAGTGATCGATAACCAATGATTGGTGACCAGTTATTGATGACCAGTGGTTGATGACACGTGATAGATGACACCACTGATTGATGTCACCAGTGATCGATAACCTGTGATTGATGACCAGTTATTGATGACCAGTGATTGATGACCAGTGATTGAAGACCAGTTGTTGATGACCAGTGATTGATAACCAGTGATTGATCCCAAGTGATTGATGATCAGTGATTGATGACAAGTGATTGATGACCAGTGCTTGATGACCAGTGCTTGATGACCAATGCTTGATTGCTATGCTTGAGGTGAGTGGTGTTAATAGATAAAAGACTCAAGCAGTCTCAATCATAACAAAACGTACACAATATCTCACATTTCCTCACCACTGGATCGCCGTCATTTAGCTGAAATATTGCTGAGTGAGGTGTCAAACAACAAACAAACAAAAAGCAAACAGATTATAATTAATAATTTGACACTTGACAATTTGACAAGAATACTTGATTTGGACTGCTGAAAATATAATTAAAATCAGGTATCTAAATCCATTAGATACTTCAAAATTAACAAGAATTTTCATATAAAAAACTTCGGAATGACTAAATCGATCTTTTCCACTACGAACCCATGCATATAAATTGTCGATTAGAAATAAAGCGCTCAGTTCCAATGAAAATAATAGGTCTCCAATCTTCAGTTAGCTAGCTAGACCACCTCAATTTTCAAAACACAATAGGTTTATCTCTTAATTTGAAACATTGTTCCAAAAACGTTACGATGCATCCGAAACAAACAGGAACGGGTGAAAAAATCTCGATATTACTTTCAACTTCATGTTGGAAAGAAGGAAAGGACTGCTTCAAGTTCATGAGGGGGCACGGGTGGCCCAGTCGTCTAAGGCGCCGCGATTCGCTGTGCAGAGTTGCGTCCCTTGGGCACGCCAGAAACCTATGATTGTGGGTTCGAATCCCGGTTCGCCCCGATTATGTTTCTAGGTTTGTCAGCACCATACCCGTGCTCGTGGGTTTCACCGAAGTGGTAAACGTCTAAGACCTGCATCACTCCGGGCTTTCCTCCCACATTAAGCTGACACGCCGTGATATAACTGGAATATTGTTAAAAGCGGCGTTAAACCCAACTCACTCACTCACTCACTCAAGTTCATGATGATAAAAGGGTGATCACTGTAATCGTATGTGACATGCGTAAACCTTGTTTACTCTTCATGTATCACCTGTTACACCCCTGTGTGAAACTTGCTTGTTTTCCAAAACAAGGATATGCATGTACATACAGGTGATCAATACACACTGGTGACACAGTGGAGAATAATTATTAAGGCATAGACTCGTATATTGACGACAACGAGAGGTTCAAGCTGGTGTCACAGGGTTGTGGGCAACCGATAAAACAGACAAAACAGATGAAACAGACAAAACAGATGAAACAGACAAAACAGATAAGACAAGAAACAGATAATACAGATAAACAGATAAAACATGGCAGACAAACGGGTAAAACAGACAAACGGATAAAGGAGGCAATCAGGTTAAACAGACAAACAGGTAAAGCAGATAACCCGATAAAACAGACAAACAGGTAGACAGATAACGCAGAGAAACAGGTGAAACAGATAAACAGGCAAAACAGATAAACAGACAAACAGATAAACAGATAAACAGATAAACAGATAAAACAAAGCAGACAAACAGGGAAAACAGACAAACAGGTAAAACAGACAAATGGATAGAGAAGACAAACAGATCAAGAGGTCAAACAGACAAACAGGTTAAACATAGAAACAGGTAAAACAGATTAACAGATAAAGAAGACAAACAGATAAAACAGATAAACCGATAAAACAGACAAACAGGTAAAACAGACAACCAGGTAGACAAATAAACAGGCAAAGCAGATAAACAGATACATGGGTAAACAGATCAACAGATAAAGAAGACAAACAGATAAACAGACAAACAGGTAAAACAGATCAACAGATAAAGAAGACAAACAGATAAACAGACAAACAGGTAAAACAGATAAACAGATAAAGAAGACAAACAGGTAAAACAGACAAACAGATAAAACAGACACACAAATAAAGAAGGCAATCAGTTTAAACAGACAAACGGCTAAAACAGACAAATTGATAAAGAAGACAAACAGATCAAGAAGATAAACGGATAAACAGACAAAGAGCTAAAATAGAGAAACAGGTAAAATAGACAAACAGATAAAGAAAACAAACAGATAAACAGACAAACAGGTAAAACAGACAAACAGGTAAAACAGACAAACAGGTAAAACAGATTAACAGATGAAGAAAACAAACAGGCAAGGCAGATAAACAGACAAACAGATAAAGCAGACAAACAGGTAAAACAAAGCAGACAAACAGGTAAAACAGACAAAGGGGTACACCAGACAAACAGATAAAGAAGACAATCAGGTTAAACAGACAAACAGGTAAAACATAGAACCAGGTATAACAGATTAAAATATAAAACAGATAAAGAAGACAAATAGGTAAACAGACAAACAGGTAGACAGATAAACAGGTAAAACAGATAAACAGATGAACAGGTAGAAAGATAAAGCAGACGAACGGGTAAAACAGACAAACAGGTAAAACAGACAAACAGGCAAAACAGATAAACAGGTAAAACAGACAAATATGTAAAACAGATAAACAGACAAACAGGTAAAACAAAGAAGACAATCAGGTTAAACAGATAAACAGGTAAAACAGACAAATATGTAAAACAGATAAACAGACAAACAGGTAAAACAAAGCAGACAAACAGGGAAAACAGACAAACAGGTAAAACAGACAAATGGATAGAGAAGACAAACAGATCAAGAGGTCAAACAGACAAACAGGTTAAACATAGAAACAGGTAAAACAGATTAACAGATAAAGAAGACAAACAGACAAAACAGATAAAACAGACGAACAGATAAAGCAGACAAACAGATAAAACACACAAACAGGCAAAATAGACAAAGCGATAAACAGACAAATATGTAGACAGATAAACAGGTAAAACAGATAAAGAGACAGACGGATAATACAGACAAACAGGTAAAACAGACAATCAGGTAAAGCAGAAAAACAGATGAAACAGACAAACAGATAAAGAAGACCAACAGGAAAAACAGATTAACAGATAAAGAAGATAAACAGGTAAAACAGACAAACAGACAAACAAGTAAAACAGATAAACAAACAGATACACGCATTTAAGGTTGTCTTAAGCAGTATGACTTAAAGAATACATTTAACGGCTTTTTCGGAACTTTTCATAACCAATCCCAAATTCATAAATACAGCTCTTAGAAATATATCAGGGACGTTTGCGAGATATATCAGAGCCCCGTTTCACGAAACGAAGGTGCCGCTACGATTCTCGCAATTCTTTGTTAAACTTTGACCACCGAGTGAACCAGAATCGTTGATCATGGTCTGGCCAGTAACTCACGCACGATAGGAATCGCCCATCCCAACACGCCACTGTATCAAGCGACATTGCCTTGCATACATTAGGGCGGGAATGTCAACGGTCGACGTATTGGATATCAACCCGTATTATCATGTGAACAATTTATCAGATTACTTTCCTATAACAGATTACTATACTACTTAACTTTTGATAGGGATATTGTTTATCTTTCCATGATGCACGTAATATGTCAAGTGTGTGTTTAAATATAACTAATATATATGATGATCAAAAGGTTTGTTTTTTTAACGCCGCACTCATCAGTATTCCAGCTATATGACGTCGCTCTGTAAATAATCGAGCCTGGGTCAGTTAATCCAGTGATTGACATCACGAGCAACTGGGATTCGATGACCGCAACAACCAAATCAGCGAGCTTGACCACCAGATTCCGTTAGTTGCATGTTAAGATTGGTTGGTTGGTTTGTTGTTTTACGCCGCACTCAGCAATATTCCAGCGGTCTGTAAATAATCGAGTCTGGACCAGACAATTCAGTGATTGACATCATGAACATCGATCCACGCATTTGGGATCGATGACTTGCATCAACCTAGTTATCGAGTCTGACCACCTGGTCCGTTAGTCGCCTCTTACGACAAACATGGTCGCCTTTTACGGCAAGCATGGGTTGCTGAAGACCTATTCTTCACGGGTCCCTATCAACAATTGAGCAGTATATCAATGTAAACGACACAAGTATCGTTAGTTATATTTTTATCGAATAAGAAAAGAAACAGTTGTTAGAGCTAAATATTGATTTGCATATTTTCTGCTTATATGATGACCTACGAAAAAAACGTTATCAACGCCGTTATCAACTACCACACCGCTGTGATATGATACTGTCATATCGACTCGGCCATTGAGACAGGCTGTGTTGTCAGTCACACCAGGACTTGTAATGCATGCTCTGTACCGAGGTATCGCTATCACCTATATGTGCGCTCCGAATGCGTAGATAACCAGAGTCCCACTGTCACCTGAGTGACAAGAGAGGGGTGTTATAACAGCCGTATACGCGATGGGGTTATTCTCAAGTCTAGGACAATGTGTGCTGGTTCTGTTGAACATTATTTTCGTGGTAAGTACAAAATACGTTGTTCATGACATGTTACATCGATCACCACGAGATGTAGGTGGTAGTGATGGTGGGGTAACAGGTGTCTGGAGTCTGGTCGAAGAGGATGGGCGAAGTCTGGGAAACAATTTGAAATGTTTCAGATGTTTTCAAATTATTGACGACAAATATAGATAAAAATTGAAAGGAAAGTTTTCATTTCGTGTTCTATTTAGTGATATAAATTGTAAAACAATGAACATGTCTCTCGATGGTGTGGGATCATCATCATCATCATCATCTTCATCCTCATCCTCATCCTCAACATCAACATCATCATCATCATCATCATCTTCATCATCAACATCAACATCATCATCATCATCATCATTATTATTATTATTATTATTATTATTATTATTATTATTATTATCGTGTGTCCATGTTAGCGTACACTCACTTACCCATTAAGATCCGGGTGAGAATAGGACTTAAGCAACCCATGCTTGCCCTGAAAGGCGACTATAGTTACTGTAAGAGACAACTAACGGGATCGGGTGGTCAGGCTCGCTGACTTGGTTGATACATGTCATCGTATCCCAAATGCGTGGATCGATGTTCATGATGTCAATCACTGGACTGTCTGGTCCAGACTCGATTATCTACAGATCGCCCTCATGAAGCTGGAATACTGCTGAGTGCGGCGTTAAACAACAACCAACCACTTACCGAAGTGTCCCGAAGGGTGTCCGAGTTAGAATATGTCCCCAGGAACATTTGCAGGTCGTAAGAGGCGACTGGGTTGATCAGGTGGCAAGGCGCGGCGACGTGGATTGTTTCTCATAATATTAATCACTGGTGTGTCTGATCAAGGTACAGTTATGTACAAGCCGCCGACATATTGCTGAAATATTGCTGAGCGCGGCGTTAAACGAATCCCGAATATAATCCATTTTGGATTGACATTCAATGTGCCTAATTGCCGACAATTGCTTATTTAGTCATCTATAGGAGGGAGTCACATATACTCGTGCAGTGTTAGACAGATCAGCTTGCCCGTAAGCCAGGGGCTAGTGATAATCCACACGGACCAGTGTAATGTGACACTTTGAGCAAACGTGCTTGAAGATGTATGATTGTGAATCTATTGTCTGCTTACTCGTGATATGAGCAGTTAAGACAAATCAAAAGAGCAAGTGCCGGTAGAGAGGGCAATACATCTGTGTTTGCCTGGCGTACAACAACCTCGATCATCCAGTCACAACGGCTATCATGATAAGTGCCCTGGACTCTCTCTCTCTCTCTCTCTCTCTCTCCCCCCCCCCCCCCACCCCACCCCCCGCACCCCACCCCACCCCACAGCTTCGGCGGTGGGGCCACGAAGCTTAAAATCCAACATCCAACCACTTGGAAAGCATGGGTTGGGTTTAACGCCGCTTTCAATAGTATTCCAGTCATCGTCGCGTGTCAGCGTAATGTGGGAGGAAAGCCCGAAGTGATGCAGGTCTCAGACGTTTACCACTTCGGTGAAAGCCACGAGCACGGGTATGGTGCTGACAAACCTAGAAACATAATCGCGGCTAACCAGGATTCGAACCCTAGTTATACAATACCACGCTGCCATATGTCTAGGCCGTTATAGCACGTCGTAAATTCAATCTACACTTACAAACCTGGTTAAGTATTTCTATATACAGTGACTACAGCATGCTCTAAACCTGTGGCTATTCCGGTTTAAAGTCGGTCCCAAGGGGCCCGTTCCACAAAGCGATCTTTGTGCTATGACTGTCGTAAGCCTGTGTTAAAGTATGGGAGTTACTATCATATTAGCGCTAAGACTGCTTAGTGGAACGGGGCCCAGCTATGGCAAGCCGTTTTCACATTTATTACGGAATTACAGATATCTTCAATTGTTTAAAAGATATCTTGAAATGAATTGAAGATATCTTGAAAAGAATTGCTGATATCTAAAATTCGATCATTAATTATTATTAATAATAATAAATAATTATTGATATCTTCAACTGTTGCCATTATTAAAGATGTTACATTAATAATGTTACTTAAATTAGATCACTGATATCAATAATTGATATAAAGATATCATCAAAAGTATTAATGATATCTTTAAGTGGATGTTTGATATCAGTAACGGTCAGAATTAATGATATCTTGAATTGAATTACAGATATCTCTAATTGAATTAAAGATAACTGTAATGCATTTGTAGATATGTATAACTTATTTCAAGATATCTTGAATTGAATTTAAAATATCTTGAATTTATTTCTAATATATTTATGTACTGTAGGATGGTAATTGTTCAATGATATCTTAAATACATTTAGAGATATCACAAACTAATTTGTTGATATCACCGTAACATTTTAAGATATCAGTAATTGTATTATGGATATCAGAAATGAATTTAAGATATCTTTAATTATTTTTTTATATCTTAAAAACATTATTGATATCTTTAAATAAAATACCGATATCTTTAAAACAATTGAAGATATCTGTAATTCCGTAATAAATGTGAAAACGGCTTGCCATACCCAGCCACCAATTTGGTCGTAAGAGGCGAATTAACGGATCGGTGACTTGGTTGATTGCGTGCCATCTTACCACCACAGCGCGGTACTTTACCCATACTATCAATCACTGGATTGTCTGGTCCATATTTGATAATTTCCACAATCGCCGCCATACAGCTGGACTATTGCTGAGTGCAGCGTTAAACACCAACCATATATAACTCCATGAGTACTAGTCTACTCTAGCGATACCTTTTATGTGTACTAGTGTAAAATACACACGTGGTCGTTAAAGGTAAATAAATATAGGAGGGGGGTAGGACCTGCTCCAATCCCTTGCCCGAGCATCGAGAAGCATCACGAAATATTTCTAACTGGAATTGGAGAGTTCCTTAAACTTGTCAAACATCCGACCGGTCTTATTCTAACTTTCATATTGTTCACGAGATGATTTCCAAATTAAAGGGCGGTCGGGTAGCCTAGTGGTTAAAGCGCTCGCTCGTCACGCTGAAGACCCGGGTTCGATTCCCGACATGGGTACAATGTGTGAAGCCCATTTCTGGTGTCACCCGCCGTGGTATTGCTGGAATATAGCTAAAAGCGGCGTAAAATGAAACCCACTCACTCCAAATTGAAACTCAGATAACCCAGAAAACGGTTCGCACAGAACTAAACCGTTAAATCAGTAAATGACCAAACAGGATCTATGAATAGCCAGTACATTATATTGCCCTACATAGTTTTAGGATTGCAATCAAAGAAGGCAATACAATGGGTGAAATACGTGTCAGCAGTAATGTGTAACATGTCCTAGAATTAACGTAAGTGCTCTCACAAATGTTCTTTATGTTTGTTTTTGCCCCTTAATTCCGAGTTCCAGGAAGGTAAACAACAAGTGCCATCTTTTAACGTATTTTGGTATGCCGCGGCCAGGTAATCGAACCACCAATGCTCTTTATCATCCCAAACTGGCTTGGGTGCTTTGTAGACCATTGTGACATCATTGGTGACCATGATGTCACAATCTAATGACATCACTAATGGCTCTGCTACTGAAGCTGTTAGCAGTACCCTTTGCACTTAAGACACTGCTTATTACTGTCTTCAAACTGAAAGAGTTGAATGAATGATGTTGGATGATACATAGAATGTCACCCTTGTGTCTTTTGATATAAAATATATCTGATCACACATTCGTCAATAAAAGTTTATTACTCCTCGGCGTTTATTATTGTTATGCGAGTTATATACCCGCGATGATGATGATTCAAGCCCCTGTTACACTATCAAAAACTTTGATAAAAAACTGGACTGTTTACACTCATCAAAGTTTCTGGCTGTCAAAGTTTAGGTGGAAAATATCTTTCCAAGGTGGATGCTACTGACGAAGTATTGTTTGCTGTTGTCATATGTATTTTGTGTATTGTCATGTTGAAAAGGCGGCGTCGGGGTAGGCAAAGGCATATTTGGGCACGAGACTGGCTGCTCGTTGTTGAAACAAATCAATTAATTTTTCCAACATCTCGTCAGTCCAAAATTGTTGACTCAATTTGACTTGACTCTATTCACTTCCGGTTGAAAAGGGGCCAATGTTCCTTGCTGTCTGATTGGCTAAATTAAATCAACGTCATCAAACTTTGATCAAAGTTTGACGAGAAATAGGATCGGTTTCTATTCCATCAAACTTCCGTCAAAAACTTTGTCAAAGTTTGATGACGTTGATTTAATTTAGCCAATCAGACTGCAAGGAACATTGACCCCTTTTCAACCGGAAGTGCATAGAGTCAAGTTACACTATAAAAAACTTGGTCAAAATGTTTTTGATAGTGTAACGGGGGCTTAAGCTTCTTATACTGTTACTGATTATTGTTGTAATTGTTGAATGATGAGGCTGATTGTAATGGTAATGATGGGTATTCCCTGTCCTCAGCTCCTGTCCCTGGTGCTGGTGGTGGTCGGGGTGATCCTCAAGTTCTTCCCGGGCGTTCTCATGCAGTTTCTGTTTGACGGAGTGAAGGGCATCACCCACTTCAAGCTGCCTGACGGCTCCTCCGACCTCAACACCGTGCCCCTCCTTGACGAGCTGGGCCTGGCCGTCCTCATCTTCGGCGTGGTGCTGTTCGGAGTGTCCTTCCTGGCCTGCTGCGGGGCCTGCTACAAGCTCAGGATCTTCCTGGGGCTGGTGAGTAGATCCTTTCTTGGACTGTCGAGCAGATTCTTCCTGGGGCTGGTGAGTAGATCCTTTCTTGGACTGTCGAGCAGACTCTTCCTGGGGCTGGTGAGTAGATCCTTTCTTGGACTGTCGAGCAGACTCTTCCTGCGGCTGGGGTTGGTAGATAGATCCCTCTGGGGCTGGTGAGTAGATCCTTCTGGGGCTGATGAGTAGATTCTTCCTTGGGCTGGTGGGTAGATTCTTCTGGGGCTGATGAGTAGATTCTTCCTTGGGCTGGTGGGTAGATTCTTCCTTGGGCTGGTGAGTAGATTCTTCCTTGGGCTGGTGGGTAGATTCTTCCTTGGGCTTGTGGGTAGATTCTTCCTTGGGCTGGTGGGTAGACCCTTCTGGGGCTGATGAGTAGATTCTTCCTTGGGCTTGTGGGTAGATCCTTCTGGGGCTGATGAGTAGATTCTTCCTTGGGCTGATGAGTAGATTCTTCCTGAGGCTGGTGGGTAGATCCTTCTGGGGCTGATGAGTAGATTCTTCCTTGGGCTTGTGGGTAGATCCTTCTGGGGCTGATGAGTAGATTCTTCCTTGGGCTTGTGGGTAGATCCTTCTGGGGCTGATGAGTAGATTCTTCCTTGGGCTGGTGGGTAGATTCTTCCTGGGGCTTGTGGGTAGATCCTTCTGGGGCTGATGAGTAGATTCTTCCTTGGGCTTGTGGGTAGATCCTTCTGGGGCTGATGAGTAGATTCTTCCTTGGGCTGATGAGTAGATTCTTCCTGGGGCTGGTGGGTAGATCCTTCTGGGGCTGATGAGTAGATTCTTCCTTGGGCTGGTGGGTAGATCCTTCTGGGGCTGATGAGTAGATTCTTCCTTGGGCTGGTGGGTAGATTCTTCCTTGGGCTGGTGGGTAGATCCTTCTGGGGCTGATGCGTAGATTCTTCCTTGGGCTTGTGGGTAGATCCTTCTGGGGCTGATGAGTAGATTCTTCCTTGGGCTTGTGGGTAGATCCTTCTGGGGCTGATGAGTAGATTCTTCCTTGGGCTGGTGGGTAGATTCTTCCTTGGGCTGGTGGGTAGATCCTTCTGGGGCTGATGAGTAGATTTTTCCTTGGGCTTGTGGGTAGATCCTTCTGGGGCTGATGAGTAGATTCTTCCTTGGGCTGGTGAGTAGATCCTTCCGGGGCTGATGAGTAGATTCTTCCTTGGGCTGGTGAGTAGATTCTTCCTTGGGCTTGTGGGTAGATCCTTCTGGGGCTGATGAGTAGATTCTTCCTTGGGCTTGTGGGTAGATCCTTCTGGGGCTGATGAGTAGATTCTTCCTTGGGCTTGTGGGTAGATCCTTCTGGGGCTGATGAGTAGATTCTTCCTTGGGCTGGTGGGTAGATCCTTCTGGGGCTGATGAGTAGATTCTTCCTTGGGCTGGTAGGTATATCCTTCTGGGGCTGGTAGGTAGATCCTTCTGGGGCTGGTAGGTAGATCCTTCAGGGGCTGGCGTGTAGATCCTTCTTGGGCTGGTGGGTAGATCCTTCTGGATCTGGTGGGTAGGTCCTTCCGGGGCTGATGAGTAGATTCTTCCTTGGGCTGATGAGTAGATTCTTCCTTGGGCTGGTGGGTAGATCCTTCTGGGGCTGATGAGTAGATTCTTCCTTGAGCTGGTGGGTAGATCCTTCTGGGGCTGATGAGTAGATTCTTCCTTGGGCTGGTAGGTATATCCTTCTGGGGCTGGTAGGTAGATCCTTCTGGGGCTGGCGTGTAGATCCTTCTTGGGCTGGTTGGTAGATCCTTCTGGATCTGGTGGGTAGGTCCTTCTGGGGCTGGTGGGTAGATCCTTCTTGGGCTGGTGGGTAGATCTCTCTTGGGCTGGCGTGTGGATCCTTCTGGGGCTGGTGAGTAGATCCTTCTTGGGCTGGTGGGTAGATCCTTCTGGGGCTGATGAGTAGATTCTCCTTGGGGCTGGTGGGTATATCCTTCTGGGGCTGGCTATGGATCCTTCTTGGGCTGGTAGGTAGATCCTTCTGGATCTGGTGGGTAGGTCCTTCTGGGGCTGGTGGGTAGATCCTTCCTAGGACTGGTGAGTAGATCCTCCTGGGGCTGGTGAGTAGATCCTTCAGGAGCTGGTGAGCAGATCCTTCTTGGTCTGGTGAGAAGGTGGTGAGTATCCTTTCTCCATGACATCGCCTTCTCGGGCTTCATCCATAGATAGTTTTTTCGTCTTGAACAAATAAGAACGTTTTTAATGGACTTTCATCTCGGCCAAATTGAACGAATACATTTACTGGCTAGTTTCGTCTTCGGAAAGAATGACAAATAACCTAAACGTCTCTTGGGTCATGTTACATGTCACATGTTACATGTGTATGTTGTATATTTGTGTAGGTCTTAGTTACGACATAGTATTCCCATGTCACGTGTCTGTTTCTGCAGTTCTGTGTGCTGGTCCTCATCCTCATCCTCTCCGTGGCTACAGTAGGGGGCCTCTTCTTCAACAGAGATTCGCCGGTAGGCTATATAGTCTTATATCTCATACATGCCAGTATAGGCAAACATGCTGACTCACCACTATTGAAGTTGGTTTCTAATAGATACAGGTTATTGTGTTAAAAAAAAATTAATCGAATATATGTGTAGAAGACAGAAAGTGACGATATTTAAAGGAATGACCGCGTGTGTGTCAGTGTGTATGAGTGTGCGTGTATGTTTTTGTGTAGGTGTGCTATTGTGTGTTTGAGTGTGTATATAATTTTGTTTTCATGTCTGTGTGTTTGTGTGTGAGTGTGCTATTGTGTGTTTGAGTGTGTCTGTGTGTGTGTTTGTGCGTGTGTGTTTGACCATATATTGTATGTCTGTGTGTTTGTGTGAGTGTGTTTTGTGTGTGTGAACGTGAATGTGTTTGTGTGAGTGTATGTTTGTGTCTGTGTGTGTGCCTCTCTGTGTTTGTGTGTGTGTGTGTTATTGTGTGTTTGAGTGTGTATATTTGTGTGTGTGTGTGTGTGTGTGTGTGTGTGTGTGTGTGTGTGTGTGTGTGTGTGTGTGTGTGTGTGTGTGTGTGTGTGTGTGTGTGTGTGTGAGAGAGACAGAGAGAGAGACCACTGGGACGTTGTTGGTGAACCCGTAGCACGACTTTAGCTGTAGCGACTCTGGATTCAAACCATCATCACCTGATCCTGTTGCAACTAGGGGAGGCAACATCTCCCGTATCTGTTTGTGGGTAGGCGTGTAAGCAAGGAAGCAAGTGTGCGTTCATGTTCGTGTAAGCGCTTGCGCGTGTGGGCTAGGTGATACGTATACGTATCTGTACACCTGCGCGTATTCCTCTTCAGATGCATTCAAAGATCAAGAACGAGTTCAAGAAACAGGTGCACGATGACTACAAGGGACCAGAAAACACGGACGTATTCTCCCTCCTCATCAACATCCTCTCCTACTCCGTAAGCATAGTGACTTCATCAACGAGGATGCTCCTTGTTACTTACTTTTGTGTATATTAATCCATATAAATCCATATAAATCCATATAAATCCATATATCATTATCAGGTCTTTGAAAGCATTGAGAAAGTGATACACATGAGGAAGAGAATATATGGATGTCAACTTCTTTATTATGAGGAACACAACGTTTCGGAGTATAATCCTCCTGATGAAGGAGAAAGCATATACTCCGAAATGTTGTGTTCCTCATAAGAAAGAAGTTGACATCCATATATTTTTTTCTTCATATGTCATAATGATCATTATTATGGACTGAATCCGAATCATAGACTGTAAATTACCATAATCATAATCAGCTCTTAGTCCAGTCACGCTTGTATTTGCAGTGAATCGCAACTTATAAAGTCAGATTGTTATCTGATAAGCATCTGTATGTGGTAGGTAAAGCTGCAATGAACTTCACTAAGTGATCCATATATGTACTAAACGATAATATATCAGAGACAAACTTTAATCATCATAGATACGCTCTTTTAGCGACAAACATGTAATATTTCAATATGTAAGGCGGCACGGGAATATAGAAATATATAGGCACACCTCTATAGTCCCAGTTGTGACACACCTCTATATTCCCATTTGTCACACACCTCTATATTCCCATTTGTCACACACCTCTATAGTCCCAGTTGTGACACACCTCTATATTCCCATTTGTCACACACCTCTATATTCCCATTTGTCACACACCTCTATATTCCCAGTTGTCACACACCTCTATATTCCCAGTTGTCACACATCTCTATATTCTCAGTTGTCACACACCTCTATATTCCCATTTGTCACACACCTCTATATTCCCATTTGTCACACAGCTGTATAGTCCCAGTTGTCACACACCTCTATATTCCCATTTGTCACACACCTCTATATTCCCATTTGTCACACACCTCTATAGTCCCAGTTGTCACACATCTCTATATTCCCAGTTGACACACAGCTCTATATTCCCATTTGTCACACACATCTATATTCCCAGTTGTCACACACCTCTATAGTCCCATTTGTCACACACCTCTATAGTCCCAGTTGACACACAGCTCTATATTCCCAGTTGTCACACACCTCTATAGTCCAAGTTGTCACACAGCTCTTTATTCCCAGTTGACACAAAGCTCTATATTCCCAGTTGACACACAGCTCTATAGTCCCAGTTGACACACAGCTCTATAGTCCCGGTTGTCACACAGCTCTTTATTCCCAGTTGACACACATCTCTATATTCCCATTTGTCACACACCTCTATATTCCCAGTTGTCACACACCTCTATAGTCCCAGTTGTCACACACCTCTATAGTCCCAGTTGTCACACACCTCTATAGTCCCAGTTGTCACCAACCTCTATATTCCCAGTTGTCACACACCTCTATATTCCCAGTTGTCACACATCTCTATATTCCCAGTTGTCACACACCTCTATATTCCCAGTTGTCACACATCCCTATATTCCCAGTTGTCACATACCTCTATAGTCCCAGTTGTCACACACCTCTATATTCCCAGTTGTCACACACCTCTATATTCCCAGTTGTCACACACCTCTATAGTCCCAGTTGTCACACACTTCTATATTCCCAGTTGTCACACACCTCTATATTCCCATTTGTAACACACCTCTATATTCCCAGTTGTCACACATCTCTATAGTCCCAGTTGTCATACACCTCTATAGTCCCAGTTGTCACACACCTCTATATTCCCATTTGTCACACATCTCTATATTCCCAGTTGTCACACATCTCTATAGTCCCAGTTGTCACACACCTCTATATTCCCAGTTGTCACACACCTCTATATTCCCAGTTGTCACACATCTCTATAGTCCCAGTTCTCACACATCTCTATAGTCCCAGTTGTCATACACCTCTATATTCCCAGTTGTCACACATCTCTATAGTCCCAGTTGTCACACATCTCTATAGTTCCAGTTGTCACACACCTCTATATTCCCAGTTGTCACACATCTCTATAGTCCCAGTTGTCACACATCTCTATATTCCCAGTAGTCACACGTCTCTAAAGTCCCAGTTGTCACTATGGTCGTTATAACCGTAGTTTACTGTATTACTTTTCTACTTTTCTTTTCTACTTTTTCTACATTCCATTCTAATACTTAGGTAACATAGGGCAGACCAGTCATAGCCTTTGGCCATGACCTATGTTGTTTAATAGTGTGTGACAGATGGGACGTGTAACTGATACCATCGCTCCGCCTCTTCCTACCCGGCCCTCCCATCCCGCCCCTCCCACCCCCCACCCCGCCCCTCCCACACGGGTTAGAAACGTTTCACTGTTGACGGTGTCAGTAACGTTGTGTTGATGTGTCGCCAGCTGAACTGCTGCGGTATGGCTGGGCCCGACGACTTCGACGACACGGCACCGTGGACCAACTACAACCTGACGAGTGGAGGGACGTTCCACATCGACGTCACGCCCGCCTGCTGTGTCCACAGCTTCCTCGAGGCCAACGACCTCACGTGCGCTGTGAAGCAGCCTGGTGCGGGATTTGATCAGAACAAGACAAATACAATGGCAAGTACTTTTCTTATTTTCAACGTCCCCGTGATGTAGTGGCTAGAGTGTCTGCCCGGAGAGCGGTAGTTTGGTGTTCGGTCCCCTGCCAGTCCCCATGATGTAGTGGCTAGAGTGTCTGCCCGGAGAGTGGAAGGTCTGTGGTTCGATCCTCTGCCCGTCTCCTAGGTTTAGTGGCTAGAGTGTCTGCTCGGAGAGTGGAAGGTCGGTGGTTCGATCCTCTGCCCGTCTCCTAGGTTTAGTGGCTAGAGTGTCTGCCCGGAGAGTGGAAGGTCGGTGGTTCGATCCTCTGCCCGTCTCCGTGGTGTAGTGGCTAGAGTGTCTGCCCGGAGAGCGGGGGTCGGAGGCCCGATCCCATGGCCCAATCATATCAAGAGGCGATAAAAAATGTAACCTTGCCTGACGCTCGGCAGTAAGCGATAAAATAAGGACTGGTCGGCTCGGAATAATGTTGGGTAGCCATGTTAAGTGAGTGAGTCGGGTTTAACGCCGCTTTTAACAGTATATCGCGGCGTGTCAGCTTAATGTGGGATGCACCGACGTCTTAGACGTTTACCACTTCGGTGAAACCTACGAGCACGGGTATGGTGCTGACAAACCTAGAACGATAATCTGGGATTCGAACCATCAATCATAGGTTTCTGGCGTGCCCAAGGGACGCAACTCTGCACAGCGAATCGCGGCGCCTAAGACGACTGGGCCACCCGTGACTACGGTAGCCATTTTAAACTGCGACAGGGTTGCTCAGTGGCCAGGTTGATACATTAAGTGAGTGAGTGAGTGAGTATGGTTTTACGCCGCTTTTAGCAATATTCCAGCAATATCACGGCGGGGGACACCAGAAATGGGTTTCACACATTGTACCCATGTCGGGAATCGAACCCGGGTCTTCGGCGTGACGAGCGAAAGCTTTAACCACTAGGCTACCCGACCGCCCGTTGATACATTAAGCCACATACTCGTACATGCACGTCGCTAAATAGTGAAATAATCTCGACGCGACGTTAACCAAGTTCATCCCACTTTACCAACAGAAATAATAATAAAATCATTGCCCACAGCTGCTGTGTCTCAGTATACTTTAGAACATTTTGCTTATATCGTTACTCAAGATGCCAAAAATGAAATAAAAACAGTCGGATGTCAACAGAAATATATGACAATAAACAGCTTTTCCGTTTTTTATTGTTATGTTTAGGGTTGCTATGACAAAATTCTAGACGAGGTCCATAACAACCAGAAAGTAGGCATCATCGGCATCGTGGTGATCATTGTTCTTCTGGTAAGTATGACGTCACATGTCTCGTCCTGTAGTAATAATTACCCAATTGCTTTGGACGTTGATGAAAAAACACTCAATTTCCTTAATTTCTAAAAAATATAAGCTTTCGGTTTAATTAATTATAAACACAATCTGGGTCGTTACATCATCGAATGGATGAAACGGACATGATCACGGCAACGGCAACGGCGGTCAACTCCACATGCATCGTGATCCTGTAACACTATTACAATCCTTTTGTTATATCTGTCTTGATTTTCTGGAGTTATTTACATAGATAATTAATTTTGAAAGTTTTATCTCATATTTATCAAGTTTAATTTTAATTTAATTTAATTTAATTTAATTTAATTTAATTTAATTTATTTTAATTTAATTTAAATTTAAATTTAAATTTTAGATGTACCATCACCCAAAATATATGAAGTTTAACTCAGTTTTATATCTAAATGTTTACACAAAAACTTCTGACTCATGAAAAAGTCCTTCAGTTTTAATTGTTCAGTTTTTTCGTATTTGCAAGCTGTAGGACTAGTCCACTTGAGGATAAAGGGATCAGGCAGGGGCTAAGCTGCTCACTGGACCACTCACTTTCTTATTTTAGACTGTACCGATTTTGGCATGTAGTTATTTTTGGAGGACACCGGTAATAATGTGGTTATAATGACGTAACGCGTTCAGTTTGTGGTACCTGTGTCATAATATGTGTTGTTCTGTGATAATCATGACGTAAAATATCTTGTCCCGTGGATATTTTAAACACGTATTATCCAGTGGTAACTATGACGTATCAATGGTAATTATAACGTAACATGTTTTGTCAGGTGGTAATTATAACGTACCACGTTTTGTCAGATGGTAATTATGGCGTAACACGTCCTGGCATGTGGTAATTATGGCATAACACATCTTGTCACGAGGTAATTATGACGTAACACATTCTGTCATGTGGTAATTATGATGCAAAACGTCTCGTTAGGTGTTATTTATTGCGTAACCCTTCCTGTCAGGTTGTAATTATAGCGTAACACATTCTGTCATGTGGTAATTATGACGTAACCCGTCTGGTCAGGTGGCAAATATGACGTAACACGTCCTGTAAGGTGGTAATCATGGCGTAACACTTCTGTCAGGTGGTAATTATGACGTAATACGTCCTGTCAGGTGGTAATTATGACGTAACACATGTCAGGTGGTAATTATGACGTAACACATCTGTCAGGTAGTAGGTATGACGTAATACGTCCTGTCAGGTAGTAATTATGACGTACCACTTCTGTCAGGTGATAATTATGACGTAATACGTCCTGTCAGGTGGTAATTATTGCGTAACACTTCTGTCAGGTGGTAATTATGACGTAATACGGCCTACGGCCTGACAGGTGGTAATTTTGACGTTAAACTTCTGCCAGGTGGTAAATATGACGTAACACATCCTATCAGGTGGTAATTATGACGTAACACTTCTGTCAGGTGGTAATTATGACGTAACACGTCCTGTCAGGTGGTAATTATGACGTAACACATCCTATCAGGTGGTAATTAGGACGTAACACTTCTGTCAGGTGGTAATTATGACGTAACACGTCCTGTCAGGTGGTAAGTATGGCAGTTTCGCTGATGAATCGGCACAATCCGGCTTAACGAAGTTTCGTTATGTTCATATACGATTACTAAACACGGCACATGCTGGTTTCAGGCTCTGGAGGCGGTGTTTGCAGTTGCTCTCATCAGGAGCATCAACAAGGGAGTCTCCCCTGTGTAACAGGTTCGTGTCATGTGGTCACCCTCAACATGGAACGTTACATGACTGGGAACAGTCCCTGTGTTTGAGAGAGTGCCATTTCGGGGTTAAGTTGATCTACTTTAAACCCATAGGATCTGTGGTCCAACAATATGAAATAGCAAAAACTGTTAAGAATAATGTCTTATATTTAAATCGGAAAGATTGCATTAAAAATTGAAACAACATTGGTTGATAAGTCAATGGGATGTCCCTTCCCCTTACTTGTATTCTTCAAAGGTTTGTAGTATTACTGAAATGCATTTCGGCCGAGGAAAGGTATCTTATATTTTATTCTGCATTTCGTCTCATTTTGGTCGGTGATGTGTAAACCAACTCTCGAACGGTATTAAAAAAATACCTTGTTTTAAAAATAATAACATTTCGGTATCGATGCACATATTTCAAATACGTATAAATTATACTTTGCTAGTATTCCTAGTATCACTCCTGACCCGTGAGGCCGGTTTGTACGGGTTTCATGACGTCATGTGTCTGTGACGTCATCTACTCACCACGTCAGCTGACTGATAGAAGTTTAGAAACTGATTGGTGGCCACTGGTCATCCATTAGATAGACTTCATATATACAAAAATAAATCAGGGAAAATAAATCTAATAGTTGTATGCCATTAGCGGGGTGGATGGGATTTACAATATTTTTGATGATACATTTTATGATAAATAATTGTTTAGCATTGATCCGCTCGCTCCAGATTTAATGTTAATTATGTTTTTGATGTTCTTTTTTTTTAGTTGTGCACGTGTTTATCATTAACCTGAGACCATGTGCTGATGTAAACCAAATTTCTTTTGGGGTAATAACTTGGTATCTTAGCTTACCCTATCTTAATTCTTGTACACATATCTTTTAATTCATCGCTATGGGGCGGTCGGGTAGCCTAGTGGTTAAAGCGTACGCTCGTCACGCAGGGTTCGATTCCCGACATGGGTACAATTTTCACAAGGTGGCAAGCAGGTGTGTAAACTTGGCTGCGTCAATGCGTATCACGAGTTTCACTACGCGTATAGAGAGTACAGCCTTAAAGGGGCACTGATCTAAAGCAATTCCCCGGGACTGGTTGTTGCCTTTGTTATTGTTTTTCCCCAGTGAGTACCCGGATGTATAGCAGAAATCTAGACTAGTTCGCGACCTCTGCTGCGCCATTCGTAAGCGCATTAGTCGCCTTTACGGATGGTAATAAGGGCGTATGGTCACATTGATCAACAAAATTAAATACAGTTTTCGAGATAATTAGGAAATGTAGGTATCTTTGTGGGTAGCATCGGTAATGGTGACGAAGTCACTAGCTTGGTAATTTTGCGATTTTCGTTTACACTATTTTGACTTGCAACACAAAGTAAATATTTCACATGAGCATTGCTTTTTTTATAGTGTGTATATTTTTTTACTGTCAAAATGTGTAACATTTTCAAATTTATTAAACGCCTAAATATTCAGTTATTTTACAAAGTGACTGAAAAACATTTCCATCTGTATTATTATGATAACGAATTCCAAACATTTTGATGTTTAATGTCATCACCAAGAGGCTGAAAATGTTACGTTGAAAAGTACATTTCTATGTTGTTTGGCTTCAAATCCTACATAATAATCTGTTGTGATGTTTTTAGGCCCTTTTGATCGTCCTAAACAATTTTAGTCAATCTGGACAGATTTTTCAGTCAAAATGACTGAAATATTTACACATTTTATAAATTGCCTGAGAGAATCCCATTTTACAAATTGACGGTAATATATACACGCTTACAAAGGAAAAGACTTGTGAAAACGTCTATCGCGCATTGAAGAATTTCCCAACGAAGACGTAGAGGAACAAGAACGAATCGGTTCAATGCTACAGCAAGTGAAGGAAAACAAAATGCAAATACCATAATTACATCCTACCAAATTTATGTGTATAACTTACGGCAGCTTCCTTGTTCGAAGAATGTATCCGTGAATATTCACACAAAGGAACAATATCCCACTTGTCTGCAGCTGTACAAAGAAACTTATTCCATGTCACGTGTCTCTGTAACAATCAAATATATATCGTGTTCGTTTCGCAACTGATCACTTAGGTTGTTTCAAGTGTTTCACATAGGTGTCAAGGCTTAAGGGTCGGCTGAGAAAGCCCACGTGACAACTATTTTTATAACGTCAACGGTTCCTAAAAAAATCCAGTGAGTGATAGATAACAATGAGCAATCAATCAACGTATTATCAGTTACCCTTTGAACAAAGTATGTTGTTTTTACATCGGCACTTCACGCCATGATATGAGTGTATTCCCTTTGTTTTAGTAAACCTAGACATGTAAACACTCACTTTTGACATATCCACTGTGCAAGATAACAGTGATTAATCAATCAACGTATTTTCTGTTAATCCTTTGATGACTAGGAACGATCCGTTGATTTACAAAAAAAAGTAAATCAACTGATCATTCACCTCTTGATGGGCTGCCACGTGCATATTACATAACACACATTTCACCTCACTTCAAACCTGGATTTAGATTGAATAATTACCCCAGACACAATAAATGCCAAATGGGAACCTTTGTCAGGTAATCTAAGTGGTGCTACCACTAATTGTACCTGTAATAAATTCATTAACTGAGCATCAAGTGAATGACGACAAATACACAAGTGTAGGGTTATACCAGAAAACGTGGCTGACAACAAAGGAGTAGTAATCGACGCAATCCGAAATCCGAAAATGCTTTCACTGCATGGATACTTTTTTATTATTATTAAACTATAACCATCTGATCTGGTCGACAATATTGGTCGCCAGCTGACGCGGTATGGTAAATCAAAACACCAGCAAGGTCAATTATGACGTGAGAAACAAGTGACGTCACAACAAACCCTTTATGACGGGTTCTTACAAGACGTCATTAGATAGCTAGCTGTTTTGACATGTACATGTTTTTACATATAACGTATCTACACTAGATTTTATACCTCATTATTGAAGTCAATTCGTATTGATAAAGAAGTAATAATAACATCACTTATTCTTGCGCAATGACTGTGGAATTTATATATTTTAGGTGTTTTTTTTAAACTAAAAGCCTAGGCAAGTCTAGATCAAACCAACCAAGTCTAGTTTGCTTGATTCCGCATATGAAAACTGTAGGGGAGTAAAGGTTCTTTCGAAGAAGAAAATTTATCTTAAAGACATGTTTTCAATGACTAAGTGTTAGTCTAATACTGCATATTTAATCATTAACAATGCGAAAAGCCGTGACATCGTTCAGCTCATTAAAGCAACCGAAGCCCCCCCCATCCTAGTATCAGTCAATCAGTAAACAGTAGTCCGCTCGTGGGCGTGGCCTATCTCTTCGATTTATAGAAATATAAATGCTTGGTTAGCCAATCAAATTGCCATGGAATCGCTTGCAATTTATGTAATATATTATGTACCAGATCAGTCACCTTATACCCCGAATACACACACGTTATTATTATTATTATTATTATTATCATGGCCTATCTCTTCGATTTATGGAAATATAAATGCTTGGTTAGCCAATCAAATTGCCATGGAATCGCTTGCAATTTATGTAATATATTATTACCAGATCAGTCACCTTATGCCCCCATTACTGACACATTCAATTATTATTATTATTATTATTATTATTATTATTTTATGTTTCAGGTTGGCCCGTGCAAATAGATATATTAATACTTCGTTGATTGGCAAGGTTCTATTGCGGGAGACATCGATCTTCACAGCAAATGCCCGAATATTGATCTGACAAAATTCAATGGCCATATGACTTTGTAATAGGTCTACATACTACAGATGAGGCAGCGTTGTTGTTACAGACAACTCGCGTGGATAAACCACAGATTGACGGTCAGCCTATAGGGATCCCTGCCGGTGTTGTCATTGTCTTACTGAGATGGACCCTGCCCTGTCTTGCACTGTTCATATTCACCGGTTGCATGCTCGCATTTGTAACTGTATAAATAAATAAATATTTTCTGATATATATACTTGTCCCTTCTCAAGTTATCCTCATTGTCAAATATTTTTTTGAGAAAGTAAATGAATGAATGTTGTTTAACGTCGAATCCAGCAATTTCAGCTTTACTATATACTTCAGGGGGGCACGGGTGGCCCAGTCGTCTGAGGCGCCGCAAATCGCTGTGCAGAGTTGCGTCCCTTGGGCACGCCAGAAACCTATGGTTGTGGGTTCGAATCCCGGTACACCCCGATTATGTTTTTAGGTTTGTCAGCACCATACCCGTGCTCGTGAGTTTCGCCAATGTGGTAAACGTCTAAGACTTGCATCACGTCGGGCTTTCCTCCCACATTAAGCTGACACGCCATGATATGACAGGAATACAGTTAAAAGCGGCGTTAAACACAACTCACTCACTGTTATATACTCCAGAGTGAAATGAGTTTTCTGATGTTGAGAAAAGTACTATTTTCATAGCAGTGAACATAAAACTTGATAATTCACTGCACTAATACTTTGACGGAACTATTGTCATGCAAGAGTTACCTCCCCTCAAATTGTCTCCCTTTTTCGTAAGTGTCTAGCCCGTACACAAACTGTTGACGTCCTTTTTAAGTTAGAGCCACATTGACAAGGCAAAATACTGACAGTTAGTCATAGACGGAGTTAATATCACTTCTTGCCCTTTGTTATCTCTTGGAAATGTTTCGTTATAAACTGTAAATGTCTCATTTAACTCGTCAATCGAGACTGTTGGTTTCGCAAAGTGCAATTTTTGCTACTTGACGAGCCTGTATTCTTTCGCTTCTAACAACGGTATCGCAGTTTTCAAAAATATGTTTTGTTAAAGTTGATTATCTATATAAACATATATGAATGTATAATATAGAATGTTCGTGACCCTAAATATGTTTGGATACTTTTGTATATATTTTCTAAGATTTTGCAAGCACAAACTACTTTTTAAGTCGCAAATATAAGGGTGTGTGTGTGTGTGTGTGTGTGTGTGTGTGTGTGTGTGTGTGTGTGTGAGGCAGGGCGAATTAACGTTTCAAGGTTTTACATTTGTAGTGAAATAATTTAATTTAACCACCCGATCCCCTTCAGTTCTTCATACAAGCATGGGATACTGGGGACCTACTCTTCTCCGAGTCACCACGAAGTTGTTCATTAAATAGATATGAACGGTGATTAATGGACACAAAGTATAGGATCAATCGTGTTACATGTACATCTTCTCCCTGTTGTCTCTGGGCGGTCGGGTAGCCTAGTGGTTCGCTCGTCACGTGGAAGACCCGGGTTCGATTCCCGACATGGGTACAATGTGTTAAGCCCATTTCTGGAGTCCCCCGCCGTGGTATTGCTGGAATATGTCTAAATGCGGCGTAAAACAATACTCACTCACTCCTATTATCTCTAAGTTCAAACTAAAAAATTCCCTAAACCTACAATGTGTACCATCTATAAATGAAGGCCTTAATGAGATGATGGATGATTGGTTTGTTTTGTTTGTTTGTTGTTTAAAGCTACACTCAGCAATATTCCAGCTATATGACGGCGGTCTGTAAATAATCGAGTCTGGACCAGACAATCCAGTGATTGATATCAGGAGCATAGATCCATGCAATTGGGATCGATGACATGCATCAACCAAGTCAGCGAGCCTGACCACCCGATGCCGTTAGTCTCCTCTTGCGACAAGCATAGTCGCCTTTTACGGCAGGCATGGGTTGCTGAAGATCTATTCTACCATGGAAGAGAAGTGGTATTGAGAGGATATAGCTACCTTAAACATTGCCGGGTCAAATGATTTACAAGTTTCTAAACGTTCAAAGAAAACGTACACGTATATTCAGCAATTGCCTTTAATTATACTTCTAAAAAAACGTTACGCGATTTCTTCTCTTACTATAGTTAAACTGTCGGGCTGATAGTTTATAATGTCAGCAGACCCTAACGGCCTGCAGTTTATCTAAGTAATTATTTATTAAGCATTATTTAAGTAATGGATAAACATAACTTTCATATTTATTCATATTTACAGTAGGATTAGACCTTTCAAATGACATGTAGTCGCACGGATGTTTTACAAGCAAACAAACAAACAAACAAACAAACAAGCTGATAATTTCCTTGCCAAATGTTGGCTTCATTTCTCACCACCGACTCTGTGGGAACTCTGTGTGATAGCACAAAAAGCTTCTGGTTGACTGGTTGTGTTTTGTAATTTACATTGCAAGAGTATGTCTCTCTGCTTCAGCTACAATGTTTGGGGCTACAGGTTTTTTTCACCTGGCCTACAGTTTTTTTTCACCTGGCCTACAGTTTTTGAAAGTTACTGGTGCTTAAGGCTCTCAGTTTACTCTGCTGAGTTACGGGTGCGGTGAGGTGAAATTGGGTTTAACGTCGCGTCCAAGATTAATGCACTTATATAGCGACGTGCATGCACGTGTGTGTGTGTGTGTGTGTGTGTGTGTGTGTGTGTGGCTGCTTGTACTAGTCCGGACTAATGTCGACTTATAGTGCTAGCTCACTGAGATACCATGAATACCCCACTCAGACAAAGTATACTGACTCCGAGCCGACCAGTCCTTGTTGTAGCCCCTCTATGCCGAGCGCCAGACAGGGTAACAACAAGTACCATTTAACGTCTTTTGGCATGACGCAGCCGGGGATCGAACACCGGAGCTTCCGCTCTCCGGGCGGACGCTCTACCACTAGACCACTGAGTTGCAGACACTGTTTACACCATATAAACAAATGTTGCAGCTATGTAACGAACTTGGTGTAGTAAATTAGAGGGTGTTTGAGAATAGACGACTAACAAGATTAAAATATTAAAAGATTATCAGTGACGTTCAATCGAGCTTTTACGGCAGGCCGACTCTGATGTACGACAGATGATAGTTGTTGTCATGAAATGATGATACGGGCACATATTGAACTTATACATCATGGGATATTTCGCAATTTGATCATCACGCGATCAGATTGTGAAACAACAGACACCTGTTGATGATACCCCGGTATGGTTTTAAACCTACACTTGTTTGTATTACATATAACAAGAATTTGTGCAGATGACATTTTCTCAATATATAGGAATAGACATGTTTACATCATAATTGAAACTGTTAATAAGTTTCATGTCTTCATGTCTTCATGGCGGTGTGGGTAGCCAATGTTCAATAATTATTCTACGTTATAGATTAATTCACAGTGCGATGTATGTATCCATATGATATATAGAAACGTCATTACAATCTGCGCGCGTTCCTGTTGTTGTTGACATGTATGTGAAACATCGTCCCAATACAGTAGAAATGTATGTGAAACATCGTCCCAATACAGTAGAAATGTATGTGAAACATCGTCCCAATACAGTAGAAATGTATGTGAAACATCGTCCCAATACAGTAGAAATGTTTGTGAAACATCGTCCAGATTCAATAGAAATGTATGTGAAACACCGCCCCATACAGTAGAAATGTATGTAAAACATCAACCACATTTAATAAAAATGGATGTGAAACATCGCCCACATTCAATAAAAATGGATGTGAAAAATCGCCCACATTCAATAGAAATGTATGTGAAACATCGCCCTATACAGTAGAAATGTATGTAAAACTTGGCCCTATACAGTAGAAATGTATGTGAAACATCGCCCTATACAGTAGAAATGTATGTAAAACTTGGCCCTATACAGTAGAAATGTATGTAAAACATCGCCCCATACAGTACAAATGTATGTGTAACATTGACCCCATACAGTAGAAATGTATGTGAAACATCGTCCCAATACAGTAGAAATGTATGTGAAACATCGTCCCAATACAGTAGAAATGTATGTGAAACATCGCCCACATTCAATAAAAATGTATGTGAAACATCGCCCCATACAGTAGAAATGTATGTAAAACATCGCCCACATTCAATAACAATGGATGTGAAACATCGCCCACATTCAATAAAAATGCATATGAAACATCGCCCACATTCAATAGAAATGTATTTAAAACATCGTCCACATTCAATAAAAATGGATGTAAAACGTCGCCCACATTCAATAACAATGGATGTGAAACATCGCCCACATTCAATAAAAATGTATGTGAAACATCGCCCTATACAGTAGAAATGTATGTAAAACATCGACTTTTCACAGGAGAAATGTATGTAAAACATCGTCCACATTCAATAGATATGTATGTGAAACACCGCCCCATACAGTAGAAATGTGTGTAAAACATCGCCCACATTCAATAAAAATGGATGTGAAACATCGCCCACATTCAATAACAATGGATGTGAAACATCGCCCACATTCAATAAAAATGTATGTGAAACATCGCCCCATAGAGTAGAAATGTATGTAAAACATCGCCCACATTCAATAACAATGGATGTGAAACATCGCCCACATTCAATAAAAATGTATGTAAAACATCGTCCACATTCAATAAAAATGGATGTAAAACATGGCCCACATTCAATAACAATGGATGTGAAACATCGCCCACATTCAATAAAAATGTATGTGAAACATCGCCCTATACAGTAGAAATGTATGTAAAACATTGCCCTATACAGTAGAAATGTATGTAAAACATCGCCCTATACAGTAGAAATGTATGTAAAACATTGCCCTATACAGTAGAAATGTATGTAAAACATCGCCCTATACAGTAGAAATGTATGTAAAATATCGCCCTTTACAGTAGAAATGTATGCGAAACATCGCCCACAAACAGTAGAAATACCTGTGAATCATTACCCCACACTTGAGAAATGAATGTGAAACATCTCCTCATAAGATAGAAATGTAACATCCCCCCCCCAATACAGTTTAGATGTATGTGAAACATTGCTCCATACAGCAGTAATGCAAGTAAAACGCTGATATAAATATTTTAAAAAAAATCGTTCCGCAGCGCTAAATATGTACATCGTCCACTGGAAGAAAATAATTTTTTCAAAGAAAGTGGAAGATATATAAATGCTTTGGGTTAAACAACTTTTTCATTAATTCGATATCGTCATCAGGAACGGAAATTACCGACTGCCGGTTATACTCGGGGGCGATATGTGCGCTGTTTATTTCATAGTGGTATGCATGTATATTCACTGCCCCGAATCATCTGTGTTGCCTCCCCTGCGCACTGACATGCGCGATAGTCCCTTAGCAACGCACATCACATCGCAATGGACGGCGAGGAAGAACAAGCTACTCCTGCAGGAGAAACCGAAAATGGTAAATTTTATATAACTTTTGCACTATAAATTGTGTTTCTGTGGTTTAAGCTGCATATATTGGTAGTAACCAGCTGGTATTTGGGCTGTTTGTTGCAGAGTACGCGACCAAATCTATTCCATGATTGTTATTGTTCTATTTTCGATCACACACAAACACCTGCCAATGTCAAACTCGTGCTTTGATTATCGTATTTAAGATCAGTTACCATTAGAAAACAAATTATTATGTTAAACGATTATCTATCATTTATCCCTTTTAACATTAGAGTTATGGCAAGCTCCCCTTGACTTTAATGCTCTTAATTTCGAACACTGCTAAATTTAGTTTTTGCAGTTTGAATATTGACATTTGTAGAACATAGACCAGTGATTGTCAGTGAATCTCACATACATATAATCCTACACTATCTAGTGGCAGGTTCGAGCAGCGGTTGTTTTTGACAATTCTGTCATGATGTTGTTTGAAAATATCATAAAATGTATTTCACCAGTTTACAAAGGGTCTGCCAGAGTTGCCAGTTGCCTAGTGAAAAAAGAAGTAGTGAGCAAGGAAAGGTCACCGCACTCACATGACCAACATCTACAAATTGTTTCAGACATTTCATATATTCCCTGAAGGGTATGCTTCCTCAAATAACTATAATGCATCTGTTGTGTAGTGCAAGCAGGTAACATATACAAAGTACTTTGATATGACCTGATACAAACTAGCGGGGTGCCAAGTACCTGTTGGATGTCCCTACCTGCACCTGGGACGGGTAACTCGGGTACTCAGGCGGGGTGGGCACTGAGTAGGATCCGGGTACCCACATGACTACCTGAACCTGTGGTTAGTCACGCAATAAATTTCTTTTGACAAAAATTATTCAGAACTCCATGGTTACACTACGAGTCGCTTATATTGGCATTTCTTTCTGACAATGCACGCACAGCTTCTAACTTTTATATGTTTAAATAAAGATAAAGCTTCAGACAACTTCAGTGTATGCATGACCAGATCGTTTTATAGTTTAGGGTAGTGAGTGAGTATGGCTTTATGCGGCTTTTAGCAATATTCCAGCAATATCACGGCGGGGGACACCAGAAATGGGCTTCACACATTGTACCCATGAGGGAATCGAACCCAGGTCTTCGCCGTGATTAGCGGACGCTTTAACCACCAGGCTACCTGACCTCCCCTGTAGGGGAGTGTATCTAAATATGTTTTGTCAGAGCCCTGTTCAAACAATTCTCAGTCGGACATTTTGTACTCTTGAGGCCTGCGGCGGGTACCCGGTTAGGGTCGGGTAATACGGGGATGGGTACCGGGTAGTAAATTTTGACTTGTCCCAGTCCTATCCCTACCGCTGCCTGGTTGTCATGCATATCAGCTTATCAAGTCATGGTGTTGGGCATTAAAGTAATCAGACAGCTGAACATTACACTATAGGGGGTGTTGCCATTAAACAATTTTTGTAGTATACTGTGTGGTAGGAATACATTTTTCTGGATGCAGTGAATTACATTATTATTATGGTGATGCACAACTATGCACACGAATACCTTGATAACATTTACACCATCTAACAAGATGGGGATACTGTTGCCTTCTGTAATGCATAACATTGTTGTTTTGATTTGTTTTTGTTATATTTTGATGTGTATGAAATGCCACCCCCCTCCCCTCAAACATCCCAATTCCATGCTATTGTTTTGATAGCTCAATAACCACTCATGTATACGGACTGACAGATTAGATAGAAATTCTCTCATCAAGTTGGACTTAAAGTAACAGTCAGATGATTTGTTCTTTTGAATTTGTGAGGGTCGAGGAATTTGTCATTTTCTGATGACGCTTGTTATTAGAATCTCATACTTTCTCATTGCTATTTCATCCAAGTCTATGAATTTATTCTATCATTAATATTAATATGATTAATTACAATCTAGTTAACATGCTTTTCTAGAATTTTGACTTTAGTTTTAGTAATATGATACTATTGCAAGACTGTATTCTTGAGTGTATTAATGACCCACTTCAGCTACCCCTGATGAGTCTAGGTCCACCCCTGATGTGGGGAGGAAGTCACGTAATCTGAAGGAAGCCACCCTCCATCTTAAGGAGGAAGCGTTGAGGAGATACAAGCTGAAGCATGGACATGATGCCCCAGCTGATGCTGACCTGGGCAGAGAAACTCCTGGTGCTGGGGAGGCTGACACTGATGGAGCAATGGATGGGGGGAAGGCTGATATTGAGACAGGGACGTCTCAGGAGGAGCTGAAAGTTGATGCTGATGTTGAAATGAAGAAGTCTGGAGATGTTGATGCAGCTGAAGAAGATGCAGATGCTGGTGGTTCCAGCCTGAAGCAGGGGGAGGCTACACAGTCCCCCAGTCAACCTGGGGTTACAGGAAGTGTGGACAAATCAGGCCTTGCCACTGGAAACAATGACAAAAATGATACAGAACTGAATTCGGTACCAAATCTAACAGTTGATAAGGAAACAGACAAGCCAGTTGACACTGAAGAAGCCAGGCCTAAGGATGATGAAGACACAGACATATCTGCAGCTGGAGCAAGTAGAGCTAAAACTGATGACCAGGAATCAAGTCAGTCGGAGGTCATGCAAGGTGGCATGGCAGCTGTAGACACAGCAGCTGTAGCTGAAGACTATGGGACAGGGAAAGCTGTAGATAGTAGCCTCCCTCCAGCTGAGCCTCGGTCGTTAGGTATATAGCGTGTGATCCACCCTCACTCTGTCTCCACGATTCTGGCTACCCCCAGCAATTTTGAACCTCAATCAGTGATATGTTCATGATTTGCATGAATAATTATAATAATCCTCTTTTGTATGTTGGTTATGGCTTCTTTGTGATGATTGTTTGATGTGTGTGTTGGTGATTTGCATGGTTAATCCTATAATAATCCTCTCCTGTATAACGGTATGGTTTCTTCACTTTTCTCATTCTGCTGTACGAACCTGTACACGTAACATGGTTATGATTCCCTTTGTCTGATCACATTGCTCTCTCTCACTGAGTTTCTGTCTTGATACAATTTTAAAATATCAACCTATGCTTTCAATAACAGTCTGTGACTTCAGCCACTATAGTCAAGTCTCGTTAATCCGACAATCGTTAATCCGACAATCGGCTTTATCCGGCACAAATGATAGGAACCGATTAAATCAGTGCTATTTCGACCCGTTAATCCGGCAGTCTCGCACTCCGACTCTGACACACCTAATTTGCAACGAATTGCTGAAATCACTCATTAATCAGTCTCGTTAATCCGACACAGTGATCAGCGTAGTCCGTGGTCATCTGCCCGCGAGTACACAGCCCCGTGTTTTGATGCGAGACGAGTCGGCGAGCAGCTGCGTATTTCAACGGCTGCAGAGATAAACTTGCTTAACAATAAACAATTACTGCTTTAAAAAAACAAAACAGGATTAATCACATGCCTAGATTACCTCAATCTCATTTTACCCGGATACAAGTTCTCGCTATCACTGAGGACATCTCATTACAGGTCACGTCAGAACAACCTTTCGCGTACTTTGACCGACCAATGAAATTACTTACAGGAAGTTGACATTAGCCACAAAGAAAGTAATCAGTCAATTTTGAATCAGTCATACAGTCCGTAACATTAGTTTTGTGTTAAATTTTAGTGGGTGGATGATAAGAAAACATATTCCGCTGACAATGTAACACAACAATACGAATATTTCATTTTTCCTTTTCCTATGTGTTCGTATCGTTATCTATCGTGTAGTTGTCCAATTTTCGATCACGAACGTTTATACTACCTAATTTCGTTTATCTGACATACTCGTTAATCCGACATAATCATATGCAACCAACAATGTCGGAATAACGGGACTTGACTGTAGTTTGGAATCTTGAGTCTAGTAAAATTTATTTTGTTCTAATAAACTCTGCTTATAAGAGTCCAGCCATTATCATACATCTACAGTAAATGATAGGAAGGGACAAGTTTGTGCTCGTAGATTCAAATAATATGCCACAGACTGTAATAGTCAAATCTTAATTTTGAAACAATAAACGTTAACTGGTTGTTAGTTTTGTAATAGTTTCATGCCGTAATTTCCTTTTCTCTTGAACATCCAATATTATGCAAAATCAGTATATCAGATAAGGTATTACAACCTGAGGCAGCATTTTCAAAAAGTTCAAGTGCAGGTACCTGGAAATCAGAATTTGAACAGACACCTAGTGAGAGAACATATACCCTTTGCTTTTAGAAGCACAATTTTATCTATGTTTGTATTTTTTTAATATGGTTCAGTACTTCAATGTACTTATGTTTTAGATATTCTTGTTACGGTGTAACAATGTAGACGTACAGGATGGCAGCAAGAACTGCAGGTTTCTTTACAATGCAATATAGGCAATATCATCGTCTTGTTATTATACTTGCAGAGCTCCAGATAAGCTTTTGGTGTTGTGGGTATTTTACCCATGCATTTTAAAATCATTGGGTATCAGTTATTCTATCTGGGTATTCAAATTTCTGTTACCCACTAGTTTTTACACATTTGGGTATTTAAGTTAAATATTTAAAAACACTATACATCTAGTCCCTACAAACTGGTGTCGTGCGGGTTCGAGAGCTTTATACTAAAAAATACCACGATACTTCCACAAGAAAGTGTGATGGCAAATGATCATGATGTAACTGTCATCGTGGAGTTTGGCAAGGTTGACAGAATGCCCGTTTATAATTTCAAAATAAGTTGCTGATTTGCTAATCGAATACGCAGGGTTACTTCACAATATTTTGATGATACGCACAAGTTTTATTTTTGTAGTGTATCTGTAATGTTTGTTGCGTATTTGATACCCTTGGATTTTATTTTCTGATGCGTATTTTACGCAGATACGCAGCTTCTCTGGAGCTCTGTACTTGGCAATAATTTCTTACAATTATACGCAGAAGGCAATATCATCATACAACTATTTTTACTAGGAACACATATTTTGGAAATGGATCGTGGTTCTTAAGTGTGTGACTAAGTAATAAAAGAAAATTATATATTGTGTTAGAGGAACTAGTTGAAAAGCAGAAACACTAAAGACATTTTTGGTCTGTTTCATCACTAAATAAATATATGAAAGGTGAATAAATTTAATAAAGTGCTTTTATTTTGTTGTCTTAATGAATCACAGTCTTTTGCAACCAATAAAATCGTTCAGATGTATAAATTTTTTTTCTAAATTTTCAGTCGGATATGCATTTACTGACTGAAAATGACTCATGTATGTTTCTAACCTCCTACATTGTTGCACCAGTAATCCATATATATAGCTGTGTACTGTCTTACCTAGTCATATAGACTCATGTCATCTTGGAATGCTGCTTCCTCCCGAGGCAAGGCAGTTAACAGACTATAAAAGTCCTGTTTCCACCCTTGTGGAACTACGCTGGAATTTCCAGGCTCGATAGTAGCACCACCAGTGGCTATTACGAGTTATGTCCCTTCTATGTCCCTCCTGTTAACCAATCAGATTCCACAGCTCATATCTCTTGCCTTTGCTTCAAACAAAATGACGTGCCCAGTCAGGACGATATGATCGATAATCAAGATCTATATTGTCATAAAGGGGTCTTATCTCCCGAAGTGCATCAAATCACGTGAGCACCTTGATTAAAAACGTGTAAAGATTTGGAAAATATCTGTTAATGCCCAGTTGACTGTACACATGGACTGGAAATAATGCAAACAATCGAAATCTGCACGGCAGTCGCCTTATTATTTATCAACCAGAAGTTGCTTACGTTATGCAATTTTAATTGGCCTTGTTGGTCCAGACAAAATATAACTCCAGCCTAGTTCGGCAAGGGTGGAAACTGGACTTTTACAGTCAGTTACTCCCTTGCCTGGGGAAGATGGGACTACTGTACTCTGTAGTACTGTTTCTCAATGTCAGGACACTGATAGATACACAGACAATCTCACCCTCCTGTCTTTTAATATCAAATATTCAACATTTGATAGAAGTATGAAACTTCTCGGCAAGCCTTGGCACCCGGACGTCACAATTAGACGACACTAATCTGTCTGCCACTGAAGCTGGCGTTTCAAACTTGTATCGAGGAGTGTTGATATATTGACACTCAGGTGACATTGTATTTATCATCCAAAATCATTCTTCCAACGTTTTTAGTTTGTAAACAGTAATAACCAGTGTCTTGAGTGTAAACACACTGTTGGCCAGCTCCAATGGCAGAGATTAGTGATGTCATTTGATTATGACATCATGGTAACCAATGATGTCCAAATTTTCTGCAAAGCATTGTGATGCAATTTCATTATAGTGTTATTGAGGAGATATCTCCTGTGGAAGCCTGTTTTGGATGATAAATAATCTTAACTGTAGGATTATTCCACATGTAGCTGTGTGACGTCCATCCCGGTCATATTTATACTCATATATCCATGTACTGCTGTAACTTAGAGCACCAGTAGAAACATCTCAACTGCAGGATCCTCTTCCCAATGGCAAGGAAGTTGACTGACTATAAAAATCCAGTTTCCACCCTTGCTGAATAGGCTGGAATTCCGGAGTTACATTTTGGCTGGACTAATGAGTAAATGCATAGTCCAATCAAAAGTGTGTGACAAACTAGACATCCTGTTCGCAAAGAACATAGATTTCAAAGTGCAGATTTTGGTTGACTGCAGGATTTGCAAAAAAATCAGATATTTTGCAAATCTTTTCATGTTTTTAATCAAAGTGCTCACGTTATTTGATGCACTTCGCGGGGTAAGACCCGTTTTATTACATTATAGATCTTGATTATCGATCAGATCGTCTTACCAAGGTGCCACCATTTTGTTTGAAGCAAATGCAAGTGATACGAGAAGTGGAATCTGATTGGTCAATAAGAGAGGCTTAGAAGGGACATAACTCTTAATAGTCACTGGTGGCGCTACGATCAAGCCTGGGAATTCCAGCCTAGTTCAGCAAGGGTGGAAACTGGACTTTAATTGTCAGTTAACGCCCTTGCCTTGGGAAGATGCTGTAGGATTAATCCATATATAGATGTGTGTGTCACTCTAACCCAGTCATATATATACTTGTATAGTCATGTGCTGCTGTAACATATAACAGTGTTATTCAATGTGAGAGCACCAGTAGAAACATCATCTTAATTGTCTGATTAATCCATATAAACCTATGTGTGTCACTCTAACCCAGTCATATATACTTGTATAGTCATGTGCTGCTGTAACATGTAACAGCGTTATTCAATGTGAGAGCACCAGTAGAAACATCATCTTAACTGTCTTCTGAATCCATCATGTTGTGATTGTAATACATCATCTGTTAACTGTTGTGGAAGGGGCCATCACGTATGCTGTGTGTTTTAGTTTGGGGATAATTGTGGAATTGTTCTTCTGTTCCCTCTGTGTCTGATTCATCACTAACACTGATAACAAAGCATCACGTGTGTTATGAGGGATTTAAATAGAGACATACATGTATATGTAATGTACTTCTGTATTTTCAGAACCTAGCCAAGGGGAGACAACTCAAGAGCCCGACGATGCCCCTGTTGAAGGTATGAAGATACCCATTAAGATTCGGGGTAGAATTGGTCTTCAAGCAACCCATGCTTACCATGAAAGGCGACTATGTTTGTCGTAAGAGGCAACTAATGAGTTTGGATGGTCAGGCTCGCTGACTTGATTGATGCATGTCATCATATCCCAGTTGCGTGGATTGATGCTCATGATGTCAATCACTGGATTTTCTGGTCCAGACTCGATTATATACAGACTGCCATCATATAGCTGGAATATTGCTGAGTGCAGCGTTAAACAACAAACAAACAAAAGGTATGAAGATAAAATTCTCTAAATGTTCATTTTAATAATTCTAAAAAATTCAGATTTGTTATTATTAATTCAAATTTGAATTTATCCTTATACCCTCAACATGAGTTTTTTTTAATTGAGATTCAGAAGCTGTAAAAATGTCCTGTTTTACCTGTTAAATGTAAAAGAAATATTCTATGTATTATTTACCTAGTGTCTGACCAAGGTGCCAACACCAGTCGACCCCCGAGTGGGTCCGGGACACAAGCAGGTGATAGCATCATTATATAGCCTCGTCTGTCTTCTGGGTACCACTGTATATCATGTATATGCTTGTGGTAGAATATCATTATATAGCCTCGTCTGTCTTCTGGGTACCACTGTATATCATGTATATGCTTGTGGTAGAATATCATTATATAGCCTCGTCTGTCTTCTGGGTACCACTGTATATCATGTATATGCTTGTGGTAGAATATCATTATATAGCCTCGTCTGTCTTCTGGGTACCACTGTATATCATGTATATGCTTGTGGTAGAATATCATTATATAGCCTCGTCTGTCTTCTGGGTACCACTGTATATCATGTATATGCTTGTGGTAGAATATCATTATATAGCCTAGCCTGTCTTCTAGGTGCCACCGTATATCATGTATATGCTTGTGGTAGAATATCATTATATAGCCTAGCCTGTCTTCTAGGTACCATCATATATCATGTATATGCTTGTGGTAGAATATCATTATATAGCCTCGCCTGTCTTCTGGGTACCACCTGATATCATGTATATGCTTGTGGTAGAATCTCATTATATAGCCTAGCCTGTCTTCTGGGTACCACCTGATATCATGTATATGCTTGTGGTATAAATATCATTATATAGCCTAGCCTGTCTTCTGGGTACCACCTGATATCATGTACAGTATATGCTTGTGGTAGAATATCATTATATAGCCTCGTCTGTCTTCTGGGTACCACCGTATATCATGTATATGCTTGTGGTAGAATATCATTATATAGCCTCGCCTGTCTTCTGGGTACCACCTGATATCATGTATATGCTTGTGGTAGAATCTCATTATATAGCCTAGCCTGTCTTCTGGGTACCACCTGATATCATGTATATGCTTGTGGTATAAATATCATTATATAGCCTAGCCTGTCTTCTGGGTACCACCTGATATCATGTACAGTATATGCTTGTGGTAGAATATCATTATATAGCCTCGTCTGTCTTCTGGGTACCACCTGATATCATGTATATGCTTGTGGTAGAATCTCATTATATAGCCTAGCCTGTCTTCTGGGTACCACCTGATATCATGTATATGCTTGTGGTAGAATCTCATTATACAGCCTAGCCTGTCTTCTGGGTACCACTGTATATCATGTATATGCTTGTGGTAGAATATCATTATATAGCCTAGCCTGTCTTCTAGGTACCACTGTATATCATGTATATGCTTGTGGTAGAATATCATTATATAGCCTAGCCTCTCTTCTGGGTACCACCGTATATCATGTATATGCTTGTGGTAGAATATCATTATATAGCCTTGCCTGTCTTCTGGGTACCACTGTATATCATAGAAATGCTTGTGGTAGAATATCATTATATAGCCTAGCCTGTCTTCTAGGTACCACCGTAAATCATGTATATGCTTGTAGATGCCTTTCTCTATACTGAAATGGGGCGGTCAGGTAGCCTAGTGGTTAAAGCGTTCGCTCGTCGTGCCGAAGACCCGGGTTCGATTCCCGACATGGGTACAATGTGTGAAGCCCATTTCTGGTGTCCCCCGTCGTGATATTGCTGGAATATTGCTAAAAGCGGCGTAAAACCATACTCACTCACTCACTATACTGAAATGACTGAAAATTAATATTTGAAAACACATTTCAATGTCAGAATCAACAAATGTACCCTAGCAGGATAACGTTTGTTTGGCACGAACATGTCCATCCACAATGTGTGAAACTGGTAAGGAAATGTAAGCAGGGAACCGATTTTCATGCTTTTCGGGATGGACTCGTCCTGGCACTAGCTCGCTACATTGCCAAACTTGGGTACATTCAGTATATAGGTACCTGGGGTGCATATCTGTAGTAGGGCTGGGATGGGTAACTCGGGTACCCAGGTCGGGTGGGCACTGAGTAGGACCCGGGTACCCACAGGACTACCCGGACCAGTGGTTAGTCATGTGATATATTGTTTAATGACCAAAATTATCTAAAACTCTATGGTTACCGGTATACTACAAATCAATAATGTTTGCATTTCTTATAGACTAACACCATTCGTACATGAATCTAAATACGTTTTGCCAGGGCTATGGTAAAAAAATTCCCAATCAGACATTTTGTACCTATCTCTTAGACCTACAGTGGGTACCCGGGTAGGGTCGGGTAATAGGGGGGTGGGTACCCGGGTAGTACATTTGGACTCGTCCCAGCCCTAATCTGTAGTGCCCTCTCTTAGAACGGCCCCTTCATCGCTACTTTCACCACCCTAACACTAGCATTTTTTAACATACACACCTAGTTCGTGTTCTCTGCTGCTGGATTTATGTTCTAGTAATTTAAGATCCACTCTTTCTCTGTATATAGTTTATAGTTGCTTTCATCCATTACACCAATCTATATGGCAAGATTTCAGTATTTCACAAGTGTAATTCACAAACACCTTGCAACTCGAAAAGTAAAATCTAGTAGCTTGCTACGTTCACAAGCTCGTTGACATTCTTATTATACATATGCAGGTGTTAATTTCTAACCCTGGAGATAAGTGTTCTGTACAGCCCCTAACATGATACATCAATGAGGACATCAGCGATGAGGACATGTCTTTTGGGAATGTAATGAAACTAAACCATTTTGGAATGATCTTGAACTTTGGCTTAATAATTACAAAAAATTAAATTAACAAAATATTTTATTTAGATTGGCTCTAACTACACTAATACTTTAATCAATCATATACTTTTATCGGAAAAAAGGCATATTCCTGAATGTGGAATAAAAGGAATCAAACTGAAAATAGATATACTTATAAAAAAACTTAAAACATATATTCAGTCGTGAAATTTATTGATGTTAAAAAAGATGACAAAATTAACTTTAACAAAAAATGGTCACTTTTATTCTCAGCATTTGATTCTTAGCTCTCTGTTGATACATGCTATGTTTGAGTCTGATTGTGTGTTGCAACCTTTTTGGTTTGAAATGTGACACTGTTTCCAAACATTTACATTTTCAAGGAGTGTATGGTGTCATTTTATTGCAATCCGAAATTTGTTTTTGACGGAATACTGTATTACTCTACAACTCTGGGGGGGCACGGGTGGCCGAGTCGTCTAAGGCGCCGCGATTCGCTGTGCAGAGTTGCGTCCCTTGGGCACGCCAGAAACCTATGATTGTGGGTTCGAATCCCGGTTCGCCCCAATTATGTTTCTAGGTTTGTCAGCACCATACCCGTGCTTGTGGGTTTCACCGAAGTGGTAAACGTCTGAGACCTGCATCACTTCGGGCTTTCCTCCCACATTAAGCTGACACGCCGTGATATAACTGGAATACTGTTAAAAGCGGCGTTAAACCCAACTCACTCACTCACTCACTCTACAACTCTGGGAACAAGAAAAATTTAAAAAAAGCAACGAAAATACTGTGACCAAGCACAGTGATCTAGCCAACAGGAACAATGATGAACATCCTCCTTCACCTCGCGGCACAGAGTGTCGCTGTATTGTATAACCTGCATGCTTGTGTCTTCAGGTGGAGCCACCACAGATGAGGGTACTGTGAACGTCAACGAGACAGGCCCTGAACAGGCAGAACAAAGTGAGGATAAACAGGAAGAAGGGGCTCCGGAACCAGGACAAGAGAAGTCGGAAGAATCAGCAGCTGCTCAGGATCCAGAGTCCAAACAGGAAGCCGAGGCAGAGAGTCAGGATGACCCCAAGACGGAAACCACTGCTGAAGGCCAGAAAGAAATAGCATCTGGGGATCAGAAAGAAACCACTGGTGAAGATCAGAAAGAAACAACAGAGGAAGCTGCTGACAACGCTGGAATGCTGCAAGAGGCTGAAGGAAGTCCTGCCCAGGCTGAAGGAGAAGCACCTGCTGCAGCTCCACAACAAGACGGCCAGGAGGATGCCAAGGAGAAGGGTCAGCTGGATGAGCAATCGACTGAAAAGCCACCGGAGCAGACTGGGGATGGGTCCGGTGTAGAGTCCGGGGATAGGTCCGGGGATAGGTCCGGGGACAAGCCCCAGGAACAGAGTGAGGAAGCTAAAGAAGGGGAGGTAACACAAGAGGAAGTAAAATCAGATGAGACAACTGACCAGACTGCCAAGACAGGAGAGGTAACTGGAGATGGAGAGGCTGCCGGAGAGAGCAATCAGAATGAAGAGGGAGGGGATGCTGATCAATCCCAGAATGCACTTGAGGAGGAAGGAGGTAGGAATGTGACCGAGAATTTCAAACTTTACAGGTCATTTGATTGAATTATTGAGATTATGATGCCAATGTTGTTTGACTATATTATATTTTATTCTGTGCTTCCCTTGCTCTGACCTGATGGCTAAAAAAACTTTACATGTAAAAATGAAACATGCCCTGTTAATAATTCTTTTGGAACCTGTAAGGCAAAAATGGATTTGATGAAGGTTCTTTGTGATCTCTAAAGAATGTAATAAGCTATCATTAGGGACCAGTTCACAAGTTCAATGTTGGATAAAAATGACATGAGTCCATTAAACTCCGGAATTCATTTTCAGAGTTAAGTTTGTTTGTTAGATGGGTAGGGGTTGGGGTATTCCTCAAAAGTTAAGAAATGAATTCTTTTTGCGACATCAAACCTTTGAACTGGTCCCTCAGTTTGAGGCAAGTAACTGATGTTTCTATATGTGATAAGTACACCAGTCAGTGCCCTGTGTCAAGGGTCCTCGTCAGCATAGTGTTAAAAACGACAGGTTAAGAACATGTTCCCTGACTTAAGCCATTCTACATTTAACAGACTGAGTCAGTTTGGATTACTAGTACAACTACCGTATTTGACATAATAAGCACCCCGCTCTTATAAGAGCCCACATCGATATTGGCTAATATATTGGCTAGTGAACAATCCCAATTAGCACCCCTTCTGATTGATCAATGTACACAAGACTTATTTATTCGTGTATAATACATGTGTTATATGCATCCTTAATTATGGGAAATTAAATTCTGGAAAAGTATATCCATTGTATGTAAACATTTCAGGCTGTCAGCATAAACCACGAAATTAACGATCTTTCAACTCTGTTGTTTTTCACCAAAATTATATTCTAATAAGAGCCCCCTATTTCTAATTTTGAGAGCGCTATGGGCGCTTATTACGTCGAATCCGGTATCTTACCATTCTGTATGTGTTTGTAGATGCGCAGGATGCTGAGCCCGAGGTCCTCATCCCAGGGGATTTCTACTACAACTTCCAGGAACAGGTTTCCAAGGCCAAGGTCACTCAAGACTCGGGTCTGCCGGAGGACTTGCTCTCTCTACAGTATCCTTGGAACTATTGCTGAAGCATGTTTTGTGGGGTAGCTTGTGAGAGAAACTACGGAGGTTCCATCATAGAATAGACTGATTTCTGGCTGTTATGTATGTTGTTGTATCATCAGGTTTACTTTCCGTAGGGGGCATGGGTGGACCAGTCGTCTAAGGCGTGGCGATTCGCTGTGCAGAGTTGCGTCCCTTGGGCATGCCAGAAACCTATGATTGTGGGTTTGAATCACAGTTCGCCCCAATTATGTTTCTAGGTTTGTCAGGACCATACCCGTGCTTGAGGGTTTCACCGAAGTGGTAAACGTCTGAGACCTGCTTCACTTCGGGCTTTCCTCCCACATTAAGCTGACACGCCGTGATATGACTGGAATACTGTTAAAAGCGGCGTTAAACCAGACTCACTCACTCACTCACTCACTCACTAATTCTACGAAGGTCGGGTGAAACATAAAGTCTTTTTTCTTCTGCCATTTAGCAATATATATCCCCATGATGTGTATTTTGTACATAAAATAAACAAATTTAATGCAATTTTGCAGTAATCGACAGAAAAAGAGATGCATCATCACGTTTTGATTCAGTAAAATTTGAGACTGACAACTTTTAACAATGACTTGTAGGATTTTCAAGTAGCCAGACCTGATTTCGGGGGGAAATGTATTTCAAGTCTGCAAACCAGCTGTGATACATCCTTTTCTCCGATAAATAGACGATAATTTATAGAGGATCTCACCCGTGTGACTTTAGATATCAAATATATCACGAGTTGATATAAATTTTAAATGTATTGAACTGTTATCGACAAGTATTTATATGGGATATTAATATAGATTCTGTTTATCATTCATAACCCTTTTCAAACTAATCAAGTTTGGATGAGAAAAAGTTACCCCGCTTCCGCCCAAGGGGAGGAAACTGTTCTAAATGTTATCGCAAATCTGTTGTGACCCTTGACCCTCGTACAGACATTCCTTTGGCTACGACTGTCGTCGCCGTGCCAACCTGTTCATGCTGGACTCCAGAACGTTGATCTTCATTGCGGGGAACCTGGTCCAGCTGCTGGACATCAACACCAAGGAACAGCGCTACATCCGCAGCACAAGCGGGGGCGGCATCGGTGCACTTGCGGTAAGTTTGCTTGTTTGTTTCTTGTATAACACCCACCTCGCCAATATTCCAGCTATATGACGGCGGTCTGTATATAATTGAGTCTGGATCAGACAGTCCAGTGATGGACATCACGAACATCGATCCACGCTATTGGGATACAATGACATGCACCCACCATGTCAGCGAGCCTGACCACCCGATCCCGTTAGCCTCTTACAAGAAGCATAGTCGCCTTTTACGGCAAGCATAGGTTGCTGAAGACCTATTCTACCCAGGATCTTCACGAATGCTCCCAGTAGGTCCGGCGTCAGCGTCAGCTTGCATGTAGTGAGAATAGGTCCCCAGTATTCTTCCAGGTTGTGAGAGGTGACTTCATTGTATTGTGTGTATAACTAACTGGGGGGGCACAGGTGGTCCAATCATCTACTGTGCCACAATTTCCTGTACAGAATTGCATCACTTCGGCACTCCAGAAACCCATGACAGTTGGTTTGTATCCTTAGTCTATGGCTGGTTCGCCCTCGTTAAGTTTCAAGGTTCTTCAGCACCATGGATAACACAAGTGCTAAATTTCTGAGCCTTGCATAACATTCTCCCACATTTAGCTGACACGCCTTGATATACTGTATTTGACGTAATAAGCGCCCAGGGCGCTCTCAAAATTAGAAATAGGGGCTCTTATTAGAATATTAATTTGGTGGAAAAAACAGAGTTGAAAGATAAATTTCGTGGTTTATGCTGACTGCCTGAACTGTTTATATATGACAGATATATTTTTCCAGAATTTAATTGCCCATAATTGAGGGTGCATATAAGACACGAGCGCGTATTATACACGAATAAATAAGTCTTGTGTACATTGATCAATTGGAAGATGTGCTTATTGTCATTAAATCTGATTTTAATGAGATTGTGATATTGTAGATGGAATATCAGGGGTAGATTCAACAAGAATTTTGTATGCAGCAGTAGGGCTAGCTCCTAAGTTAATTTTCCAATCTAACTGGCCTACAACAAAATGGTGGAGGCTGCGTAGCCATCTATCAGGGCTGTGAAAATTTTAGAACTCATCACGCCTAAGACTTTTTTTTCCTGCACTCTGAGATTAAATCGTGGCTTCCATGTGCCTCATTTCATGGCGATTTATGAGCAAATAAAGAAGTTGTTGTACACAACAATACAAAATGGCGGCCGGTTGTCATTCTACGGAGATGATTCAATTAGAAAAATTAAGCATACACAGAAAAGGGGTGAAATTTTGACTCTCCAGGTGGGACATCTACCTTATGTTTCAGAAAGCCCTTTGTAATTTTAACCTGCCATGGGCCAACAGGCTAACAGGCCAGCAGACAAATCGACCCTTAGAATATTGCATGGAGCATGTTTTTCATGTAGTGTAGACCCAGAGCTCCAGATGAGCTTTTGGTGTTGTGGGTATTTTACCCATGCATCTTAAAATCATTGGGTATCAGTAATTCTATCTGGGTATTCAAATTTCTGTTACCCACTAGTTTTTACACATGTGGGTATTTAAGTTAAATATTTAAAAACACTATTCATCTAGTCCCTGCAAACTGGTGTCGTGTGGGTTTGAGAGCTTTATAGGACTCAAAAATACCACGATACTTCCACAAGAAAGTGTGATGGCAAATGATCATGATGTAACTGTCATCGTGGAGTTTGGCAAGGTTGACAGAATGCCCGTTTATAATTTCAAAATAAGTTGCTGATTTGCGTATCGAGTACACAGGGTTACTTCACAATATTTTGATGATACGCACAAGTTTTATTTTTGTAGCATATCTGTAATGTTCGTTGTGTATTTGATAGGCTTGGATGTTATTTTACTGCGTATTTCTGCATTTCTTTTTTACACAGATACGCAGCTTATCTGGAGCTGTGGCACCATGTCTCTTTTCAATAGGATTGGTTCCATATTTATCATGTGAATATCCATCTTTCAACTTAAGAGCTTCTCTTGTCAGCTAGCATGGAGAGTAGAATGTGTCAGTGCCCCCAGGGTACTCTCCAGGTTAGAATAGCTATAGGCTCCCACTGCTCAGTGTTGTATTGGGCGATATAATGGATCTGGTGGCACGCCAGAAACCTATGATTGTGGGTTCGAATCCCGGTTCGCCCCGATTATGTTTCTAGGTTTGTCAGCACCATACCCGTGCTCGTGGGTTTCACCGAAGTGGTAAACGTCTTCGACCTGCATCACTTCAGGCTTTCCTCCCACATTAAGCTGACACGCCGTGATATAACTGGAATACTGTTAAAAGCGGCGTTAAACCCAACTCACTCACTCACTCACTACCTGCGGCGTGGGAATTGCACATACTATCAATCACTGGTTTGCCTGGTCCAGACTCAATTATTTAGAGGCAGTTGAGATATTGCTAGAATATTGCTGACTCTGACGTAAAACAACATTCACTCTAACTGTTGTGTCTTCAGGTTCATCCCAGCAGGAAGTACTTTGCTGCAGCAGAGAAGGGCAATGTGCCCAACATCAACATCTTCGAGTTCCCGTCTCTGAAGCTATACCGGATCCTGCGTGGAGGCACGGAGAAGTCCTACTCCTCCCTGGACTTCAGGTACAGTCTGGGGGGCGGTCGGGTAGCCTAGTGGTTAAAGAGTTCGCTCGTCACCCCGAAGACCCAGGTTCGATTCCCGACATGGGTACAATGTGTGAAGCCCATTTCTGGTGACCCCTGCCGTGATATTGCTGGAATATTGCTAAAAGCGGCGTAAAATCAGACTCAGTCACTCAGGTACAGTCTGGCTCTGCTGCTGTGTTTTACTGAGCTCCAGATAATGTTTTGAGCAATTGAGTTTTTACTCTAGGGTTTCTATTTTAATGGGGTTATTACATTCTTCATTGGGTTACCAATATTTTGTCACTCATCTATTCATCACTCTATTGGGTTTTTCCCCAAATTAGTGAACATTTTAAGATTAAAAACATGAAATAATGTTTTAGATGTATATAACTAAATATATAGGCTTGACCCGGAAAGTAAATTAGCTCGTAATTGTGTTTCGGAATTTTTCGCTCCTTTGTATGCATGCCGAAAAAGCTACATTTGGTATTTACGTGAGTTGTTTTTATACATTTGAGTTTTTCATTTAATGCATACGTTTCTGTACAAAAGTTAGTTGAAAGTAATTGGGTTTTGAATATTTTGGGGGGTATTTTATGCAAATACCTTGCTTATCTGTAGCTCTGCAGCTGTTTCAACCATGTAGTTATTGTGAGACCGGCAAAGGAATAAAATCACACACGTCTTGTAGCTCTGTTGGGGAGCTGCTGACTTCTGTTGTTTGAGGTCTTTGTGTGTGATACTGTACCCTGTAGTCCAGGGGTCCGGAAAATTGAAAATCCCAATCGGACATTTGCATTTAGGCCACGCCCCCTTCAAATAGCGTATTTTAGTACGACTTTTCACACACATTACAAGTTTACGTATTCATAATATGATGAATTATGAATTGTTTCAATTTAAATTGTTTAATTCACCGGACAATTAATAACAAATAATATCATTTTTAGATTTACATGGAAAACATACGTTTGTTTCTTTTATAATAACGATCTGTTAACGTAGTGAACGGTCTAATTAATATTCATGAGTTATATTCATGAGTCTGCTCAAGTGTACGCGTTGTAACATTTGGATCGAGACTATTATCCCATATTTGGTTATCACGTGACCTCACGGGAATTATTTTTTTTAAACTAAAGATTTTTTTAAAAACAAGACATAATTTAATCACAAATAAAAAAATATCGTTGATAGCAATAGTTATTTGAATACTTTTTTCATCTGTACTTATTTATTGACCATAAAAAAATTGGATATCGATCGTCCGAGAAAGCAAAATGGCGGTCAATCAAGATTCAATATACGACTAGCTACTGAAAACAATAAAATCTGCAAATCCTCATTGTATGTCAACCAAGTGAAAGTCGTTAGCCACGACTTACAAAATGATCGTCCAGACTTTGAGGGTTTGGCAGATCCGCTCGACTGATCTGCATCGGTCGACTGGCTGTCGTCACGCTTTCGCTTCTTGTCTGAGGTTACGTATCGTAGCATTGTGAGGTTAATGAGGTACATCGATGATGCAAGGTATTAATGTACAGTTGTAAACACCTTTCACTCAAATTAACAAGATGTTCTCAGTAATTAATCCTCGATTAATCAGTGTCAACTCAGTTTATTGCCTATTACAGTGATTTGGACTATCATGTAGGTACGATGTATTTACAGCAATCAAACAAACAAAGCTTGTCAGTGTAGTAAATCTTCATTGTGTTGCAACTGCAGACAGAAACTGCTCAGTCCTAACTGTTGATCATGTCCGGTCAAAATTTAAGAATGTCCGGACAATACTTTTTAAAATGTCCGGTAAGCAATATTTTAAACCGGACATTTGAGATTCCCAATCGGACATGTCCGGCGCATATGACGGTTTCCGGACCCCTGCTGTAGTCTGACATTGCTGTGATGGTTTGCATCCTCGTGTTGCAGCTCTGATGGGGAGCTGCTGACTTCTGTTGGTGGAGACCCGGACTTCATGCTGACCGTGTGGAACTGGAAACAGGAGAAGACCATGCTGAGATCCAAGGCGTTCTCCCAGGAAGTGTTCCGGGCGACGTTCTCCACGGAGCTGGAGGGACAGCTCACCACTGCTGGTACAGGACACATCAGGTGGGGAATCAGGGATTATCCTGAAAAACTTTCACCTACAAGAGAAAAGGGGGCACAGGTGGCCCAGTCGTCTAAGGCGCCGCGATTCGCTGTGCAGAGTTGCGTCCCTTGGACATGCCAGAAACCTATGATTGTGGGTTCAAATCCCGGTTCGCCCCGATTATGTTTCTAGGTTTGTCAGCACCATACCCATGCTCGTGGGTTTCACCGAAGTGGTAAACGTCTGAGACCTGCATCACTTCGGGCTTTCCTCCCACATTAAGCTGACACGCCATGATATAACTGGAATAATGTTAAAAGCGGCGTTAAACCCAACTCACTCACTCACTGACTACAAGAGAAAAAATTTCCCTGGTCCAAAAGCAATGAGATTTTTGGGAGTGCGATGGTGTGATGAGATTTTCAAAATTATGAGAGCTATTTCATCCTCAAACAGTGGAAACTGTACACTTTTAGGTACGGTAGATGTTTATCTTCACGCAATATGACATTTTTCATTTTTGTTGTGTAACCGTTAGATGTACGTGATTTTCAATGGCACTGAATGAATCTTGATGTGATGTGAATGACAACTTTGTGAGAATACCGCCAATGCCTGGGGAATGTTTACCTGAGGCTTCCTTTGGGTTGGTTGTGGCAATTGTTGAAGGGAAAAAGTATAAAGGTTGGAAAAATGTGTTTGATCCCTTCAAGAAAAATCTTTGGGGCCAAATTAAAAAAGCATTTGATGAAAAAAACATGGATTGTTTCTTTGAAATAAAAGTCAAAGAGTTACTTACTTTCTCATTTATGCTTTTTTTTTTTATCTTCAAACTTTGAATTTGATTGCTGCTTCTAAATTTGTGAAATTTTGAGACAGTGATTGGTGGAAAAGTAGTAAAAATGAAGCTGTCCAACGGCCAGAAGGGTTAAAGATGATAAACAGAGGGTATGACTGACAGTGTTAATTAGGGTTGGATAACTCCGGTGTATTAGGTTGTTAGGAGACATTGCTGGGCTGGGCTCAAACAGGTAACTGTTTTGTTCCCAGGTTCTGGAAAATGGCGGACACATTCACTGGTCTGAAGCTGCAGGGAGAGCTGGGGAGATTCGGTAAGACGGAGATCTCGGACATCGACGGCTACGTGGAGCTGCCCGATGGCAAGGTGTTGTCCGGCTCGGAGTGGGGCAACATGTTGCTGTGGGAGGGAGGACTCATCAAGGTGGAGATAGCTCGCAAGAACAAGAAGCCTTGTCATAACGGAGCCATTCAGCAGATCCTGCTGGATGAAGGAGAGCTAATGACCATAGGGGTGGACGGATTCATTCGGGTAGGTGTGATGCTCTCATCAGGGTGGATGGGTTATCAGGGTAGGTGTGATGCTGACATCAGGGTGGATGGGTTATCAGGGTAGGTGTGATGCTGTCATCAGGGTGGATGGGTTGTCATCAGGGTGGTTGGTTATTAGGGTAGGTGTGATGCTGTCATCAGGGTGGATGGGTTGTCATCATGGTGGATGGTTATTAGGGTAGGTGTGATGCTATCATCATGGTGGATGGGTTGTCATCACGGTGGATGGTTATTAGGGTAGGTGTGATGCTGTCATCAGGGTGGATGGGTTGTCATCATGGTGGATGGTTATTAGGGTAGATGTGATGCTGTCATCAGGGTGGATGGTTTGTCAGGGTAGGTGTCATGCTGTCATCAGGGTGGATGGTTATTAGGGTAGGTGTGATGCTGTCATCAGGGTGGATGGTTGTTTGGGTAGGTGTGATGCTGTCATCAGGGTGGATGGTTGTTAGGGTAGATGTGATGCTGTCATCAGGGTGGACGGTTATTAGGGTAGGTGTGATGCTGTCATCAGGGTGGATGGTTGTTTGGGTAGGTGTGATGCTGTCATCAGGGTGGATGGTTGTTAGGGTAGATGTGATGCCGTCATCAGGGTGGATGGTTATTAGGGTAGGTGTGATGCTGTCATCAGGGTGGATGGTTGTTTGGGTAGGTGTGATGCTGTCATCAGGGTGGATGGTTGTCAGGGTAGGTGTGATGCTGTCGTCAGGGTGGATGGTTATTAGGGTAGGTGTGATGCTGTCATCAGGGTGGATGGTTGTTTGGGTAGGTGTGATGCTGTCATCAGGGTGGATGGTTGTTAGGGTAGATGTGATGCTGTCATCAGGGTGGATGGTTATTAGGGTAGGTGTGATGCTGTCATCAGGGTGGATTGGTTGTTTGGGTAGGTGTGATGCTGTCATCAGGGTGGATGGTTGTTAGGGTAGGTGTGATGCTGTCATCAGGGTGGATGGTTGTTAGGGTAGATGTGATGCTGTCATCAGGGTGGATGGTTATTAGGGTAGGTGTGATGCTGTCATCAGGGTGGATGGTTGTTTGGGTAGGTGTGATGCTGTCATCAGGGTGGATGGTTGTTAGGGTAGGTGTGATGCTGTCATCAGGGTGGATGGTTGTTTGGGTAGGTGTGATGCTGTCATCAGGGTGTATTGGTTGTCAGGGTAGGTGTGATGTTGTCATCAGGGTGGATGGTTGTTTGGGTAGGTGTGATGCTGTCATCAGGGTGGATTGGTTGTCAGGGTAGGTGTGATGTTGTCATCAGGGTTGATGGTTGTTTGGGTAGGTGTGATGTTGTCATCAGGGTGGATGGTTATTAGGGTAGATGTGATGCTGTCATCAGGGTGGATGGTTGTTAGGGTAGGTGTGATGCTGTCATCAGGCTGGATGGTTATTAGGGTAGGTGTGATGCTGTCATCAGGGTGGATGGTTTGTCAGGGTAGGTGTTATGCTGTCATCATGGTGGATGGTCATTAGGGTAGATGTGATGCTGTCATCAGGGTGGATGGTTGTTAGGGTAGGTGTGATGCTGTCATCAGGCTGGATGGTTATTAGGGTAGGTGTGATGCTGTCATCAGGGTGGATTGGTTGTCAGGGTAGGTGTGATGTTGTCATCAGGGTGGATGGTTGTTAGGGTAGGTGTGATGCTGTCATCAGGGTGGATGGGTTATCAGGGTAGGTGTGATGCTGTCATCAGGGTAGATGGGTTGTCAAGGTAGGTGTGATGCTGTCATCAGGGTGGTATGGGTTGTCAGGGTAGGGGTGATGCTGTCATCAGGGTGGATCTGTTGTTAGGGTAGGTGTGATGCTGTCATCAGGGTGGATGGTTATTAGGGTAGGTGTGATGCTGTCATCAGGGTGGATGGTTATTAGGGTAGGTGTGATGCTGTCATCAGGGTGGATGGTTGTTTGGGTAGGTGTGATGCTGTCATCAGGGTGGATGGTTATTAGGGTAGGTGTGATGCTGTCATCAGGGTGGATGGTTGTTTGGGTAGGTGTGATGCTGTCATCAGGGTGGATGGTTGTTTGGGTAGGTGTGATGCTGTCATCAGGGTGGATGGTTGTTTGGGTAGTTGTGATGCTGTCATCAGGGTGTATTGGTTGTCAGGGTAGGTGTGATGTTGTCATCAGGGTGGATGGTTGTTTGGGTAGGTGTGATGCTGTCATCAGGGTGGATTGGTTGTCAGGGTAGGTGTGATGTTGTCATCAGGGTGGATGGTTGTTTGGGTAGGTGTGATGTTGTCATCAGGGTGGATGGTTATTAGGGTAGGTGTCATGCTGTCATCAGGGTTAATGGTTATCAGGGTAGGTGGAATGCTGTCATCAGGGTGGATGGTTTGTCAGGGTAGGTGTGATGCTGTCATCAGGGTGGATGGGTTGTCATCGGTTGATCTGTTGTCAGGCTACGTGTAATGCTGTCAAATTAAGTCTTGGAATAGAAAACAAGTAGTTTCAGTACATAGTTGAGGATGACTGCCATGGTATGCATGCAACAAAAGATGATGCATGGACTGCATGTTTGTTGCAGATGTGGGACTTTGAGTCTATAGACACTGCAGACTCCACGGACGACACCGCACTGTTCGAGATGGAGCCCATGAATGAGCTACAAGTGAACCCTGATGCCCAGCTCCGTTCCATCGTCAAGTCTGTGGATGATGAGAATCAGCCCACCATATGGTACTCACAGGTACGTTTAGTGATGAAGACATTTTAGACTTTGTCTTAAGATCAATAGGGGCATGGGTGGCACTTTTTCATCTAAAGCGCAGCATGTCGCTGTGCAGGGTTGCATCCCTTGGGTGTCCCAAAAACTTATGATCGAGTGTTCAAATCCCAGATTTGCCTTGACAAGGTTTCTTGGTTTGTTAGCAACATCATTTACTCACTCACTCACTCACTCACTCACTCACTCACTCACTCACTCACTCACTCACTCACTCACTCACTCACTCACTCACTCACTCACTCACTCACTCACTCACTTGTTCACTCACTCACTCACTCACTCACTCACTCACTCACTTGTTCACTCCCTCACTCACTCACTCACTCCTTCACTCACTCCACTCCTTCAGTCCTTCACTCACTCGTTCACTCCCTCACTCACTCACTCGTTCACTCCTTCACTCACTCCTACACTCACTCATTCACTCACTCACTGCTTCACTCACTCACTCACTCCTTCAGTCCTTCACTCCCTCAACCCCTCACTCACTCACTCACTCACTCACTCGTTCACTCCTTCACTCCTTCACTCACTCACTCACTCACTCCTTCACTCCTTCACTCACTCACTCACTCACTGCCTCACTCACTCCTTCACTCACTCACTCACTCGTTCACTCCTTCACTCACTCATTCCTTCACTCACTCACTCCTTCACTAACTCCTTCACTCACTCACTCATGTTTGTATTCCTGTAGGATGCTAATGGTGGGATCTGGCGGCTGGACCTGTCCTTCTCACACACCTCCCAGGCCCCCGAGAAGCTGATGACCTACCATGCTGGCCCCATCACCGACTGTAGCGTCTCCCCCATCACACATCTCACTGCCACCATCGGCTTGGACAGTAAGTATAAAGTCATCTCCATCAAACACCTTCCCCATGGATTACACAGTAACACCTCCCCCCATCACACATCTCACCGCCACCATCGGCTTGGACAGTAAGTATAAAGTCATCTCCATCAAACACCTTCCCCATGAATTACATCGTAATACCTCCCCCCATGACACATCTCACCGCCACCATCGGCTTGGACAGTAAGTATAAAGTCATCTCCATCAAACACCTTCCCCATGAATTACACCGTAACACCTCCCCCTATCACACATCTCACCGCCACCATCGGCTTGGACAGTAAGTATAAAGTCATCTCCATCAAACACCTTCCCCATGGATAACACAGTAACACCTCCCCCCATCACACATCTCACCACCACCATCGGCTTGGACAGTAAGTATAAAGTCATCTCCATCAAACACCTTCCCCATGAATTACATCGTAATACCTCCCCCCATGACACATCTCACCGCCACCATCGGCTTGAACAGTAAGTATAAAGTCATCTCCATCAAACACCTTCCCCCATAGATTACATCGTAACACCTCCCCCCATCACACATCTCACCACCACCATCGGCTTGGACAGTAAGTATAAAGTCATCTCCATCAAACACCTTCCCCATGAATTACATCGTAATACCTCCCCCCATGACACATCTCACCGCCACCATCGGCTTGGACAGTAAGTATAAAGTCATCTCCATCAAACATCTTCCCCATGGATTACACCGTAACACCTCCCCCCATGACACATCTCACCGCCACCATCGGCATGGACAGAGAGTATAAAGTCATCTCCATCAAACATCTTCCCCCATAGATTACACCGTAACACCTCCCCCCATCACACGTATCACCGCCGCCATCGGCATGGACAGTCAGTATAAAGTCATCTCCATCAAACATCTTCCCCCATAGATTACATCGTAACACCTCCCCCCATCACACATCTCACCGCCACCATCGGCTTGGACAGTAGGTATAAAGTCATCTCCATCAAACATCTTCCCCATGAATTACACCATAACACCTCCCCCTATCACACATCTCACTGCCACCATCGGCATTGACAGTCAGTATAAAGTCATCTCCGTTAAACATCTTCCCCATGGATTACACCGTAACACCTCCCCCCATGACACATCTCACCGCCACCATCAGCATGGACAGTCAGTATAAAGTCATCTCCATCAAACATCTTCCTCATGGATTACACTGTAACACCTCCCCCCATCACACATCTCACTGCCACCATCGGCATGGACAGTAAGTATAAAGTCATCTCCATCAAACACCTTCCCCCATAGATTACATCGTAACACCTCCCCCCATCACACATCTCCCCGCCACCATCGACTTGGACAGTAAGTATAAAGTCATCTCCATCAAACATCTTCCCCATGGATTACACAGTAACGACTCCCCCCATCACACATCTCACTGCCACCATCGGCATGGACAGTAAGTATAAAGTCATCTCCATCAAACACCTTCCCCCATAGATTACACCGTAACACCTCCCCCCATCACACATCTCACTGCCACCATCGGCTTGGACAGTAAGTATAAAGTCATCTCCATCAAACATCTTCCCCCACAGATTACATCGTAACACCTCCCCCCATCACACATCTCCCCACCACCATCAGCTTGGACAGTAAGTATAAAGTCATCTCCATCAAACACCTTCCCCCATAGATTACATCGTAACACCTCCCCCCATCACACATGTCACTGCCACCATCGGCTTGGACAGTAAGTATAAAGTCATCTCCATCAAACATCTTCCCCCATAGATTACATCGTAACACCTCCCCCCATCACACATCTCCCCGCCACCATCGGCTTGGACAGTAAGTATAAAGTCATCTCCATCAAACACCTTCCCCCATAGATTACATCGTAACACCTCCCCCCATCACACATCTCACTGCCACCATCGGCATGGACAGTAAGTATAAAGTCATCTCCATCAAACACCTTCCCCTATAGATTACATCGTAACACCTCCCCCCATCACACATCTCACTGCCACCATCGGCTTGGACAGTAAGTATAAAGTCATCTCCATCAAACATCTTCCCCATGGATTACACAGTAACGACTCCCCCCATCACACATCTCACTGCCACCATCGGCTTGGACAGTAAGTATAAAGTCATCTCCATCAAACATCTTCCCCATGGATTACATCGTAACACCTCCCCCCATCACACATCTCACTGCCACCATCGGCATGGCCTGTAAGTATAAAGTTATCTCCATCAAACACCTTCCCCCATAGATTACATCGTAACACCTCCCCCCATCACACATCTCCCCGCCACCATCGGCTTGGACAGTAAGTATAAAGTCATCACGATCAAACATCTTCCCCATGGATTACACAGTAACGACTCCCCCCATCACACATCTCACTGCCACCATCGGCATGGACAGTAAGTATAAAGTCATCTCCATCAAACATCTTCCCCATGGATTACATTGTAACACCTCCCCCCATCACACATCTCACTGCCACCATCGGCTTGGACAGTAAGTATAAAGTCATCTCCATCAAATATCTTCCCCATGGATTACATCGTAATACCTCCCCCCATCACACATCTCCCGCCACCATCGGCATGGCCTGTAAGTATAAAGTCATCTCCATCAAATATCTTCCCCATGGATTACATCGTAATACCTCCCCCCATCACACATCTCCCCGCCACCATCGGCATGGCCTGTAAGTATAAAGTCATCTCCATCAAACATCTTCCCCATGAATTACATCCTAATACCTCCCCCCATCACACATCTCCCCGCCACCATCGGCATGGCCTGTAAGTATAAAGTCATCTCCATCAAACATCTTCCCCATGGATTACACAGTAACGACTCCCCCCATCACACATCTCCCCGCCACCATCGGCATGGACAGTCAGTATAAAGTCATCTCCATCAAACATCTTCCCCCATAGATTACATCGTAACACCTCCCCCCATGACACATCTCACCGCCACCATCGGCATGGACAGTCAGTACAAAGTCATCTCCATCAAACATCTTCCCCCATAGATTACATCGTAACACCTCCCCCCATGACACATCTCACCGCCACCATCGGCATGGACAGTCAGTATAAAGTCATCTCCATCAAACATCTTCCCCCATAGATTACATCGTAACACCTCCCCCCATGACACATCTCACCGCCACCATCGGCATGGACAGTCAGTACAAAGTCATCTCCATCAAACATCTTCCTCATGGATTACACTGTAACACCTCCCCCCATCACACATCTCACTGCCACCATCGGCATGGACAGTCAGTACAAAGTCATCTCCATCAAACATCTTCCCCCATAGATTACATCGTAACACCTCCCCCCATCACACATCTCCCCGCCACCATCGGCATGGACAGTAAGTATAAAGTCATCTCCATCAAACACCTTCCCCCATGGATTACACTGTAACACCTCCCCCCATCACACATCTCCCCGCCACCATCGGCATGGACAGTAAGTATTAAGTCATCTCCATCAAACATCTTCCTCATGGATTACACTGTAACACCTCCCCCCATCACACATCTCCCCGCCACCATCGGCATGGACAGTAAGTATTAAGTCATCTCCATCAAACATCTTCCCCATGGATTACACAGTAACGACTCCCCCCATCACACATCTCACTGCCACCATCGGCATGGACAGTAAGTATAAAGTCATCTCCATCAAACATCTTCCCCATGGATTACACTGTAACACCTCCCCCCATCACACATCTCCCCGCCACCATCGGCATGGACAGTAAGTATAAAGTCATCTCCATCAAACATCTTCCCCATGGATTACACAGTAACGACTCCCCCCATCACACATCTCACTGCCACCATCGGCATGGACAGTAAGTATAAAGTCATCTCCATCAAACATCTTCCCCATGGATTACACAGTAACGACTCCCCCCATCACACATCTCCCCGCCACCATTGGCTTGGACAGTAAGTATAAAGTCATCTCCATCAAACACCTTCCCCCATAGATTACATCGTAACACCTCCCCCCATCACACATCTCCCCGCCACCATCGGCTTGGACAGTAAGTATAAAGTCATCTCCATCAAACATCTTCCCCATGGATTACACAGTAACGACTCCCCCCATCACACATCTCACTGCCACCATCGGCATGGACAGTAAGTATAAAGTCATCTCCATCAAACACCTTCCCCATGGATTACACTGTAACACCTCCCCCCATCACACATCTCACCGCCACCATCGGCATGGACTGTAACTTGAGTAAGTATAAAGTCATCTCCATCAAACACCTTCCCCAAGGATTACATCGTGTTATCTGCCTTCCTGAGAGTCAGTAACTTGAGTCAAAGAAGATCTGAATCAGAACTGTTCAAACTGCTATAATGAATGTTTTTCATGGAATAGATTTTGGTGACATACTGCTATACATTCAAATGTATCATTTATTTAACTGTGTGTGTGTTTCAGATACTGTGCGTGTGTTTGACTATGTCCAGCAGAAGCAAGTTTGTGAGGGGCGGTACACAGCAAGCGGCACATGTCTCCTCTGGACCCCCCGGATAGTATGTACTGCTCTACCAGTCATAGGGACACTCACATAGTCACTGAGTAGTCACATAGTCACTGATGTACCTGTAGTACTGCTGAGTTCCACATCCTGATGTATCTGTAGTACTGCTGAGTTCCTCATCCTGATGTACCTGTAGTACTGCTGAGTTCCACATCGTGATGTATCTGTAGTACTGCTGAGTTCCACATCCTGATGTACCTGTAGTACTGCTGAGTTCCACATCCTGATGTATCTGTAGTACTACTGAGTTCCACATCCTGATGTATCTGTAGTACTGCTGACTTCATCCTGATGTATCTGTAGTACTGCTGTGTTCCACATCCTGATGTATCCGTAGTACTGCTGAGCTCCACATCCTGATGTACCTGTAGTACTGCCGAGTTCCACATCCTGATGTATCTGTAGTACTGCTGAGTTCCACATCCTGATGTACCTGTAGTACTGCTGAGTTCCACATCCTGATGTATCTGTAGTACTGCTGAGTTCCACATCCTGATGTATCTGTAGTACTGCTGAGTTCCTCATCCTGATGTACCTGTAGTACTGCTGAGTTCCACATCCTGATGTACCTGTAGTACTGCTGAGTTCCACATCCTGATGTATCTGTAGTAGTGGTGAGTTCATCCTGATGTATCTGTAGTACTGCCGAGTTCCACATCCTGATGTATCTGTAGTACTGCTGAGTTCCACATCCTGATGTATCTGTAGTACTGCTGAGTTCCACATCCTGATGTATCTGTAGTACTGCTGAGTTCCACATCGTGATGTATCTGTAGTACTGCTGAGTTCCACATCCTGATGTACCTGTAGTACTGCTGAGTTCCTCATCCTGATGTATGGGTAGTCCTGTCGAGTTCCACATCCTGATGTTCCTGTTGCACCGCTGAGTTCCACATCCTGATGTATCTGTAGTACTGCTGAGTTCCACATCCTGATGTACCTGTTGCACCGCTGAGTTCCATTTCTTGATATTTGCTTTGCCCTATTGAGCTCCACATCTTACCATGTTGTCTGCCCCCAGGTGGACACGAAGGGAAGCACATTGGTGGCAGGCTTTGAGGACGGGGTGGTCCGAGTACTGACCGTCAACAAACTCCCCAAGCAGACCCGTCAGCGCGCCAAGACAGAAGAGTGTGAGATGGCCCTCAAACAGGTCTTCAAGCCCCACAAGACCAAGGTGACAGCCCTGGCCATCGACAACAGGGGCGAGATGCTGGCTTCTGGGGTAGGTGCTTATCAGGAAAAATAAGACCAACTTTGAAATTTTCAGTGGAGGATTGTATTAGTTGTTGCAGATTCCAGGTTGAATAGTTTGATGAAGTGTCTATGATGACTAATGTTTTGTGTTGCCAGGGCGACGACAACACTGTGTTCTTTATGAACATTGGGAACAAGAAGTTGGAGCCGATCGGCTATGTCCCAGTCCCAGCGGCGGTGCGCAGCATGCAGTGGTCACCTGACAAATTTGTGAGTTAACCATCCTTCTCAAGAGCGGATCAAGGATTTTTGAAAGGGAGGGGTCCAAAATATCAAAATCTTCTCTCAGATTATTTTACTGCCTACAACAAACTACATTTGGTTTTCAAAAGGGGGGGGGGGGTTGGTTGGATCTGTGATAACAAATTAATGGCCTGACCAAATTAATGCTTTTATTTATTGGTAATTGTTTTATGAAATCTTGTGGATAAGTTCTCAGTTCCGGTTTAGGTATCAAGATGGTCAAGTTTGAAACACTTATTGAGTCATTGTGGGGTGTTTGATGGGCTGTGCTGTTCTGTGTGCAGAAAAAGACCTCGCTGCTTGTGTTCTGTGAAGAGGGCAAGGTGGTGGAGATCCAGGCTCCGGAGCCCGGCAAGTTTGACACGTCTCACTCCTACCACATCACTGGACTTCAGATGAAGACATTTACCTTCCGCAGCATCAAGTCCAGGCTTCGGGTTAGAACACAGCTATGATATTGAAATTATGTTGATTATTTGTTTATTTTGATATTTCATTTATTTTGATATTTATATTTAATTATTTCTGTCCTTCATTGGCAGGTTTTTATGTACGAGGGGTGTTCATTAAAGATTTCCCCTAAACCACTTAGGGTTATCATATTTGGTTGAAATTTCACATGTGTAATGATACATGTATCTATGGGTTATGTCTGAATTTGCAGCACCGAACTATTAATCTTACCACTTTTACAGGTGTTAAGATGGAGAAGGGTGTGACAATGGAGCCAGTAGAATACCGAGCAGTGATTAGGTTTTTATATTGGAAAGGTCGCACACCAAAAGAAACTTTCGATAAAATGAAAGCAACTTATGGGGAAGATGCCCCATCATATGACGTCGTTAAACAATGGCATCGCCAGTTCAAGTGTGGTCGGACATCTGTGGAAACAGTTGCCATTCCTGGTCGCCCCCATTCATCCATTGATGAGGACACTTTCCATCAAGTGGAGACCGCCATTTTGGCAGACCGACGTATAACTGTTCGCCAGTTAGCACAAGATGTCAAGATCAGTGTAGGGTCTGTGGAAAAAATCATCCATGACAATTTCAACATGCATAAGGTGTCTGCACGATTGATTCCCAGTTTGCTCACACCTTTCCAAAAGCAGGAACGAGTCAATTGCTCAAAGGATCTTTTGGACATGTGCCAAAAAAAACAGGCAAACTCTTTTGACAGACTTATCACACAGGATAAAACATGGGTCCATCACTATGATCCTGAGATTAAAGTTCAGTCGATGCAATGGAAGCATGTGGAGTCACCACCCCCAAAGAAGGCACGTGTCCAACCCTCTGCAGGCAAGGTCATGCTCATGGTGTTTTGGGACCAGCATGGAGTAGTGATGATGGATTTCTTGGCAAAGGGTACCACGATTACAGGAGCTTATTATGCTTCACTGCTGCGGAAATTGCGGGACGCTATCAACCTTAAGAGGCGTGGCATGCTGACCAAGGGTGTGCGTCTCCTGCAAGACAATGCTCCAGTACACAACTCTCATGTTGCTCAGACAGAAGCGCGGTCCTGTGGCTATGAAATCCTTCATCATCCTCCTTACTCTCCTGACCTTGCACCATCTGACTTCCACCTCTTTCCAACCATGAAGTCATTTTTGAAGGGAAAACGTTTCACAGATGATGAAACACTGATTTCTGAAGTTAAGTCCTGGTTTGAGACGCAAAATGAGGGCTTTTCCAAGCGAGGTCTCCATAGTTGCATAAAACAATGGGAGAAGTGTGTAACTCTTTGTGGTTCCTATGTGGAGAAAGACTAATACCTATGCCAAGTTTCATTCCACTAGGTCCATCAGAAGTGGGTCAGGGGAAATCTTTAATGAACACCCCTCGTAAGTCCCAATGTATTTATTATGTTTAACCCCTGATAGTCACGATATGTCTGAAATATTGCCAATGTGACTTAAAATTTTAACTTACTCACGCACTATATTTAATTTATTTTTATATTTAATTTTTTTTTTGTATTTAATTTATTTTTATATTTAGTTTTTTTTTTGTATTTAATTTATTTTTATATTTAATTTTTTTTTGTATTAAATTTATTTTTGTATATTAATTTATGTTGCATGTTTCTTTTATTCTTATGTTGATGTTGATACTTGAAGGGACAGGATGTCAACCGTTCTGAAGCTTTTATGTAAACAATAGCCAATCACCTCGGAGTTTACTCGGCTCTGCTTGCCTTATTCAGTCTCTGCTCCAGTGACCACACTGGTGTAGGCTTATCATGTGACCAGACTCTCTTCTTTGTAAACGAACACACATATTCTGAAATAAGTGAGTGAGTGAATATGGTTTTACGCTGCTTTTAGCAATTATTCCAGCAATATCACGGCGGGGGACACCAGAAATGGGCTTCACACATTGTACCCATGTCGGGAATCGAACCCGGGTCTTCGGTGTGACGAGCGAAGGCTTTAACCACTAGGCTCCCAGACCGCCCCTCTGAAATAAGGACAGACTGGGCTAATGCAAGCCTTTCAGTGCGCCTTACGTATTGCTTTGCATAATGATATAGATATACCATTACAACCGAACACACATATTCTGAAATAAGGACAGACTGGGCTAATGCAAGCCTTTCAGTCCGCCTTACGTGTTGCTTTGCATAATGATATAGATATACCATTACAACCGAACACACATATTCTGAAATAAGGACAGACTGGGCTAATGCAAGCCTTTCAGTGCGCCTTACGTATTGCTTTGCATAATGATATAGATATACCATTACAACCGAACACACATATTCTGAAATAAGGACAGACTGGGCTAATGCAAGCCTTTCAGTCCGCCTTACGTATTGCTTTGCATAATGATATAGATATACCATTACACCTGTGACAGTGAGGTGCATGACAATATACCTTTACACAAAGTGACCATATCGCTAGCTCTTCGTAGGGCTTCGATGAAAGATGTGGAGGATAAACATGCAAATGGAAATAGTTTTTCCCATTTTAGGATAACTTGGTTGGTTGGTTTGTTGTTTTACGCCGCACTCAGCAATATTCCAGCTGTATGAGTGAGTGAGTGAGTATGGTTTTACGCCGCTTTTAGCAATATTCCAGCAATATCACGGCGGGGGATACCAGAAATGGGCTTCACACATTGTACCCAAGTCGGGAATCGAACCCGGGTCTTCGGCGTGACGAGCAAAATCTTTAACCACTAGGCTACCCGACCGCCCCTCCAGCTGTATGAAGGCGGTCTGTAAATAATCCAGTCTGGACCAGACAATCCAGTGATTGATGTCATGAGCATTGATCCACGCATTTGGGATCGATGACATGCTTCAACCAAGTCAGCGAGCCTGACGACCCGATCCCATTAGTCGCCTCTTATGACAAGCATAGTTGCCTTTTACGGCAAGCATGGGTTGCTGAAGACCTATTCTACTCTGGATCTTCATGGGTCTTTTAGGATAAGGACTTAATGAAAGGTGAACATTTAATGAAATATGTCAAAATGAAACAGATGAAAACCACATGAATAGACTGTGTAAGATGTGACGATGTGACAGAGGTATTCGGCTGGCTGCAAGGAACTCTGGTCATTTTGATGATTGTTGGATATAGTTGGGATATCAATTGTTTGATGACATTGCATCTGAGACAACATGACTGTCTTCAGCTGTGTAACCCTGTGTTATAACTGAAATACTCTCCAAAGTGGTATTAAGACTAACTCATTCTGTTCTGCAGCATGACGAGGAGATGGAGAGGAAACGTATCGAGGAAGAGGCTCGCAAGAAGAAGGAGGAAGAAGACCGGAGGAAGAGGATAGAGCGAGGTCTGGAGACGGAGTCTGAACATGGGGATGACGAAGGTAGGTGTCTGGGGGCACTCACTATTGATGGCAGGGGATTGGGGCACTCACTGTTGTTGGCAGGGGATTGGGGCACTCACTTTTGTTGGTAGGGGATGGGGGTACTCACTGTTGTTGGCAGGGGATTGGGGCACTCACTGTTGTTGGCAGGGGATTGGGGCACTCACTGTTGTTGGCAGGGGATGGGGGCACTCACTATTGATGGTAAGGGGATGGGGGCACTCACTATTGATGGCAACATCAATAGTTGTCAGTCTTGCCCATCAAGTACAATAAGAAATTTCAGTACGAAGAAATATGTATAAAGTTGGTCAAAATAGGATGGAGGTAATTCTTTGTCTCGTTGACATACAAAGCAGTGTTTTTTTCCATTGAATTTGCTTTTCGTTAATTTTACTGACCACATTCTTGTTGGATCGCTTTAAGATAAATGTGTTCATAATTCCTTCTTTTTTTTCTCAAAAAGGTGATAAAATGTTAACAACATTAATAGAAAGGGGCTATATGTGCATATGATAGCAGGGTTCACTCTAGGAATTTTCTGACATGGGCCCTTTATGTGAAAATTCTAAATATTCCAGGGGTACGCCCATACAGAACAATGTTAAAATGCCCCATTGTATTTGAAAATGTGGGCCTTTTTTCTAATATAGGAACTAAAAGCACAAGGCCCCTCCCTAGCATTATCCCTGTGGTAGGAACACTTCAGCTTTTGTTTGATCCCTCGTGTATATGAGATGGTGTTGGGTGTCTATGTGTATGAATAATGATCATGTGTGACTTGATCTGCACAGAGGAAGAAAAGAAGCCTAAGGAGGAGGATTGGCACCCCTACATCCCGGAAGTCCCCAGCCCCATAATGCAGGGCTTCTACTCCCAGGAGGGCTGCTTCTGGCTGTCTATGGTAGGTCCTGTCTATATGCTTCACCCTACATCCCAGAGGTCCCCAGCCCAATAATGCAGGGCTTCTACTCCCAGGAGGGCTGCTTCTGGCTGTCTATGGTAGGTCCTGTCTATACGCTTCACCCTACATCCCAGAGGTCCCCAGCCCCATAATGCAGGGCTTCTACTCCCAGGAGGGCTGTTTCTGGCTGTCTATGGTAGGTCCTGTCTACACACACTTTACCCTACATCCCGGAGGTCCCCAGCCTCATATACACACTTCACAATACACCCCGGGAGTCCCCAGGAGGGCTGATTCTGGCTGTCTATGGTAGGTCCTGTCTGTACACTTCACCCTACATCCCGGAGGTCCCCAGCCCCATAATGCAGGGCTTCTACTCCCAGGAGGGCTCCTTCTGGCTGTCTATGGTAGGTCCTGTCTATACACACTTCACCCTACATCCCAGAGGTCCACAGCCCCATAATGCAGGGCTTCTACTCCCAGGAGGGCTGCTTCTGGCTGTCTATGGTAGGTCCTGTCTATACGCTTCACCCTACATCCCGGAGGTCCCCAGCCCCATAATGCAGGGCTTCTACTCCCAGGAGGGCTCCTTCTGGCTGTCTATGGTAGGTCCTGTCTATACACACTTCACCCTACATCCCAGAGGTCCCCAGCCCCATAATGCAGGGCTTCTACTCCCAGGAGGGCTGTTTCTGGCTGTCTATGGTAGCTCCTGTCTATACACACTTTACCCTACATCCCGGAGGTCCCCAGCCCCATAATGCAGGGCTTCTACTCCCAGGAGGGCTGCTTCTGGCTGTCTATGGTAGGTCCTGTCTATACACTTTACCCTATATCCCGGAGTCTCCAGCCCCATAATGCAGATCTTCTACTCCCAGGAGGGCTGTTTCTGGCTGTCTATGGTAGCTCCTGTCTATACACACTTTACCCTATATCCCGGAGGTCCCGAGCCCCATAATGCAGGGCTTCTACTCCCAGGAGGGCTGCTTCTGGCTGTCTATGGTAAGTCCTGTCTATACACATTTGACCCTACATCCCGGAATCCCCAACCTACAAATCTCCATACCTTGGTCAATGTCAGGAATTGAGTTTGATCCTATTTCTCTTTTTCAGGGTGGCTTTGATGCAGGCTACCTGTATGAGTGTAAGTTCCTCACTGAAGAGGAGAAGTCTGCGATGGCCGAGCAGTTAGTGGATGAACCAATTCGAACAGTCCCGGTCCTGGAGTCGGATGATGTCCCCGTGTCTGTCATCCAGTTCAGGTAGGTGCCTGGCTTCATCCTTCTGATATCCGTCAACAACACCCACATTCATTCCATGCCATCTGACCTCCTCTGTGGTCTTGTGGTAGAGTGTCCGCCCGGAAAGCAGAAGGTCCGGGGTTCGATCCCCGGTCGCGTCATACCAAAAGACGTTAAAAGATGGTACTTATTGTTACCCTGTCTGGCGCTCGGCATTAAGGGGCTAAAACAAGGACTGGTTGGCTCGGAGTCAGTATACTGTGTCTGAGTGGGTTATTCATGTTAAACTGTGGCATGGTATCTCAGTGAGCTAGCACTATAAATCGGCATCAGTCCGGACTAGTACAAGCAGCCACACAAACACACACACGTACATGCACGTCGCTATATAAGTGCAATAATCTTGGACGCGACGTTAAACCCAATTTCACATCACATCACATCATCCTTCTGATATCCGTCAACAACACTGACATTCATTCATAGTGGTAGTTATCATGCTAATACGTCTTCCGTATGCTTCGAATTTAGAATATTTTTGTCACAAAGGTAATCTGTACCCTTGAGTCCGTATATTTGGATATTTGTAAATTAGTATAATTTCACGAGAAACTTTAACTTGATTAATTGCCACTTCAGTATGTAATGATATGATATTCAAATTATTTTAAACATTTTTTCGTAGACTCTAGAATTGGAAAACCATGAAGTTGCACTATTATTGTTGCAGTTGATTCTGAGCCAGGAATTCATTGGCCATTTTAAATCTGCATGTTAGGTACAACTGAATTAACTAAATGTCATCATGCAAAATTATAGAGAAACCGTAACATGGTTTAAGTCAGAGAAATCACTTGCAAGTGTTTATTCTTGGGCTCATTGATTCTACTTCCGATTTCTCCTTTACATAATTTGTGACTTCTTTACACGAGCTATGCTGAGAGATATGATTATGTCCCATAAAGATGTACAGATGTACAGTTTGAAATGGAAGGGAAATTTGCCGTGTGACTTTTAGCTGGACCACAATACTCATTAACATGGCTTTAAGCTATATGGTTGGTCTGTCTTGACAAGTTTCTTGTGTACTGTGAGAAAATGATTTATTTGGTAAAGCTATATAGCCGATATCTTCTTCTTCTTTTTCCTCTCTTTCATCTTCTTCCTTTCTCGTTTTCTTCTTCTGTTCTTCTTCGTTTTCTTCCTTTGTTGTTCTCTCTTTCTCCTCTTACTTTTTTCTCATCTTCTTTCTTTTCTTCCTCTTCCTTTCTTCATCTTCCTTCACTTCCTTTTTCTTTCTTTCTCCTCTTCCTTCCTTTTCTTCCCCTTTCCTCTTTCTTCATCCTCTTTCTACACTTCTGTACTTCCCTTCTCCTCCCCTTCTTACTCTCCCTCCTCTTCCTTTCTTCATCTTCCTCCATTTCCTTTACCCTCTTCTGTCTTCCTATTTTTCCCCTTTCTTCTTTCTTCCTCCTCTTGACCCGTGAAAATCCAGGGTAGAATAGGTCTTCAGCAACCCATGCTTGTTGTAAAAGGCGACTATGCTTGTTGTAAGAGGCGACTAAGGGGATCGGGTGGTCAGGCTCGCTGACTTGGTTGATGCATGTCATCGATCCCAATGGCGTTGAGGGATGCTCATGATGTTAATCACTAGATTGTCTGGTCCAGACTCAATTATTTACAGACTGCCGTCATATAGCTGGAATGTTGCTGAGTGTGGTGTTAAACAACAAACGTACAAAACAAACCGCTTCCTACACTTCCGCACTTCCCTTCTCCTCCACTTCTTTCTCTCCCTCCTCTTCCTTTCTTTCTCTTCCTCCAGTTCCTTTCTCCCCTTCCATTTCTTCCCCTTTCTTCGTCCTCTTCCCCTCTTCCATTCTCCTCCCCTTCCTTTCCCTTCCTTCTCTTCCTTCTCTTCCTTTTGCTTTCTCCTCTTCTTCTTCTTCCTTTCTCCAACTTCCTCTTCTTCCTCTTCCTTTCTTCTTCCTCCTCTTTGCCCCTTCCTCTTTTTCTGCTCTTATGTTTCTTCCCCTTTTCTTCTTCTTCATCATCTTCTCTTCTTCCTATTTTTATTATCTAGTTTCAGTTGGGAAAAGACTTATATGATCCCAGTTACTTTTGTGTTTGTGTACAGTTAAGTCTTGTTAATCCGACACTCTTAATCCGACAATCGGCTTTATCCGACACTGATTAAATCAGAGGTATTTAAACCCGTTAATCTGACAGTCTCGCACTCCGAATCCGACACACCCAATTTGCTGCAAATTACCGAAATCACTCTTTAATCAGTCTCATTAATCCAACAGTGATCAGCGTACTCCGTGGTCATCTGCCCACAAATACACAGCCCATGTTTTGATGCAAGACGAGTCGGCTGCATATTACAACGGCTGCAGAGATAAACTTGCTAAACAAGAAACAATTATTGCTTTAAAGAAAGAAAACAGGATTAATCACATGCTCAGATTACCTCAATCTCGTCAAAATCAGATACAAGTTCTCGCTATCGCCAAGGACACCCCATGACAGGTCAAGGGGCGGTTGGGTAGCCTAGTGGTTAAAGCGTTCGCTCGTCACGCCGAAGACCTGGGTTCGATTCCCGACATGGGTACAATGTGTGAAGCCCATTTCTGGTGTCCCCCGCCATGATATTGCTGGAATATTGCTAAAAGCGGAGTAAAACCATACTCACTCACTCACTCACCCATTACAGGTCACCTCAGAACAACCCTTCGCGAAATATGACTGACCAATGAAACGACTAACAGGAAGCCACTAAGAAAGCAGCTGTCTTAAGCTTTGCGGTACCAGTTTCAATCCGGCAACTTCCACTCCTGACTATGCTTTTTAAAGTATTTTAAATAGGTCATAAAGTCCGTAACATTTGTTTTGGGTCAAGCTTGAGAGGTTGCATGATTAGAAAACATATTCCGCAAACAATGTAACATAACAATATGAATATTTCATTTTTCATTTTTTTATTACGTGTTTGTATTGTTATCAATCGTGTAGTCCAATTTTCGATCACGAATGTTGTTACTACTTAATTTCTTTCCGACATGCTCTCTTATCCGACATAATCATATGCAACCAACCATGTCGGATTAACGGGACTTGACTGTATATGTATAACTATTAAGGTTCTGTTTGGCTGGTTTTTATTCTGAAGTGACATTGTTTATCACCCATAATACTTACATCTCTCTGACTTATTCAATGAGGGGGCAGTAAGGTAGCCTAGTGGTTAAAGCGTTCGCTCGTCATGCTGAAGACCCGGGTTCGATTCCCGACATGGGTACAATGTGTGAAGCCCATTTCTGGTGTCCCCTGCCGTGATATTGCTAGAATATTGCTAAAAGCGGCGTAAAACCAAACTCACTCACTCACTTATTCAATGAGTTTTCTATTATCCAGCAACTCTGGCCAGCAAGCCCTGTTTGGTATGGAGAATGGAATGATCCGTGTTCAGCAGTTGGAAAATAAGTTTGACATCGCCGACCTTGGTCCGTACTGGGCACTGAGTATTCACGACAACAACTATGGTCATGTGACAGCTCTCAAGGTCAGCTACGATGGGACAACTCTGTTATCGGTTGGCGCTGACGGCAACTTCTTCCAGTTTGCCTTCATGGACGACGAGAAGCTTGTGAAAAAGATTGCTGAGAACAAGGCCAAGATCCCCTCCGCCAGAGTGAGTAGCTGACTTCTCACAGTCCTACTTCTACAGTCACATACTGGGACTCATCCTCCATTTTCCAGGGTGTTTTATCTCTGTTCAATTTTAAATACCCTGGATCATTTACAACAGCTTCATTTCAGAAATAATGTCACCACCTCCATTGTGCCTGTCTCTAAGTAGACAATTTCTCTCCCATGATAGTAATTTGGTTGAAGAGATGTATTTAGCGTGATGCTCTTTGAATCGGGCTCAGAATGAAGTAGTCTGTCTCCCAGACCCTGGAGAATAAATTGAAAAAGGAGCCCAACTCAAGTCTAGAATGATTTGGCAAGTCTAGATTGCTTCAGCTCACCTGAAATTAAGGATTGTTCTGGGCTCCATTTGATTTGATTTTGTTTATCTTTAAATAAGATGCCTTTATTTCTGGGACTGCATATCAGTCTGAGTATGAAGCTATGGCAGCGTATAGGTTCAGGGTATTTAAGAACAGGAAGTACACTGGATAATTGAGTATAGCAGGGCATTGGGCATACAAAAACAGGCCCGATAAAATACTTTGAAAATTACAATGTATCTGTCAAGTCATAATATCTGGAAAACTGTTATCAGTTGATATGAGGGTTATTTGAAGTGTTCGAATTGTTGAGAATTAAATTTTTCGTTTCCTGGAGGTTAATCTAGACGTTCTCTGATGCAGATATTTGACCCTAAGCCAGAAAATGTTTTGTTTGATGGGCATTTCTTAGAAGGTGACGGATGACAAAGTAGACACAATTTATGGATAACAACTTCTTTATTTTATTTTAATGGCGATGTTTCAGTATTGATCCTTATATATAATGTGTATAAATGTAATATAGATCGCTTGACAACAGTATAAGGATCTATACCGAAATGTTGCCATTACAGTAAAATGAAGTTGTCCATAAATTGTAAAGATATCCCGACTCACATGTTAGCATTATTTATTCATGTTACAGCTTGCAAATGTGACTTATTGTTGATAACAGGACCAACAGATAACAGTAAAAGGTTTTGACACTTAAAAAATTAATTTGATAAATCGGTAAAATTTATTAATAATTGGTAAAATGGTCTTATCAGGATATTTGTCATCAGGTTCAATTTTGTTAAAAAGATGTCCTTTCTTTATAAAACCATTTTGCTGGGAATCTCATATTATAACCATTTGTATTATTTAACTACATATTTACAACTTAGATTATATTGCTACTGGTCTGTGTTTTCAGAAACAAGAAGAGAGAGACCGGACTATTGATGACATAGATGACCCCAACGCCTACAGGTGAGACAGTGGATAGGTCACTGATACCCGTGCTCGTGGGTTTCACCGAAGTGGTAAACGATTGAGACCTGCATCACTTCGGGCTTTCCTCCCACATTAAGCTGACACGCCGTGATATAACTGGAATAATATTTTAAGCAGCGTAAACCCAACTCACTCACTCACTCACACAGTAGACCGTGGGGGTTCAGAGGGTTACACAGTCATGGGGAGTTGGGGAGTGACAGATACTTGATGGTGCTGGTGGCTATTGGAGAGTGAGTTGAATGTGGTTTGCCTGCTATATTCCTGTACAGTATGCCTGTTGTATCCCCTGTACAGTATGCCTGTTGTATCCCCTGTACAGTATGCCTGTTATATTCCCTGTACAGTATGCCTGTTGTATACCCTGTACAGTATGCCTGTTATATTCCCTGTACAGTATGCCTGTTGTATACCCTGTACAGTATGCCTGTTGTATTCCCTGCACAGTATGTCTGTTGTATACCCTGTACAGTATGCCTGTTGTATCCCCTGTACAGTATGCCTGTTGTATTCCCTGTACAGTATGCCTGTTGTATACCCTGTACAGTATGCCTGTTACATTCCCTGTACAGTATGCCTGTTGTATACCCTGTACAGTATGCCTGTTGTATTCCCTGTACAGTATGTCTGTTGTATACCCTGTACAGTATGCCTGTTGTATTCCCTGTACAGTATGCCTGTTGTATACCCTGTACAGTATGCCTGTTATATTCCCTGTACAGTATGCCTGTTGTATACCCTGTACAGTATGCCTGTTGTATTCCCTGTACAGTATGTCTGTTGTATACCCTGTACAGTATGCCTGTTGTATTCCCTGTACAGTATTCCTGTTATATTCCCTGTACAGTATGCCTGTTGTATACCCTGTACAGTATGCCTGTTGTATTCCCTGTACAGTATGCCTGTTGTATTCCCTGCACAGTATGCCTGTTGTATTCCCTGTACAGTATGTCTGTTGTATTCCCTGTACAGTATGCCTGTTGTATTCCCTGTATAGCTTGCCTGTTGTATTCCCTGTACAGTATTCCAGTCGTATTGACTGAACAGTTTACCTTTTGTAATCCCTGTACAGTATCGAGGATGCGAAGCAGAAATCAGAGTATGACAAGATGATGAAAGAGGCTGAGGAGAAGAAGAGAGATGTGCGACGTAGCATCTCTAAACTGCGGCGCCAGTTCCGTGGGGTGCTGGAGAAGAACGAGTCCCTGCCAAAGCACATTCAGCTGGGGAAAGGGGTGAGTAGTGACAGCTCCTGTCTGTTCCTGTAAAAACTTTAGGAAATGCTACAACCTTAATTTATACAATGAATAATTTATACTGAAATGGGTCCCGTCCATCCGTCCGTCCGTGCGTGCGTGTGGGCGTGTGGGCGTGTGGGCGTGTGGGCGTGTGTGTGTGTGTGTGTGCGTCCCAAAATCGTTTCCAGAGCATTACTCAGAACCCATTCAATACTTTTTAACAAAACTTTGCATGTTTTCTCAGACACATACTGAACTCGTGCCTTTTGCTATTTAGGAATTTAAGAAATTATATTTTTTACGTTTCCATGGCAACAAGTTGGACTTAGGTTCTATAAGGGTGGTGTTCGTTTCCGGAGCATAACTCAGAAAACTTTCTCACAAAACTTTGCATGTCTACCAGGCACATACTGAACTGGTGCCATTTGATATCAAGGAGTTTTAGAAATGTTTATTTTAGAATTTCCATTGAAGCTATTTTGACATGGGCTAAGAGAAATGTTGTGTCAGTCACCTGGTTTGGGACCATAAAGTGTTAAAATGGGAGGGGGATATAGATGACTTCGTCGACTATAATTGTTATTATATTCCCAAAATGGAAATCTTGGTCACCTAATCATGATCTGTTCAGACACACACATCTTTTGAAAATAACATTATACTCTTGCAATGAATATTCCATTCCAAACAATACATCTCACCTATCTAGATTGTCTAGCTCGATTATTTACTTGATTATCTACAGACTGCCATCATATTGCCGGACTACTGATGAGTGCGACGTTAAAAAACAAACCACCACTGACGGTATGATTGGAAAGTAGCAGAGAATTAGTGTTGAGTAAGATAGGTACTCAGAGATTGTGTGTTTATGTATGTTGTATTCCCTCCCAGGAGTTTGAGATGGATCGGGAGATCAAGTCTGAGCTGGAGAAGCAGACCAATGAGAAGATCGAGGTGGTTCGTCGGGAGCTAGCATGGGAGTCGGAGAAGCACCGGATAGCACTGGAGAAACTCCGCAAGAGGTGGCCATTCTGTCTCTGTTTGCTCTCAAACCCATTGTCAGGTCAAATCAAACACGCATTCTACCATAAATTTGGAAAATACTTGATTTGATTTGTCAATCAGAGGTTTCAAATCAAAATAACCATTTGTCAATCAGAGGTTTCAAATCAAAACAACCACTTCTGATTGAAACAGCGGATTTGATTACCACTTAACCACGGAAGATAATGTTTATAGAATAGTACCTCTTTCTCATTTATTGTCAGTAGGCATTTTGAAATAATCACATGTACAGTTATAGGTTGAGAATGCAGTGTTGCGTTTGCTACAATATTCAGTTGGCGATATATTTTATGCATAAAACACGATAGATATTGTCTAAGAGAGTGTATTTTATATTTTTTTCCTGTAACTAAATAATCAGGCATGAAACTCCCAAGGCTGTCGAACGCTCCCCCCTCAAATTGTAGCTCAGTTTCCAAACTGATTTGGACCCGTGAAGATCCGGGGTAGAATAGGTTTTCAGCAACCCATGCGTGCCGTAAAAGGTGACTATGCTTGTCGTAAGAGGCAACTAACAGGATCAGGTGGTCAGGCTCGCTGACTTGGTTGATGCATGTAATCAATTCCAATTGCGTTAGCTGCATTGTATTCGAATTAAAAAAAATCCATAGTCACACATTGTATATTTGTAATAGTCATTATTATTTCTTCTTCTGGCAATTACACCTGCTTATGAATTTTGTTAAAACCTATTTTCACATGTGATTCGTCAGGTTCACAGGTGCTATGTATGGTTAATTTCGAACATAACTTCAAACTATTTAATCTGTATGTGACTGTCCTAGCCATAGCCCAGTGTTGACATGCTACCGGTTGTGTCCCCAGGTTCAAGGATGTGGTGGAGTGTGAGAGGATCGTCCTGAAGGCGTTCCTCACGCCCCACGAGGTGGCCAGCTTCCGCGCCAGCAAACTCTCCGACGACTTCTACCAGCTGAAGGCTGACTTCGAGCGGCGCCGCACGCTCTACCTCACCAAGGACGACCTGACCAGGGACCCTACTCGGGACATGTCTGTCGGTCAGTTCCTGCTTGTAAAGACTAGGCAGATTCTGGTCTGGTTAAATTACATCTTCCTGAGGCAAGAGAGTTAACTGACTGTAAAGGTCCAGTTTCCACCCTTGCTGAACTAGGCGGGAATTTCTTGGCTTGATTGTAGCGCCACCAGTGGCTATTACGAGTTATGTCCCTCCTATGTCCCTTTCGCTCGTCACGCCGAAGACCCGGGTTCAATTCCCGACATGGGTACAATGTGTGAAGCCCATTTCTGGTGTCCCCCGCCGTGATATTGCTGGAATATTGCTAAAAGCGGCGTAAAACCATACTCACTCACTCACTCACTCACTCCTATGTCCCTCCTATTGACCAATCAGATTCCACCTCCTATAAATCCCATAGCTCCTCCATTAATAAACAACATTGTTTGACTGTTGATTGTATTTATTAAAATACTTGTTTTTGTAGATAATTATGACCCATTTAATCATATTTCTCTTGTTTGGTGATAATCTAAGAAAAGCAAACCTGTTTACCTTGTGTCGGATCCTACAACACTAAAAAAATTAAAATTAAATTAATTAGATGAGAAGCACTTTTTTGTATTCTTCTGAAAGCAAATTTAGATGTTGAATGACAAATACGAAGAGTACAAGCAGACACACACACACACACACACACACACACACACACACACACACACACACACACACACACACACACATGTGCATCCACATTGCTACATAAGTGCAATAATCTTAAACATGTCGCTAAACCCCACAACACCTCATGTGAACAAACATTTACAATTGTTGAAGACACTGTTCCATCGACCGCCTCCGTGGGCTAGTGGTAGAGTGTCCGCCCGGAGAGCGGAAGGTCCGGGGTTCGATTCCCTGCCGCGTCATACCAAAAGACGTTAAAATATAATACTTGTTGTTACCCTGTCAGGCGCTCGGCATTAAGGGGCTAAAACAAGGACTGATCGGCTTGGAGTCAGCATACTGTGTCTGAGTGGGGTATTCATGTTAAACTGCGGCATGGTATCTCAGTGAGCTAGCACTATAAATCGGCATCAGTCCAGACTAGTACAAGCAGCCACACACAAACACACACACACGTACATGCACATCGCTATATAAGTGCAATAATCTTGGACGCGACGTTAAACCCAATTTCACCTCACCACTATTCCATCAAGAAACAGGCCGTCGTGGTGAAGCTAAGAAAGCTTTAAAACATCTGGAGCCAAAATCTAGTTTTTCTGTAGTATATCAGAATCCTCTCTTCCCGGTGCAGGCAAGCTTCGGGGGGAAGACAGCGGTGATGGCAGTGGGGAGAAGACGGACGAGTCGATGGGGGCGAAGGTGGTGACCACCCTGAAGGGCAGCATGGGGGAGAGGATCACCAAGGCTCTGAAGAAGGTGGAGGAGAAGAAGAAGAAGCGTGCTGCCAGGAGGGCGCAGGTGAGTGTCTACCTGGACCGGAAATGGCCCACAGTAACATGCCTTTGTTCCAGGCACCTCCTGATCCTGCGAAGTACTAAAAAAACATTATTTCAACTTAAAGTTTGGAATTAAAATTTTGTTTGTATCTCAACTCCACTACAACTGTGAGGTTGTGTCAGATATTAAGTGAGTGAGTGAGTGAGTGAGTGAGTGAGTGAGTGACACATCGGCAATATTTCAGCCATATAGTGATCAGATTTTAAGACCCAAGAGGTGTGGGGAAAATAAGACCCGAGGTGAGGTTCTCCTCTCAGGGATTTATGATCCCATGCATAATGGTTAACAGGTGTTTTAACCCCAATGTAAATAAATATTGAGGAAATATTTTAGATATGGAACAAAGACAGAGTTTGAGTTGTATTTTGCTCAGGCAGAAGTATTCTTACCAGGCACCTTGTTTATTTCTTGCAAATCTTAATGGTCTCAAGCGATCTGAAAAATATAGATGTCAAAGGAGTTTTTTCAGGAGGTTTGATTAAGAGCGGGGTTCCGAATTACACCTATCTGTGTATACTATTTACATGTGTATGACACCTGAGTATAATATTTACATGTGTATGACATTTACATGTGTTTGACATTTACATGTGTATGACAGTTACCTCAGTATGACACCTACCTGTGTATAACATTTACCTGTGTATGACATTTACCTGTGTAAGCCATTTACCTCAGTATGACACCTACCAGTGTATGACATTTACATGTGTATGACATTTACCTGTGTATGATATTTACATGTGTATGACATTTACATGTGTATAATATTAACATGTGTATGACAGTTACCTCAGTAGGACACCTGAGTATAATATTTATATGTGTATGACATTGACATGTGTATAATATTTACATGTGTATGACATTTACCTGTGTATAATATTTACATATGTATGACATTTACACGTGTATGACATTTACCTGTGTATGATATTTACATGTGTATGACATTTACACGTGTATGAAATTTACCTGTGTATGATATTTACATGTGTATAACATTTACCTGTGCATGACATTTACCTGTATATGACAGTTACCTCAGTATGTCACCTGAGAATAATATTTACATGTGTATGACATTGACATGTGCATGACATTTACCTGTGTATGACATTTACCTGTGTATGACATTTACCTGTGTATGACACCTACCTGTGTATGACACCTACCTGTGTATGACACCTACCTGTGTATGACAACAGTGGGAGGACCTGTACATCCAGAAGCCTGACGACGACTACGAGGACCCAGCGGATGTGTCCGCCATCAAGGAAGCCAAGGAGAACATGGGTGACTACAAGCTGAAGACTGCCCCCGACTACGTGGTGCCCGACCACCTCCGCATGAACGTGGAGAAGGCCAGAGGGAGACTACTCATACTCAAAGACCTGGTCAGTATTTAAACTCGGCCATGTCTTGTCTTCCACACTATGGCAACTGGCGAAGTCCAAATTTACTACCTGGGTACCAGGCGCCTTATTACCTGACCCTACAGGGGTACCCACTGTAGGTCTCAAGTTGGGTACAAAATGTTCAATTGGGAATTGTTTTACTGTAGCCCTGGCAAAATTTTTGTAGATACTATCATAGAGCATAAAACAATCTGATCATGCACACACTGAAGTTGACTGAAGCTTTGTCTTTACTCAAACATATAAAAATCAGAAGGAATGTGCGCATAGCGACTTGTACTTAAGTGTAACCATGGAATTTTATAGTTATTATCATAAAAAAATGTATCACATGACTAACCACGGGTCCACATAACCCTGTGGGTACCTGGGTCCTACTCAGGACCCACCCGAGTACCCGAGTTACCCCTCCCAGCCCTAATAGTTCTACACAAGTTTCAGTAAGGCACCATTTTTACATGCTTCATGTATCCTAATGAAATGAAAAGCAGGGGAAACAAATCTGACAGGCTCTTTATTTAATATTCTAACTTCGTATGTCAGATGTGGTGAAGATCTGATGTAACTCCATGAAGCTCGTAAAAAGACTGTCAATATTGAGAACTAGTTTGGTGCGATGGGGGTATTACAGCATACGCAGTTGCATTGCCTGTCCGAGCCCGTCCATGAAGTTCGTAAAAAGACTGTCAATATTGAGAACTAGTTTGTTGCGATGGGGGTATTACAACATGCGCAGTTACATTGCCTGCAAAGGATAGGGTTGTCCTCACGTTTGTTGAAACTTTCTAAAAAACATTATAGTGTGGTTAGCAGCGTACACAGGGATTTATGGTTATGATGTAATAGAGGTAGTTTTCTTTAGGATTGACTGTGGATTTTGTTCAGTTCATTGAGGTATGAATCGAAAAACAGATGTGCAAACTGTATGAATCCCTCGACTGTAATATTGGGATTCTCCAACATTCCATAGTAATAAAAGAAGTCCGCTTTGGTGGGCGGGGCTTAATTTTTTACATTCATTGGGAATGAATGCAATAACATGTGACCAGTTCTGCTAATCAGAATGCAGGAATTACAATGAACACAATGAAAATTCAATAATTTAGAATTATGTACAAAGGTAACTATTGTTTGATATTTGATATTCTTCCAAATGTACACAAACACGTTTAAATTCTACACTGACTGACATAATGGTGTTTTTATTGTATTTTTCGTACCCATTTACCAATCAGAATCTGTGAACCAGGAATTAAAGAAAGTATGTTTCTCTTGTTTATTTTTTTTTATGAAAGATATTTTTGTGGTTATGTTGTGTGTAAAGTGTACAGCTTGTCACTGTGTGAGACTGTGAAGCTGCTGCTGTTCTAGATCCATGAGTACAAGTACAACTTCAACGTCAAGCTGCTGGCACTGAGGGACAAGAAGATCCGCATCATCGAGGACATCCGCCGCCACGTGCACCAGCTGCACACCGTGCAGACACGCCTCTTCCCCGACAGACACAAGCCCCTCCCCAACATCCCCGACATGCACATGGAGGAGCTCCCAGAGAAGTATGTCATCATGCATCTTTCTGTGTCATGAGGGGCAGGAGTGGCTCACTCATCGAAGGGGGGGCCATTTATTGCAGGGGTGGCTGGGTTAGAGTTCATGAAGGGGAGGGGGTGGGGCAAGAGTGGCTTTGTCATCTAAGGGGCGGGGCATTTATTAAAGGGGTGGGTGGTTCAGAGGTCATGTAGAGGTAGGGGGTGGCATGAGTGGCACAGTCATCTAAGGGGTGGGACATTTATTGCAGGGGTGAGTGGTTCAGAGGTCATGAAGAGGCAGGGGGCTGGAGTGGCTTTGTCATCTCTTGTTTGAAGTATCATGAGATCCGGGGTAGAATAGTTCTTCAGCTTTTAAAGGCGACTATGCTTGTCGTAAGAGGCGACTAACAGGATCAGGTGGTCAGACTCGCTGACTTGGTTGATGCATGTCATCGATCCCAATTTTGTAGATTGATGCTCATGTGTCAGACTCAATTATTTACAGACCGCTGTCATATAGCTGGAATATTGCTGAGTGCGGCGTTAAACAAAAAACCAACCAACCAAACCAATGAAATATCATGAAGCGAGACATAGACAATGAATTTTGTTGTTCGGAAAACTCTGTGTTTGTCTCCGTTCGAGTCTGCATGATTGGAAAACACAGTCCGACTGGCACCTCCTGATCTGGTATGCGATGCTCTGATTGGTCGGATATTAGGTCATTCTGACATGATTCGTAATGGGATGACTTCAGATCTTGGTTAGCGATAGCGAGTGAGAGCTGAGGTCAGAGTTTAATGAGTTAGACATTATTGGTGAACTGTTTACTATTTGCTCAGGCGCCTGGAGTACACGCGGGAGACACTGCTGCAGTTCAAGAAGGACATGGAGTCCCAGAGAATAGCAGAGCAGAAAACCAAAGCAGGAGGGAGCGGATTCGGCGCTGGCTTTGGAGGCTTCAGTGGTGGTGGTGGCGGTGGCGGTGGTGGCGCTGGGGAACAGAAGGTAGGGGAGATAGTTTTTTGTGTGTAATGGTTGTGTGTTCTCAATGTGGATCACATGACGTCAGGTGAAATGGGTTTGAGGTCCTATTCATGGTTATTGCACGTACACAGCAAGAAGCGTGTGTATATATGTGCGTGCGTGCATGCGTGTGTGTGTGCGTGCGTGCGTGCGTGCGTGCGTGAGTGCGTGCGTGAGTGCGTGCAGGTGTAAGTCTGGAGTAATGCCACTTTTATCGCACTTGCCCACTGAGATACCATGCCACAGTTTGACATGGATGCCCTATTGAGACACAGTATACTCCGAGCTGACCAGTCCTTGTTTTATTCCCTGAGTGATGAGGGCCAGGCAGGGTAGCCATACATACCGTCTTTTACGTCTTTTGGTATGACACGGCTGGGGATCGAACCACGGACCTTCTGCTCTCTGGGCAGATACTCTATCCACTAGACCACATAGGCAGCAGGGGATCGAACCACCGACCTTCTGCTCTCTGGGCAGACACTCTATCCACTAGACCACATAGGCAGCAGGGGATCGAACCACCAACTTTCTGCTCTCTGGACAGATACTCTATCCACTAGACCACATAGGCAGCAGGGGATCGAACCACCAACTTTCTGCTCTCTGGGCAGATACTCAACACATGAGACCAGCTGTATCACATAATGTGTTTGGACCAGACAAACCATACAAAATGAAACCTCTGTCTTACACATTCAGTTTGAATAGATATTGATGATACAAAAATCATTCTTTTGATATTCAAATATTTCTCGTTTGAAACAGTTGCATAATTTTCGGTATTGGGTATATTCAACAATAGTCATTATCAATGAATACCTAGACATTCAGTTTGTTAAACTTTATCCTGGTTGTTTGAAATTGACCACCATGTCTGTCTTCTCCCCAGGCTCCTTCCCACACCACACAACCCCGTGCATCCCCACCCCTAGCAACCAAGCAGTCCTCTCTTGTAAGTGCTCCAAAAACCCAGGCGTCTTCTGTCACCGCTGACACTGAGGGTGAGGAAGAGTTGTCTCCCCTGGAGCAGCAGATCCGACAGATAGAAGAGATCAGGTTAGACTTGGAGGGCTATACAGTATACCTATGTATAATGGAGGGCTATACAGTATACCTATGTATAATGGAGGGCTACACAGTATACCTATGTATAATGGAGGGCTATACAGTATACCTATGTATAATGGAGGGCTATATAGTATACCTGTGTATAATGGATGGCTATATAGTATACCTGTGTATAATGGAGGGCTATACAGTATACCTATGTATAATGCAGGGCTATACAGTATACCTATGTATAATGGAGGGCTATACAGTATACCTGTGTATAATGGATGGCTATACAGTATACCTATGTATAATGGAGGGCTATACAGTATACCTATGTATAATGGAGGGCTATACAGTATACCTATGTATAATGGAGGGCTATACAGTATACCTGTGTATAATGCAGGACTATACAGTATACCTGTGTATAATGGAGGGCTATACAGTATACCTGTGTATAATGGAGGGCTATACAGTATACCTATGTATAATGCAGGGCTATACAGTATACCTATGTATAATGCAGGGCTATACAGTATACCTGTGTATAATGGATGGCTATACAGTATACCTATGTATAATGGAGGGCTATACAGTATACCTATGTATAATGGAGGGCTATACAGTATACCTATGTATAATGAGGGGCTATACAGTATACCTATGTATAATGGAGGGCTATACAGTACCTGTGTATAATGGATGGCTATACAGTATACCTATGTATAATGCAGGGCTATACAGTATACCTATGTATAATGGAGGGCTATACAGTATACCTGTGTATAATGAAGGGCTATACAGTATACCTATGTATAATGGAGGGCTATACAGTACCTGTGTATAATGGATGGCTATACAGTATACCTGTGTATAATGGAGGGCTATACAGTATACCTATGTATAATGGTGGGCTATACAGTATACCTATGTATAATGCAGGGCTATACAGTATACCTGTGTATAATGCAGGGCTACACAGTATACCTATGTATAATGGAGGGCTATACAATATACCTGTGTATAATGGAGGGCTTTACAGTATACCTATGTATAATAGGGGGCTATACAGTATACCCATGTATAATAGAGGGCTATGCAGTATACCAGATCCAGCATAGCTCACTTTAAGGAATGTGAAGAAATAGACAATGGGTATGGATGTATCAACTATTTTGTGGTAACAGAAGAAGAAAATGGTTTCTAAGGATAGTAGTTTGAAAAATATGTCAAGCCTTAGGCATATTTGGAATATTGAAGTCCCCCTGCAATGTATGTATCAAACATATGTATTAAAAATTCTGAATTCTGGATGTCACTGTGGTAATCAGACTGTCATCAATGTCATCATCATGTCATCGACCCCAATTGCGTTGATTGATGGATTGTTCGGTCCAGACTTGATTATTTACAGACCGCCATCATATAGCTGGAATATTGCTGAGTGTGGCGTTAAATTACAAACCAACAACAACAACAACAACTAAACTGGATATGAACTCTATGGTAAGATGGTGTATGTTTCAGACTTATATATGAGCAGGACGACATCCTCAACAAGATAGAGGAGCTTGTAAAGAACTTTGATGCTGAGCTCCGTCTCCTCCGACACGACAAGTTTGAGCTGGATATTGTCATGAAGAATGCTGATTTGAGGTGAGAATACCTTGTGTTCTTTTGTCATTTCACATGGTTGTGAAGTTGTAGAGTGGTAGTGTGTCCCAGTAGTTAAACAGGGTTACAACAAAACTCAATAGCTCTACTAGCCCTGAAGATAAAAAGCCCTTGTAATGTTAAAACAATGGGAAAATTTGGGGCTTGCGGGCATTAGTTTCAAACTGGCGGTTTCCATTCCAGACAATGCTTATTAACGTACATGTATTTTGATTCAGTCATACAGCCCGTAACAGTAGTTTTGTGTTAAGTTTTAGAGCTTGCATGATTAGAAAACATATTAATAACATAACAATTTGAATATTTCATTTCGTATTATTATGTATTTGTATTGTTATCTATCGTGTAGTTGTCCGGTTTTCGATCATGAACGTTGATACTACTTAATTTCGTTTATCATACTCGTTAATCCAACATAATCATAGGCAACCAACCATGTCGGATTAATGGGACTTGACTGTAGTTTGATCTAAAGCCATGTCACTGCACCCTGGTGTTGACAACGTTTTGTCTATGACAGACAGGTGACGCTGTTCGAGGAGCTGGTCCTCCTAAAGGAGTATGAGAAAAGGGAGGACGTCCTGGCTGCCAAGGTCACTGGCAAACAGCAGGAGAAGCTGGACATGCAGAACAAGGTGTGTCTGATGTCTGGGCTAGACTGTGTGTTCATGTCTGATGTCTGGGCTAGACAGTGGGCTCATGTCTGATGTCTGGGGTAGACTGTGTGTTCATGTCTGATGTCTGGGGTAGACTGTGTGTTCATGTCTGATGTCTGGGGTAGACAGTGTGTTCATGTCTGTCTGGGGTAGACAGTGGGCTCATGTCTGATGTCTGGGGTAGACAGTGTGTTCATGTCTGATGTCTGGGCTAGACAGTGTGTTCATGTCTGATGTCTGGGCTAGACAGTGTGTTCATGTCTGATGTCTGGGGTAGACTGTGTGTTCATGTCTGATGTCTGGGGTAGACTGTGTGTTCATGTCTGATGTCTGGGGTAGACTGTGTGTTCATGTCTGATGTCTGGGGTAGACAGTGGGCTCATGTCTGATGTCTGGGGTAGACAGTGTGTTCATGTCTGATGTCTGGGGTAGACAGTGTGTTCATGTCTGATGTCTGGGGTAGACTGTGTGTTCATGTCTGACGCTTGGGTAGACAGTGTGTTCATGTCTGATGTCTGGGGTAGACAGTGTGTTCATGTCTGATGTCTGGGGAAGACTGTGTTCATGTCTGATATCTGGGGTAGACAGTGTGTTCATGTCTGTCTGGGGTAGACAGTGTGTTCATGTCTGATGTCTGGGGTAGACAGTATGTTCATGTCTGTCTGGGGTAGACAGTGTGTTCACGTCTGTCTAGGGTAGACAGTGGGCTCATGTCTGATGTCTAGACAGTGTGTTCATGTCTGTCTACGGTAGACTGTGTGTTCATGTCTGATGTCTGGGGTAGACAGTGTGTTCATGTCTGTCTAGGGTAGACAATGGGCTCATGTCTGATGTGTGGGGTAGACTGTGTTCATGTCTGATGTCTGGGGTAGACAGTGGGCTATGTCTGATGTCTGGGGTAGACAGTGGGCTCATGTCTGATGTCTGGATAGACAGTGTGTTCATGTCTGATGTCTGGGGTAGACTGTGTGTTCATGTCTGATGTCTGGGGTAGACAGTGGGCTCATGTCTGATGTCTCGGGTAGACAGTGGGCTCATGTCTGATGTCTGGGGTAAGCATATTGCCGTTGATCTCCATGGTTACCATATATCTTATGTTCATCCCCTTCCCCCCTCCTGTTGCCAGATCCTGGAGGTGCAAGGGAAGATGGACGGGAAGAAGAAGGACATTGAGAAGCTGCAGGAGAAGGAGAGAGCTCTCCACGCCACCTTCATCACCTCCCTTGGAGACAACAACAAGTTTGCTGACTACCTCACCAAGGTCTTCAAGAAAAAGATCAAGCGGACAAAAAAGAAGACTGCTGAGGGAGACGGTACACAAATATATCATGCTAAACTATACTTTCTGACAGCATACCCTTGTTGTCATGTTACAGCAGTAAAATGTGTTGTAACCTTGCTGTCCTGATCACAGTGATGGCTTCACCCTTCTTTCACCATTATGTGATATGTAACATGACCGGTTGACCACTGTCTGTGTCTGTGTGTCACCAGTATGTGATATGTAACATGACCGGTTGACCACTGTCTGTGTCTGTGTGTCACCATTATGTGATATGTAACATGACCGGTTGACCACTGTCTGTGTCTGTGTGTCACCTTTATTCGATATGTAACATGACCGGTTGACCACTGTCTGTGTCTGTGTGTCACCATTATGTGATATGTAACATGACCGGTTGACCACTGTCTGTGTCTGTGTCACCAGTATGTGATATGTAACATGACCGGTTGACCACTGTCTGTGTCTGTGTGTCACCAGTATGTGATATGTAACATGACCGGTCGACCACAGTGTGATATGTAACATGACCGGTTGACCACTGTCTGTGTCTGTGTGTCACCAGTATGTGATATGTAACATGACCGGTTGACCACTGTCTGTGTCTGTGTGTCACCAGTATGTGATATGTAACATGACCAGTTGACCACTGTCTGTGTCTGTGTGTCACAAGTATGTGATATGTAACATGACCGGTCGACCACTGTCTGTGTCTGTGTGTCACCAGTATGTGATATGTAACATGACCGGTTGACCACTGTCTGTGTCTGTGTCTGTGTCACCAGTATGTGATATGTAACATGACCGGTCGACCACTGTCTGTGTCTGTGTGTCACCAGTATGTGATATGTAACATGACCGGTTGACCACTGTCTGTGTCTGTGTCTGTGTCACCAGTATGTGATATGTAACATGACCGGTTGACCACTGTCTGTGTCTGTGTGTCACCAGTATGTGATATGTAACATGACTGGTTGACCACTGTCTGTGTCTGTGATTCACCAGTATGTGATATGTAACATGACCGGTTGACCACTGTCTGTGTCTGTGTGTCACCAGTATGTGATATGTAACATGACTGGTTGACCACTGTCTGTGTCTGTGTGTCACCAGTATGTGATATGTAACATGACCGGTTGACCACTGTCTGTGTCTGTGTGTCACCATTATGTGATATGTAACATGACCGGTTGACCACTGTTTGTGTCTGTGTGTCACCAGTATGTGATATGTAACATGACCGGTTGACCACTGTCTGTGTCTGTGTGTCACCAGTATGTGATATGTAACATGACCGGTTGACCACTGTCTGTGTCTGTGTGTCACCATTATGTGATATGTAACATGACCGGTTGACCACTGTCTGTGTCTGTGTGTCACCAGTATGTGATATGTAACATGACCGGTTGACCACTATCTGTGTCTGTGTCTGTGTCACCAGTATGTGATATGTAACATGACCGGTTGACCACTGTCTGTGTCTGTGTGTCACCAGTATGTGATATGTAACATGACCGGTTGACCACTGTCTGTGTCTGTGTGTCACCATTATGTGATATGTAACATGACCGGTTGACCACTGTCTGTGTCTGTGTGTCACGAGTGTGCTCTGTGTCTGTGTCTCACCGGTATGCTCTGTGTCTGTGTGTCACCAGTATGCATCTGTGTCTGTGTGTCACGAGTATGCATCTGTGTCTGTGTGTCACGAGTGTGCTCTGTGTCTGTGTCTCACCGGTATGCTCTGTGTCTGTGTGTCACCAGTATGCATCTGTGTCTGTGTGTCACCAGTATAATCTGTGTCTGTGTGTCACCAGTATAATCTGTGTCTGTGTGTCACCAGTATGCATCTGTGTCTGTGTGTCACCAGTATGCATCTGTGTCTGTGTGTCACCAGCATGCATCTGTATCCGTGTGTCACCAGTATGCATCTGTGTCTGTGTCTGTGTCTTATCAGTATAATCTGTGTCTGTGTGTCACCAGTATGCATCTGTGTCTGTGTGTCACCAGTATGCATCTGTGTCTTTGTGTCACCAGTATGCATCTGTGTCTGTGTGTCACCAGCATGCATCTGTATCCGTGTGTCACCAGCATGCATCTGTATCCGTGTGTCACCAGTATGCATCTGTGTCTGTGTGTCACCAGTATGCATCTGTGTCTTTGTGTCACCAGTATGCATCTGTGTCTGTGTGTCACCAGCATGCATCTGTGTCTGTGTGTCACCAGTATGCATCTGTGTCTGTGTCTGTGTGTCACCAGTATGCATCTGTGTCCGTGTGTCACCAGTATGCATCTGTGTCTGTGTGTCACCAGTATGCATCTGTGTCTGTGTGTCACCAGTATGCATCTGTGTCTGTGTGTCACCAGCATGCATCTGTGTCTGTGTGTCACCAGTATGCATCTGTGTCTGTGTCTGTGTCTGTGTGTCACCAGTATGCATCTGTGTCTGTGTGTCACCAGCATGCATCTGTATCCGTGTGTCACCAGTATGCATCTGTGTCTGTGTGTCACCAGTATGCATCTGTGTCTGTGTCTGTGTGTCACCAGTATGCATCTGTGTCTGTGTGTCACCAGCATGCATCTGTGTCTGTATCCGTGTGTCACCAGTATGCATCTGTGTCTGTGTCTGTGTGTCACCAGTATGCATCTGTGTCTGTGTCTGTGTGTCACCAGTATGCATCTGTGTCTGTGTCTGTGTGTCACCAGCATGCATCTGTGTCTGTGTGTCACCAGTATGCATCTGTATCCGTGTGTCACCAGTATGCATCTGTGTCTGTGTGTCACCAGTATGCATCTGTATCCGTGTGTCACCAGTATGCATCTGTATCCATGTGTCACCAGTATGCATCTGTGTCTGTGTGTCACCAGTATGCATCTGTGTCTGTGTGTCACCAGCATACATCTGTGTCTGTGTGTCACCAGCATGCATCTGTGTCTGTATCCGTGTGTCACCAGTATGCATCTGTGTCTGTGTCTGTGTGTCACCAGCATACATCTGTGTCTGTGTCACCAGCATACATCTGTGTCTGTGTGTCACCAGCATGCATCTGTGTCTGTATCCGTGTGTCACCAGTATGCATCTGTGTCTGTGTCTGTGTGTCACCAGCATACATCTGTGTCTGTGTGTCACCAGCATACATCTGTGTCTGTGTGTCACCAGCATACATCTGTGTCTGTGTGTCACCAGTATGCATCTGTGTCTGTGTGTCACCAGCATGCATCTGTGTCTGTGTCTGTGTGTCACCAGCATGCATCTGTGTCTGTATCCGTGTGTCACCAGTATGCATCTGTGTCTGTGTCTGTGTGTCACCAGTATGCATCTGTGTCTGTGTGTCACCAGCATGCATCTGTGTCTGTGTGTCACCAGCATGCATCTGTGTCTGTGTGTCACCAGTATAATCTGTGTCTTTGTGTCACCAGTATGCATCTGTGTCTGTGTGTCACCAGTATAATCTGTGTCTGTGTGTCACCAGTATAATCTGTGTCTGTGTGTCACCAGTATGCATCTGTGTCTGTGTGTCACCAGTATGCATCTGTATCCGTGTGTCACCAGTATGCATCTGTGTTTGTGTGTCACCAGCATGCATCTGTGTCTGTGTCTGTGTGTCACCAGCATGCATCTGTGTCTGTATCCGTGTGTCACCAGTATGCATCTGTGTCTGTGTCTGTGTGTCACCAGCATACATCTGTGTCTGTGTGTCACCAGCATGCATCTGTATCCGTGTGTCACCAGTATGCATCTGTGTCTGTGTGTCACCAGCATGCATCTGTGTCTGTGTGTCACCAGTATGCATCTGTGTCTGTGTGTCACCAGTATGCATCTGTGTCTTTGTGTCACCAGTATGCATCTGTGTCTGTGTGTCACCAGCATGCATCTGTGTCTGTGTGTCACCAGCATGCATCTGTATCCGTGTGTCACCAGTATGCATCTGTGTCTGTGTCTGTGTCTTACCAGTATAATCTGTGTCTGTGTGTCACCAGTATAATCTATGTCTCTCTCTAAGTAGTATGCAACTGTGTCTAGGTTCTGATGAGGACAGCGACGAGGACTCTGATGATGAGTCAGACTGGGAGGAGTCGGATGAGGAGTCCGACGAGGAAGCCGGGGGATTTGACCTGGACGTGTGTCCTCCTGGCTGTGACCAGGTCAGTACCACTGTAAAATGTCTGATGATTAATAGACACACCTTCACATACTCACATACCAGTGTTCCACTGCTCGCCTTCTTGGTAAACATGGCTGCTTTATGCTAAAATAGACCCTCAAAAACCTATGCTTGTCTTAAGAGGCAACCAACTTAGCTGATCAGTGTTAGTGACTTGGTGGATTGTTGGTCATCAACCCTGTGACTAGGTGTGGGACAGTGCACTGCTTTATCTGGTCCTCGAATATATCTGTATGGCTTACCGTGTGTCATCAACCCTGTGACTAGGTGTGGGACAGTGCATTGCTTTATCTGGTCCTCGAATATATCTGTATGGTTTACCGTGTGTCATCGACCCTGTGACTAAGTGTGGGACAGTGCATTGCTTTATCTGGTCCTCGAATATATCTGTATGGTTTACCGTGTGTCATCAACCCTGTGACTAGGTGTGGGACAGTGCATTGCTTTATCTGGTCCTCGAATATATCTGTATGGTTTACCGTGTGTCATCGACCCTGTGACTAGGTGTGGGACAGTGCATTGCTTTATCTGGTCCTCGAATATATCTGTATGGTTTACCGTGTGTCATCAACCCTGTAACTAGGTGTGGGACAGTGCATTGCTTTATCTGGTCCTCGAATATATCTGTATGGTTTACCGTGTGTCATCGACCCTGTGACTAGGTGTGGGACAGTGCATTGCTTTATCTGGTCCTCGAATATATCTGTATGGTTTACCGTGTGTCATCGACCCTGCAAGTAGGCATAGGACATTGGTTTAGGCACTGGTTCATCTGGTCCTGGATAATATCCGTATGGTTTACTGTATGTCATCGACCCTGCAAGTAGGCGTAGGACATTTGTTGAGGCACTGCTTCATCTGGTCCTGGATTATATCTGTATGGTTTACCCTGTGTTGTAGACCATGCAAGTAGGCGTAGGACATTGGTTTAGGCACTGCTTCATCTGGTCCTTGATTATATCTGTATGGCTTACCGTGTGTTATAGACCCTGCAAGTAGGCGTAGGACATTGGTTTAGGCACTGGTACATCTGGTCCTGGATTATATCTGTATGGCTTACCGTGTGTTGTAAACCCTGCAAGTAGGCGTAGGACATTGGTTTAGGCACTGGTTCATCTGGTCCTGGATTATATCTGTATGGTTGAACAATGTGTCATCGACCCTGCAAGTAGGCGTAGGACATTTGTTTAGGCACTGCTTCATCTGGTCCTGGATTATATCTGTATTGCTTACCGTATGTCATCGACCCTGCAAGTAGGCGTAGGACATTTGTTTAGGCACTGGTTCATCTGGTCCTGGATTATATCTGTATGGCTTACCGTGTGTTATAGACCCTGCAAAGGACATTGGTTTAGGCACTGGTTCATCTGGTCCTGGATTATATCTGTATGGCTTACCGTGTGTTATAGACCCTGCAAGTAGGCGTAGGACATTGGTTTAGGCACTGGTTCATCTGGTCCTGGATTATATCTGTATGGTTTACCCTGTGTTGTAGACCCTGCAAGTAGGCGTAGGACATTGGTTTAAGCACTGCTTCATCTGGTCCTGGATTATATCTGTATGGCTTACCGTGTGTTATAGACCCTGCAAAGGACATTGGTTTAGGCACTGGTTCATCTGGACCTGGATTATATCTGTATGGCTTACCGTGTGTTATAGACCCTGCAAGTAGGCGTAGGACATTGGTTTAGGCACTGCTTCATCTGGTCCTGGATTATATCTGTATGGCTTACCGTGTGTTATAGACCCTGTACGACAACACATGCCAGCTTCGGGAGAAGAGGCTGGACTTGGAGGAAGCCCTGGCTGAGGAGAGGAAGAACCAGGACACCATGAAGAAGGAGCTGGAGGGACTCAGCAAGAAGGCCAGAGTCATCGACGGGGCTCTCAAGACAGCACAGAATGATCTCGAGGCCTTCCAGGTAGGGAGATTATGTAGTCAGACACCTTACAGTCTTCTGACCCTAACTTGGTATAGTTTTCACCAGAATTTAGTAATTACTGTATGTCTAACTGTTCTTTGACCATATATGACAGGTCTCTGATTGTGTCAGATTGTTCTCTGACATCATCTGATTGTTCTCTGACTGCATCTGATTGTTCTCTGACCTCATCTGATTGTTCTCTGACTATCTGATTGTCCTCTGACATCATCTGATTGTTCTCTAACTGTTCTGACTGCATGTTATTGTTCTCAGACAGTCTGATTGTTCTCTGACTGCATCTGATTGTTCTCTGACTGCATCTGATTGTTCTCTGACTTCATCTGATTGTCCTCTGGCTGCATCTGATTGTTTTCTGACTATATCTCGCATTCTCTGACCATGATGTATCGGACTGTTCTCAACTATATCTGACTTCATATTTGACTAACCTCTGTATAAAGGACTTCATTTCTGACTGTATATTTGACTTTATATTTCACTGTCCTCTGGAAATATGGCTGTTATCTGACTTTATTTCTGACTATATTTGACTATATATTTGACTGTCCTCTGTAAATATGGCTGTTATCTGACTGTATTCCTGACTGTATATTTGACTATATATTTGACTGTCCTCTGTATATATGGCTGTTATCTGACTTTATTTCTGACTGTATATTTGACTATATATTTGACTGTCCTCTGTATATATGGCTGTTATCCGACTTTATTTCTGACTATATATTTGACTGTCCTCTGTATATATGGCTGTTATCTGACTTTATATCTGATCATGACTGTATATTTGACTATATATTTGACTGTCCTCTATATATATGGCTGTTATCTGACTATTTCTAACTGTATATTTGACTGTCCTCTGTATATCTGACTGTCCTCTGTATACGTGACCGTGTGTATGACTATCATCTGACTTTATATCTGACTGTCTTCCGACTCTGTTGCCAGCTTGAGAAGCAGCAGAAGCTGAACGAGCTGAACGTGGTGGTGACGCTGAAGCTGAACCAGATTCAGTACATGCTGAACAACGTGCTGCCCCAGGACCTGAGCCAGACCCTGGTGTTTGAGTCCAACGGCGTCGTGCGCCTGCAGCAGCGCATCAAGGAGCTGGAGCACGAGAAGTTCCTGCAGAAGAAACAGATGAAGTCAGTGTCCACTCCTTATATACTGATGGAAAGAAATAAGGGAACACATACAACTGAAAGCATTCATTAGTGCAGATACGTCTTATATACCCTGAAGATGACTGTTTGACAATTTGGTGACATTTTAAATACAAATTTTACATATCTTCATGTGAACTGTCTATATTGAACCAAGATGTCATTTACTTTTTCAATACGTTTATGTGTTTCAGTATGTTTCCATCAGTATATATATCATGAACAGTATATGTAAAACTTTTTTTGATGCATTATTATAAAGTGATAATGCCTTGGGTGGGAATTGTTTGATAGGCATTACTTAGAAGTTGACGGATGACAAAATAGGCACAATTTATGGATAACAACTTCTTGTCAAGCAGCAGTATAAGGATCTATACCGAAATGTCGCCTTTACAATGTTAAAGAAGTTTGTTATCCATAAATTGTGTCTACTTTGTAATGCTTTTGGAGTTATAGAGTAGGTGGAGTGAACAGAAAATGTATTGTTTACAATTCCCATGGACAGAAGTCCTCCACTGTTGTATTGCAGAACGTTTACTAGACATTGTGTAATATGATATTGTAATCCCTTGCCCTCCTGCTGCTGAGTCACTTGTGGGGAGGTCGGGTAGCCTAGTGGTTAAAGCGTTTGCTCGTCACGCTGAAGACCCAGGTTTGATTCCCGACATGGGTACAATGTGTGAAGCCCATTTCTGGTGTCCCCCGCCGTGATATTGCTGGAATATTTCTAAAAGCGGCGTAAAACCATACTCACTCACTCACTCACTGAGTCACTTGTAATGACTATAACATTGTCAGGGTTGTTGAAGTAGTAGTATAGCAACATGTCCTGTGTCTCAGGGAGTCCCGCCTGAGTCACTTGTAATAACTATAACATTGTCAGGGTTGTTGAAGTAGTAGTATAGCATCATGTCCTGTGTCTCAGGGAGTCCCGCCTGAGTCACTTGTAATGACTATAAATTGTCAGGGTTGTTGAAGTAGTAGTATAGCATCATGTCCTGTGTCTCAGGGAGTCCCGCCTGAGTCACTTGTAATGACTATAACATTGTCAGGGTTGTTGAAGTAGTAGTATAGCATCATGTCCTGTGTCTCAGGGAGTCCCGCCTGAGTCACTTGTAATGACTATAACATTGTCAGGGTTGTTGAAGTAGTAGTAAAGCATCATGTCCTGTGTCTCAGGGAGTCCCGCCTGAGTCACTTGTAATGACTATAACATTGTCAGGGTTGTTGAAGTAGTAGTATAGCGTGATGTCCTGTGTCTCAGGGAGTCCCGTCGGAAGCATGTGCAGCTCATCAAGGACCGCAAGGTGTTTGAGCAGAAGATCGTGGAGATGGACGAGACATGCAACCAGATGATGGTCAGCAAGTTCGGCCGCATCGTGGACCTGGAGAAGCTGGAGACGGTGACAGTGAACCGCAGCATCGAGGAGCTGAAGGAGAAGTGCCACATCACCGAGATACAGTGTGCTGAGGAGCTGTGTCAATGGGATGTGAGTAGTACAGGAGATCTAGGGGGGTCCTGATGGCTTAAATCCCTTCCCTGCCCCACCCACAGAGCAGCTGTAGCACTGGCATGTGAGTAGTACAGGAGATCTAGGGGGGTCCTGATGGCTTGAATCCCTTCCCTGCCCCACCCACAGAGCAGCTGTAGCACTGGCATGTGAGTAGTCCAGGAGATCTAGGGGGGTCCTGATGGCTTAAATCCCTTCCCTGCCCCACCCACAGAGCAGCTGTCTCACTGGGATGTGAGTAGTTCAGGAGATCTAGGGGGGGTCCTGATGGCTTAAATCCCTTCCCTGCCCCACCCACAGAGCAGCTGTCTCACTGGGATGTGAGTAGTCCAGGAGATCTAGGGGGGTCCTGATGGCTTAAATCCCTTCCCTGCCCCACCCACAGAGCAGCTGTCTCACTGGCATGTGAGTAGTCCAGGAGATCTAGGGGGGTCCTGATGGCTTGAATCCCTTCCCTGCCCCACCCACAGAGCAGCTGTCTCATTGGCATGTGAGTAGTCCAGGAGATCTAGGGGGGTCCTGATGGCTTGAATCCCTTCCCTGCCCCACCCACAGAGCAGCTGTCTCATTGGCATGTGAGTAGTCCAGGAGATCTAGGGGGGTCCTGATGGCTTAAATCCCTTCCCTGCCCCACCCACAGAGCAGCTGTCTCACTGGGATGTGAGTAGTCCAGGAGATCTAGGGGGGTCCTGATGGCTTAAATCCCTTCCCTGCCCCACCCACAGAGCAGCTGTCTCACTGGCATGTGAGTAGTCCAGGAGATCTAGGGGGGTCCTGATGGCTTGAATCCCTTCCCTGCCCCACCCACAGAGCAGCTGTCTCATTGGCATGTGAGTAGTCCAGGAGATCTAGGGGGGTCCTGATGGCTTAAACCCCTTCCCTGCCCCACCCACAGAGCAGCTGTCTCACTGGGATGTGAGTAGTCCAGGCGATCTAGGGGTGTCCTGATGGCTTGTATCCCTTCCCTGCCCCACCCACACTGTCCACAGCTGTCGCACTGGGATATAGGTTTCAGGGGATTCAGGGAGGTCCCTTCCCAATCCCTTCTTTAGAAAATGGCATGGACCCAAATAAGAGGAACCAAAAAAATATCTTGAAAATAATAAACATATATATCCTCGTCTCATTGTCTCTGAACCTCTCAAATTCAATTCAAAAACATTTCCAATCAAGGGGTTTTTTGTGGAATTTATATGGAATTTAAATTTTCATTTCCTTTGCAAATTTGTCACTGAATAACCAATGAAATCCACCTTCAGAAACTGATAGCTGAGAAGCGCAGCCGAATCACAGACTTGATCCGAGACAACACAAACCGCCTGGAACAGCTGAACATGCTGATGATGGAGAAGAAGGACTTAGAGGCATCACTGGACTCTCGCCAGAAGAACCTGGTAAGCTGTTGCCTCCCTTGTTCACTGCCTCCATCACTCATATTCTACATTGGCTTTCGTGGTTTATGCTGACACACTGAAATGTTTATTTGCGACAGATACATTTTTCTAGAATTTAATTGCCCATAATTAAGAATGCATATAACACAGGAGTGCGTATTATATGCGAATAAATAAGTCTTGTGTATATGGAGCTGTCGGAAGGAGTGCTAATTGGGATTGTTCACTAGCCAATATATTAGCAAATATCGCCGTGGGCGCTTATTAGAGCGGGGCGCTTATTACGTCGAATACGGTAGATGTAATTATATGTTTTTTTTCATACCAAGGTTTGGTTAATCCTCCCAGCTTAACATGATCTCCTTTTATCGTTTTATTCAGCATTGAACAGATCAAATATTAAGTGTTTGATAGGCATTTAGAAGTTGGAAGAACATGAATACATAACACTTTTTATAGATGGAAACTTTTATTCTTTGTCATGACGTTTCTGTCACATCTTCCTCCTTCATCAGGTGAATGCTCTCAGTTAAGGAGCAAGAAGAAGCTCTGAAATATCCTGATAAAGAATGATAGCAGTTGCTATCCATTGAAAGTGTTATGTATTCATGTCAAATATGCATACTGATTCAGAAAATACTTGTTATGATTACTGTGTTTAAGAATTGTATATTTGTATTTATGGAGGTATTGCATACTTTGTAAAATGGCATATCTGGTTTTTATGGTTATAGCTTCATAAATGCAAACAAAAAATATTGGAGTCAATTCTAATAAATAGATACATCAATAATAACAACTTAAACAAACTGCTTATTTAATCATTAACACAAAACTGTAGACAACAATACTAAATTAGCGACATTCAGGGCAATATTGCAACACAGTAGTACGTTAGTGGGCATAATCTATTTCTTTTTGGGGGGGGTTTGGGGTGGGTTTGGGGGGTATGGAAACCTTAATGCAATTAACATTGCTTGTTAGCCCATCAAGTGCCACGGTGTCCCTCGAATTTATTTTTAATAGATAAATGCAGAAAATATGAAGTTGTGGTGACACTTCCCTGTATGAGGTTGTCTTTGTCGCAGGGTGAGGAGTACACTGGCCAGCGCAAGGCGGACCTCAACGAGAAGCAGCGCCTCATCCAGCTGGTGCAGCTGCAGGCCCAGGAGATCGACGCCCTCAAGGAGGAGATCATGCTGCTGTCCAGGAAAGGAGGTCACATCCTGCCCCCGGCCCAGCCTCCTCTCCCTCAGAGCCCCCCCAACCTACACAGCATCAACCACTGACACCACCCTACTCCACCATCAGCAGCCACAAGCAAGGCCACATCCTTGAAACATCCTCCTCTTGTTGTCTTGGGAACCTGATCTTCTGACATATCTTTAAATATTCATCTGAATGTTGAGGGTTTTACAATTCTCATCTGTTGTTTAAAGACCAGGTCCCTGTTCCTCAAAGCGATCTTAGCGCTACGATGATCGTAAGCCTTTGTTAAAGTATGGGACTTACGATCACCTTAGCGCTAAGATCACTTTGAGGAATGGGACCCTGGAAAAGGTCTTGAGATCAGGGTCCTGTTCCACAAAGCGATCTAAGCAGTATGACTGTCTTAAGTCTATGTTAAAGTATGGGAGTTACGATCATCTTAGTGCTAAGATTGCTTGTGTAGCAGAGCCCAGATCTGTTCAGAGATCTTAGGATTCATTTTCATGTTCAATGTTCGTCATTTGCAAAAGTTATGTGGAAATTAACTTTTATGGAAATGTCTTTAACCAAATCCAACATACATCACAAATAGCATTGGTTCATATTTCTAATAAGTTTTGTCTATAGAAACTGGAAGACAGGAGAAGTACCAACTCTAAACTAAGCAAGCGGTTGAGACATCACAACAAAGTGTGACTCACTCATCACTGTGTACACAAGTCAGCCAAAACTAACAGTATTATATTGCACTGGACACTTGCTGTTTCAACAGCATCACATCTTGTGTATTGAGTAGAAGCAGTACACTGTGCGTGAGGCTTGTCTCTGTGCTTGCTGCGTCATCTGTTTACTCTGGGAGGTACATACCACTGATAAATAGCATCTGGTACGGGCACAGTGACAGTGTTTTATTTTGTATTGACTTCATATTGCCTTATCAGAATTGTTGGCATACTGAAACTTGTTTTTTAAAATTATTTATCAATTGCAAAGCTTTATTGTTGAAGTTTTAATTCCATTTTTATTTTCATTCCGTCCAAGAAATTATATAGCTGGGCTGTATGTATGCATCTGTGATCCCTTAGTTACACGTTTTTTGTAACCTGTATCAAACTGTTATGTAATTGTGAATATTATTATGAAATAAATTATATATAATAGATCATGCCTTTTGTGATGTAGAGAGTGTATGCTGTATACAGTTAACTAATACGTCACAGATACTGGTATACTACAGCTATATCAGAGTTATAATACAGCTATATGGAATATAAGCGACAAAACCCTTTCGGTATTCTTAAGGGACCGTACGCGTGAAGATGCGGGGTTGATGCATGTCATTGGTCCCAATTGCGTGGATCGATGTTCATGATGTCACTCACTGGATTGTCTGGTCCAGATTATTTACAGACTGCCGTCATATAGCTGGAATATTGCTATGTGCAGCGTAAAACAACCAACCAACCAACCAACTAATCCTAAAATGGGAAAAACTATTTCCATTTGTGTGTTTAGCCTCCACATCCGGTCATCGAAGCCGGTGCAGCATTAAACAACAAACCAAACCAAAAATCATAAGGGACCGACCATTTGATATTCTGGTTGGCCTGGAATTTTCTGTTGAGAATAGGTAATTTTTTAGTTTGAGTTTACGCCGCTTTTAGCAATATCCCAGCAATATCATACCAGCAATGGGCTTCACACATTTTACCCATGTCGGGAATTGAACCCGGGTCTTGGTTGTGACGATATATTTTGAATGTAAGGCCACATCACCATCTGGGTTAAAAGAGAAGGTGCTGTATACTACTCACGTGCACAGCAGTTATCGGCTGTTGGGGTTTAAGAGTGAAGCTGCTGTGTACTACACGCCTGCATAGCAGTTATCGGCTGTTGGGTTTTAAGAGTGAAGCTGCTGTGTACTACACGCCTGCACAGCAGTTATCGGCTGTTGGGGTTTAAGAGTGAAGCTGCTGAGTACTACACGCCTGCACAGCAGTTATCAGCTGTTGGGGTTTAAGAGTGAAGCTGCTGTGTACTACACGCCTGCATAGCAGTTATCGGCTGTTGGGGTTTAAGAGTGAAGCTGCTGAGTACTACACGCCTGCACAACAGTTATCAGCTGTTGGGGTTTAAGAGTGAAGCTGCTGTGTACTACACGCCTGCATAGCAGTTATCGGCTGTTGGGGTTTAAGAGTGAAGCTGCTGTGTACTACACGCCTGCACAACAATATTATTTATACAGTTAAAAATACGGTCTATAAGGCCACCAGTATCCAAAGCTCCAACACAGAGGAACATGAAGATAATCACCTATCTGGGTTTAAGAGTTAAGACGGTGTATAATACAGAGGAACACAACGATTATCACCTATCTGGTTTTAAGAGTTAAGATGGTGTATAACAGAGAGGAACACAACGAGTATCGCCGATCTGGGTTTAAGAGTTAAGACGGTGTATAATACAGAGGAACACAACGATAATCGCCTATCTGGGTTTAAGAGTTAAGACGGTGTACAACACAGAGGAACACAACGATGATCACCTGTCTGGCTTTAAGAGTTAAGACAGTGTATAATACAGAAGAACACAACGAGTATCGCCGATCTGGCTTTAAGAGTTAAGACGGTGTATAATACAGAGGGACACAACGATTATCACCTATCTGGGTTTAAGAGTTAAGACGGTGTACAACACAGAGGAACACAACGATTATCACCTGTCTGGCTTTAAGAGTTAAGACGGTGTATAATACAGAAGAACACACGAGTATCGCCGATCTGGGTTTAAGAGTTAAGACGGTGTATAATACAGAGGGACACAACGATTATCACCTATCTGGGTTTAAGAGTTAAGACGGTGTACAACAAAGAGGAACACAACGATTATCACCTGTCTGGCTTTAAGAGTTAAGACAGTGTATAATACAGAGGAACACAACGATTATCACCTATCTGGGTTTAAGAGTTAAGACGGTGTATAATACAGAAGAACACAACGAGTATCACCTATCTGGCTTTAAGAATTAAGACGGTGTATAATACAGAGGAACACAACGATTATCACCTATCTGGGTTTAAGAGTTAAGATGGTGTATAATACAGAAGAACACAACGATTATCGCCGATCTGGGTTTAAGAGTTAAGACGGTGTACAACACAGAGGGACACAACGATTATCACCTATCTGGGTTTAAGAGTTAAGACGGTGTATAATACAGAAGAACACAACGAGTATCACCTATCTGGCTTTAAGAATTAAGACGGTGTATAATACAGAGGAACACAACGATTATCGCCGATCTGGGTTTAAGAGTTAAGACGGTGTATAATACAGAGGGACAGAACGATTATCGCCTGTTTTGGGTTTTGGATTAATGGCGTTGTATTTAAAAGACGAGAACAGCAGTTATCACCCATGTGGGTTTCAGAGTAAAGATGCTGTAGGCTAGAGGCTAGAAGGGCAATTATCACCTATCTTGGTTTATTGATAAAGGTACTATATACCACGGACTAGAAAGCGGTAATACAGAGGAACACGACGATTATCACCTATCTGGCTTTAAGAGTTAAGACGGTGTATAACACAGAGGAACATAACGATTATCACCTATCTGGGTTTAAGAGTTAAGACGGTGTATAATACAGAGGGACACAACGATTGTCGCCTGTTTTGGGTTTTGGATTAATGGCGTTGTATACAACAGACGAGAACAGCAGTTATCACCCATTTGGGTTTAATTATAAAGGTGCTCTATACTGAGCCTAGAAGAACGGTTATCATCTATCTCGGTTTAATAATAAAGGTGCTATATACTGAGGCTAGAATAGCGGTTATCACCTATCTGGGTTTAATGATAAAGGTGCAACATACCACAGACTAGAAGAGCGGTATCACCTATCTGGGTTTAATAATAGGCGCTCTATAGAACAGACTAGAACTGTCTGGGATTAATAGTAAAGATGTTATAACTACAAAGTAGCCAGCTCTTATCACCTGTCTTGGTTTAAGAGTAAATATGCTGTATACTACAGGCTATTACAGCGGTTATCACCTATCTGGGTTTAAAAGTGAAGTTTCAGTTCACTACAGACTAGCTGAGTGGGTATCCCATATATTGGTTTAAAAGTAAGGGTGCTGTTTACTACAGACTAGCACAGCAGTTATCCCATACGTTGCTTTAAGAGTAAGGGTGCTGTTTACTACAGACTAGCACAGCGGTTGTCCCATATGTTGGTTTAAAAGTAAGGATGCTGTATATTGCAGACAACCACAGCAGTTATCCCATATAATGTAGGCTTGTTAGTTTATACTACACAAAAGAAGTTAAGGAACACCCGCCATCTTTCATATGACTAGTTACTTTGTCATGGCATGGCATGAATAATTATAATCAGATTAAAACGGCGGGTGTTCCTTAACTTCTTTTGAGTAGTATACACAAGAGATAAGGCATTTGGAGGAGATAGTAAAAAAACGAAACAAATATTTCAGAATTGTACACGATATCGTTCACACCTGCTATCTAGAGAATATTTCATCGCGAACGTTTTATTAAATCATATGTATTCACTTTATATAACCATATTCATTCACTTAATTACCATTTAATAAACTCCATTAACCATGTGTACAACAAAATAGAACAGGTGACTTACGTAATTTATTAAAAAAGCTATTTTTTCAAAGATGTTTTTAAAAGAATGTAATGATCTATTTATTAGGGTGATTTTGTTTTCAAAGCATCCTCACTGACCTACTTGCATAGTGTTCGTCAAGTGCAGTGTGTATGCATCCGACATGCACTGGTGACTGCGTAAGTTAAAAATAACCATGACTTTTCTAACACAGGCGTTCTGTAACATTGATGTCACGGACCTGCATTGCCAGTGAGCAAAGGTATGTACCTCCTCGTGAACACCTGTATGGGTATGCCTGTGTCTGTAGGGATGGTAGTTCTTTGGGAGGCAGTTAGAAGTTGGCGTGGCAAGTAAGGAAAAGATATATGGATGAACAACTTCTTTATTATAATTAGGAGCGACGTTTCGGTGTAGGTTCTAGCACCATTATCAAGAAAGTGTGACTTGATTGAAAATTGTGGGATAACCGCTGTGCTAGTCTGTGGTATACAGTACTCTTACTCTTAAACCAGCATATTGGATAATCGCTGTGCTTGTCTGTCGTATACAACACCCTTACTCTTAAACCATCGTATGGGATAACCGCTGTGCTTGTCTGTCGTATACAACACCCTTACTCTTTAACCATCGTATGGGATAACCGCTGTGCTAGTCTGTGGTATACAGTACCCTTACTCTTTAACCATCGTATGGGATAACCGCTGTGCTTGTCTGTGGTATACAGTACCCTTACTCTTTAACCATCGTATTGGATAACCGCTGTGTTTGTCTGTCGTATACAACACCCTTACTCTTAAACCATCGTATGGGATAACCGCTGTGCTAGTCTGTGGTATACAGTACCCTTACTCTTTAACCATCGTATGGGATAACCGCTGTTCTAGTCTGTGGTATACAGTACCCTTACTCTTTAACCATCGTATGGGATAACCGCTGTGCTAGTCTGTGGTATACAGTACCCGTACTCTTTAACCATCGTATGGGATAACCGCTGTGCTAGTCTGTGGTATACAGTACCCTTACTCTTTAACCATCGTATGGGATAACCGCTGTGCTAGTCTGCGGTATACAACACCCTTACTCTTTAATCATCGTATGGGATAACCGCTGTGCTAGTCTGTGGTATACAGTACCCTTACTCTTTAACCATCGTATGGGATAACCGCTGTTCTAGTCTGTGGTATACAGTACCCTTACTCTTTAACCATCGTATGGGATAACCGCTGTGCTTGTCTGTGGTATACAGTACCCTTACTCTTTAACCATCGTATGGGATAACCGCTGTGCTTGTCTGTGGTATACAACACCCTTACTCTTTAACCATCGTATGGGATAACCGCTGTGCTAGTCTGTGGTATACAGTACCCTTACTCTTTAACCATCGTATGGGATAACCGCTGTGCTTGTCTGTGGTATACAGTACCCTTACTCTTTAACCATCGTATGGGATAACCGCTGTGCTAGTCTGTGGTATACAGTACCCTTTCTCTTTAACCATCGTATGGGATAACCGCTGTTCTAGTCTGTGGTATACAGTACCCTTACTCTTTAACCATCGTATGGGATAACCGCTGTGCTAGTCTGTGGTATACAACACCCTTACTCTTTAACCATCGTATGGGATAACCGCTGTGCTTGTCTGTGGTATACAACACCCTTACTCTTTAACCATCGTATGGGATAACCGCTGTTCTAGTCTGTGGTATACAACACCCTTACTCTTTAACCATCGTATGGGATAACCGCTGTGCTAGTCTGTGGTATACAACACCCTTACTCTTTAACCATCGTATGGGATAACCGCTGAGCTAGTCTGTGGTATACAACACCCTTACTCTTTAACCATCGTATGGGATAACCGCTGTGCTAGTCTGTGGTATACAACACCCTTACTCTTTAACCATCGTATGGGATAACCGCTGTGCTAGTCTGTGGTATACAACACCCTTACTCTTTAACCATCGTATGGGATAATCGCTGTGCTAGTCTGTAATACACAGCAAGATGTTGCTTATCCATATATATCTTATCCTTACTCTTTAATTATGGAAGTATTGTGATACGGTTTCTGATGAGGCAAGTTAGTTCAGGTAGAGAGATCGATAGAGCTAGACATACAGGTTGTCTAAAAGCTAGTACAATTGCTCTGACAGAGATACCGATGTCGTGACCGTGTGTTGGAAGACGCCTTCTGATGAGGCAAGTTAGTTCAGGCAGAGAGATCGATAGAGCTAGACATACAGGTTGTCTAAAAGCTAGTACAATTGCTCTGACAGAGATACCGATGTCGTGACCGTGTGTTGGAAGACGCCTTCTGATGAGGCAAGTTAGTTCAGGCAGAGACATCGATAGAGCTAGACATACAGGTTGTCTAAAAGCTAGTTCAATTGCTCTGACAGAGATACCGATGTCGTGACCGTGTGTTGGAAGACGCCAGATAAAGCCGTCTTTCATTATGCTGTCTAAACGAGCTCAGTTGACGTCTGAACAGCAGGCCGTTTTGTGAATATTTTCTTATTCAACGGGCAAACTGGTTCTATGCTCATTGTGTCTACCAACCATATATATATAGAAGAGTAAACGAGCTCCCTTGTAATACCAGTTTTATTAAACGAGTTTCATAAAATTGGTTTTACACGGGAGCGAGTTTAGTATTGTATTTATTACTTGCCATTTATAACGTTTTTAGAATTATACCGTTGACTTGTGGGTACATAAGCACGCGTTTTGATATTGCACAATGTTTTGGTTGGTTGGTTGGTTGTTTTACGCCTCACTCAGCAATATTCCAGCTATATGACGGCGGTCTGTAAATAATAGAGTCTGAACCAGACAATCCAGTGATTGATATCATGAGCATCGATCCACGCATTGGGAACGATGACATGCATCAACCAAGTCAGCCTGCCTGACCACCCGATCCCGTTAGTCGCCTTTTACGACAAGCATAGTCGCCTTTTACGGCAAGCATGGGTTTGTTGAAGACCTATTCTACCCCGCATCTTCACGGGTCTGACTCGTTGATATTTTTTATATCAACAGACTTGTGGGTTAGCTTCTCTATATATCCTGTAGGATTCGATACTTCAGAAGATACAGACCGGCTCATTTACCGTACCCCACTACTTTAGTATTGTCGCGCCCCAAGGTTAATTTTGACACTTTTTGCTTGTTTTTGTCAGGGCGACTATGCAACAAGACGACAACGCGACAATGACACTTCTGGATTCCATACTTCAGTATTATACTAGTGTGATGAAGATACAGACCGACTAACTTACCGTACCCGACTAGTTTACTACTTTAGTACGTACCCCACTAGTTTTCTACTTTAGTACGTACCCCACTAGTTTACTACTTTAGTACGTACCCCACTTGTTTACTACTTCAGTACGTACCCCACTAGTTTACTACTTTAGTACGTACCCCACTAGTTTACTACTTTAGTACGTACCCCACTAGTTTACTACTTTAGTACGTACCACACTAGTTTACAACTTTAGTACGTACCACACTAGTTTACTACTTTAGTACGTACCCCACTTGTTTACTACTTTAGTACGTACCCCACTAGTTTACTACTTTAGTACGTACCACACTAGTTTACAACTTTAGTACGTACCACACTAGTTTACTACTTTAGTACAACGAACTGTACTATCGAACAGGCGAACCAGGGACTGTGGAGATTCAAAGGTAAATAAAAGAGAGAAAGCACTTTGTCAATATTCATCAGAAATCTCTGCCAAAAGCAAAGGCGATTGTGCGATTCCGACTATACCGTGAGCATATGTTTATGAATCGGACAGGGGTGGTCGGGTAGCCTAGTGGTTAAAGCGTTCGCTCGTCACGCCGAAGACCCGGGTTCGATTCCCGACATGGGTACAATGTATGAAGGCCATTTCTGGTGTACCCCGCCGTGATATTGCTGGACTATTGCTTAAAGCGGCGTAAAACCATACTCACTCAGTCACTCATGAATCGGGCAGGCATATATTTTATTTGTACAGAAAAATACAACACATATAGTATCAGATAATGCGAGAGCCACTCAGTAAGAGGCATGAAAGGCTTATTACATATTACACATGATAAAGGGTATCTATACACACCACACAAAACACAAGTGTAAAGTATATGGAGAGAGATAGGTGCGTAACTCCCATACTTAGACACAGGCTTACGACAGTTGAAGCCCTAAGATCGCTTTGTGCAACGGGCCCCATTCTGTCAATCTACAATTACATGAAAATTCAAACTCGGTATACTATATTTTTAGCCGGGAGTTTATTTAGTATACATTTGCCTTCTTAGAGTCTCATTCGAATTAATTCTCTGAAGTAGACGTGCGGATTGGTCGTGTATGGTGTGTGTCAGGTTGCAGCAATGGTACACCGTGTGTGTGCCGGTATTTCAGTAAAGGCCTTGAGTCCCGCTAGTTCACACCCAACAAAGGCATAGCGAGGGAGGTATAGTCATTACACAGGTGAGTATATCGCTACTTCACACCCAGCACAGGGAGGGGAGATATAGTCATTATACAGGTGAGTGTATTGCTAGTTCACACCCAGCACAGGGGGGGGGGATATAGTCATTACACAGGTGAGTGTATCGCTAGTTCACACCCAGCACAGTGAGGGGAGATAGAGTCATTACACAGGTGAGTGTATCGCTCTTCACACCTAGCACAGTGAGGAGAGATAGAGTCATTACACAGGTGAGTGTATCGCTAGTTCACACCCAGCACAGTGAGGGGAGATAGAGTCATTACAAAGGTGAGTATATCGCTTGTTCACACCCAGCACAGTGATGGGAGATAGAGTCATTACACAGGTGAGTGTATCGCTAGTTCACACCCAGCACAGTGAGGGGAGATAGAGTCATTACACAGGTGAGTGTATCGCTAGTTCACACCCAGCACAGTGAGGGGAGATAGAGTCATTACACAGGTGAGTGTATCGCTTGTTCACACCCAGCACAGTGAGGGGAGATAGAGTCATTACACAGGTGAGTGTATCGCTAGTTCACACCCAGCACAGTCAGGGGAGATAGAGTCATTACACAGGTGAGTGTATCGCTAGTTCACACCCAGCACAGTGAGGGGAGATAGAGTCATTACACAGGTGAGTGTATCGCTAGTTCACACCCAGCACAGTGAGGAGAGATAGAGTCATTACACAGGTGAGTGTATCGCTAGTTCACACCTAGCACAGTGAGGGGAGATATAGTCATTACACAGGTGAGTGTATCGCTCTTCACACACAGCACAGTGAGGGGAGATAGAGTCATTACACAGGTGAGTGTATCGCTCTTCACACCTAGCACAGTGAGGGGAGATATAGTCATTATACAGGTGAGTTTATCGCTAGTTCACACCCAGCACAGGGAGGGGAGATAGAGTCATTACACAGGTGAGTGTATCGCTAGTTCACAACCAGCACAGGGAGGGAGATATATATTACACAGGTGAGCGTATCGCTAGTTCACACCAAGCATAGGGAGTGAGATAGAGTCATTACACGGGTGAGCGTATCGCTAGTTCACACCAAGCATAGGGAGTGAGATAGAGTCATTACACAGGTGAGTGTATCGCTAGTTGACACCCAGCACAGGGAGGGGAGATAGAGTCATTACACAGGTGAGAGTATCGCTAGTTCACACCCAGCACAGGGAGGGGAGATAGAGTTATTACACAGGTGAGTGTATCGCTAGTTCACAACCAGCACAGTCAGGGGAGATAGAGTCATTACACAGGTGAGTGTATCGCTAGTTCACACCCAGCACAGTGTAGGAGATAGAGTCATTAAACAGTTAAGCGTATCGCTAGTTCACACCCAGCACAGGGAGGGAGATATATATTACACAGGTAAGCGTATCGCTAGTTCACACCCAGCACAGTGATGGGAGATAGAGTCATTACACAGTTAAGCGTATCGCTAGTTCACACCCAGCACAGGGAGGGAGATATATATTACACAGGTAAGCGTATCGCTAGTTCACACCCAGCACAGTGATGGGAGATAGAGTCATTAAACAGTTAAGCGTATCGCTAGTTCACACCCAGCACAGGGAGGGAGATATATATTACACAGGTAAGCGTATCGCTAGTTCACACCCAGCACAGGGAGGGAGATATATATTACACAGGTAAGCGTATCGCTAGTTCACACCCAGCACAGGGAGGGAGATAGATATTACACAGGTAAGCGTATCGCTAGTTCACACCCAGCACAGGGAGGGAGATAGATATTACACAGGTAAGCGTATCGCTAGTTCACACCCAGCACAGGGAGGGAGATATATATTACACAGGTAAGCGTATCGCTAGTTCAGACCCAGCACAGGGAGGGAGATATATATTACACAGGTAAGCGTATCGCTAGTTCACACCCAGCACAGGGAGGGAGATAGATATTACACAGGTAAGCGTATCGCTAGTTCACACCCAGCACAGGGAGGGAGATAGATATTACACAGGTAAGCGTGTCGCTAGTTCACACCTAGCACAGGGAGGGAGATAGATATTACACAGGTAAGCGTATCGCTAGTTCACACCCAGCACAGGGAGGGAGATAGATATTACACAGGTAAGCGTATCGCTAGTTCACACCCAGCACAGGGAGGGAGATATATATTACACAGGTAAGCGTATCGCTAGTTCACATCCAGCACAGGGAGGGAGATAGATATTACACAGGTAAGCGTATCGCTAGTTCACACCCAGCACAGGGAGGGAGATAGATATTACACAGGTAAGCGTATCGCTAGTTCACCCCAAGCATAGGGAGGGAGATGGAGTCATGACACAGGTAAGCGTATCGCTGGTTCACACCCAGCACAGTGAGGGGAGATAGATTCATTACACAGGTGTGTGTCTTGATATCCATACGTCTGTCATATTCGTGGTGTCGGAAAATTGTGAAATAGTTTTGCCTGTGAATAATATTTTTATGGTGCATTTTCATAGTTTCGAAACGGTGACAGTATTTATGTCAGTCCACGTATTCTATTAGGTCCTCTGGAGGAAAGAGAGTTATTGTTTCATGTACCTACTAACACAATCAGAACAATGGTGCAATATACGTGGACAGCAAACACCTTTAAATGTTCTGTCCGTCAATCTTCACCTACATAAGGATGTCGTTATACCCTTAAACTGCAAGATAGCTACTGTGCCTAGAACTCCAGTGCGTTTTCATGTCAGTTATGTACACACAGAGAAGATTATTGATGAAAAAAACCCAGGTCACATTATCAAATTAGGGCAGTTTTTTGTGAAACTTCAGCCGAATTAAAATGAGAGAATGAAAACGAAAAGCCGCGAAAAAAAATCAAAATAGAAAGAAAAAATTAAATTTTAAATTTATTTTAAAATATTTAAATTTTAATAAACAGTGAAGTTTCTGTCGCTATGAAAAAAAACATTTTAAATTCTATATTCAAAATGTCAAAAACAACGAAATATGAAGGATCGCCGGTAGAAAGGGTAATTTGTAATTGGAAGTTTTTTTTGAAAGTACCTGTTCCATTCGGCAACCCAATATAATGTTAACAGGCTTGTTCCTGTTTGAGACAGCCGTGCGGTAACACTATACAAGGATTGACACTACCCACTTTGACGGAGTGTTGGCCTCTCCCTAGATAGTTCATGGTTGTAGTAACTTAACCGCATGACCCATGGCATTATGTGCTGGCACACTCCAATGATATTCCACCTGCCACTTGAATGTACCAGCACAGGAAAAAGCAAACAGGTGATACAGTTATGTAAATATGGGCTATGATATTCCTTGCCACGGTATCCTAAATAATCAGATTGCGAGGGTCGTGTTGCCTCAGTTGGATGAGATTATCTTGACCGAAATTCTTCTTTTTGAAAGGTACCTATTGTATAGTGCCCCCAGCACGTCGTCCTGTTATTACAACAGGGATATTTCGGTCATGTAGCAACCAGTGATAAGTTGTAACGTTGCATGTGTTCAGACTTGGCGTTAGAAAAACAACTAAAACGGGCACTGGAGCTCACCTTTATTCAATGATGTAAAACTTCATTCAGGTGCTACATCATGGACTTCGCCTAGAGTCACACCACCCAACACGGTGATATGAAACGTGAGTGAGTGAGTATGGTTTTACGCCGCTTTTAGCAATGGTCCAGCAATATCACGGCGGGGGACACCAGAAATGGGCTTCACACATTGTACCCATGTCGGGAATCGAACCCGGGTTTTCGGCGTGACGAGCGAATGCTTTATCCACTGGGCTAGCCGACCGCCCCGGCCCTATGAAACGTGGAAACAGCTTGGATAGTTCTCTGAACAGTTTCTGATACATTTATACTTTTGGATATTTTATCAGAGAGGTAGAGAGATCAAGTGGAGGCTTGAAACCAGCGTGAAACCAAACCTGTTTTACTCATGTTGCTGTCTGGTTTCACTTACTTCAATACTTACTTCAATACTTACTTCAATACTTACTTCAATACTTACTTCAATACTTCAATACTTCACCTATGTGTAATCAGATCATTAATACATGTACATCAAGCAAAATAGAACATAAGATACATACTGTAAAAAAGCGACGTTTCAGCATATATCCTTGCTTGACCACGGTATAAGGATCCATACCGAAACATCACTTTTTACAGTATTAAAGAAGTTGTTATCCATAAATTTGTGCCTACCTTGTCATCCGTCAACTTCTAAGTAATGCCTATCAAACAATTTAAAATAGAACATTACAATAAAGTGACCTCACTGATAAGGTATATTAAAAAAAGCATGCGTTTTTATGTGGGGTATGTTGCGATTCCAGTCATTAAAGAACGTTGTTAAAGCTGGGTTTAAATAATTAAAGAACATTATTTGCATTTTTGTATATGGAATATTTCATGCATTAATGCACGGATGGCCCAGTAGTCATTGGTGTCCTTTGGGCATGCCAGAAACCCAGGATCGTGGGTTCGAATCCCGTTTCGCACGATTATGTTTTTAGGTTTGTCAGCACCATACCCGTGTTCGTGGGTTTCCCTGAAGTGGTAAACGTCTAAGACTTGCATCACTTCGGGCTCTGCTCCCACATTAAGCTGCCAAGCATTGATATAATAGGAATACCCAATATATATTTTATGTATAAAAAATATATAAATATGCAGGGCGACTGTTTTCACTATGTAAGCAATTACTTTTACACTAAGCACATTTAAGACAAAATTAAATATGCAACTCTCTTAGAAAATTGAAGCATTATCAATATGGAAAGTCAATATCTTGATGCAGAAATTCTGCTTATTGACACGTGATAACGTTCAATGGTGTGGATAACTGTTGGTCACGGTCTGAACCTTTGGAAAACAAACCTGTCGACAGAATGATAACGCGTTGTCGTTTTAAAGACACAACTACATCTGTCCGACATTAAAAACCAGTTCATGCTAGTGTCTGCTGTTGAGCCTCAAACATAGAAAGTGGCTTGGGTTTTTTATGTTTCGATTAACGTTATGTAGCCAACATGTATGACACTGTGGATGTTAGCGTACATTGTAGCCGACATGTATGACACTGTGGATGTTACTGTACATTGTAGCCAACATGTATGACACTGTGGATGTTAGCGTACATTGTAGCCAACATGTATGACACTGTGTATGTTACCGTACATTGTAGCCGACATGTATGACACTGTGGATGTTAGCGTACATTGTAGCCGACATGTATGACACTGTGGATGTTACTGTACATTGTAGCCAACATGTATGACACTGTGGATGTTAGCGTACATTGTAGCCAACATGTATGACACTGTGGATGTCAGTGTACATTGTAGCCAACATGTATGACACTGTGGATGTTAGTGTACATTGTAGCCAACATGTATGACACTGTGGATGTCAGTGTACATTGTAGCCAACATGTATGACACTGTGGATGTTACTGTACATTGTAGCCGACATGTATGACACTGTGGATGTTACTGTACATTGTAGCCAACATGTATGACACTGTGGATGTTAGCGTACATTGTAGCCAACATGTATGACACTGTGGATGTTAGCGTACATTGTAGCCAACATGCATGATGATACTGTGGATGTTAGCGTACATTGTAGCCAACATGTATGATGACACTGTGGATGTTAATTCTACCAGGATGACGGCGAGGAAGTGGACGTTCCATGCGCTGCCCTTAACCGTAGCAGTCTTATTTATGTTGAACCCGTCAGCAGGGACCGTCGAGGATATTCATGCATGTGACAGGTAAACTGGTTACTACTACAACTACTACTTCAACTACTACTACTACTACTACTACTACTACTACTACTACTACTACTTCTACTACTACTACTACTACTTCTACTACTACTACTACTACTACTACTTCTTCTTCTTCTTCTACTACTACTACTACTACTACAACAACAACTACTTCTACTACTATTACTACTACTACTTCTACTACTACTACTACTACTTCTACTATACTACTACAACTACAACTACTACTTCTACTACTACTACAACTACTTCTACTACTACTACTACTACTACTACTACAACAACAACTACTTCTACTACTACTACTACTACTACTTCTACTATACTACTACAACTACAACTACTACAGCTACTACTACTACTACTATACTACTTCTTCTACTACAACTACTACTACAGCTACTACTACAGCTACTACTACTACTACTACTTCTTCTTCTTCTTCTACTACTACTACTACTACTACAACAACAACTACTTCTACTACTATTACTACTACTACTTCTACTACTACTACTACTACTTCTACTATACTACTACAACTACAACTACTACTTCTACTACTACTACTACTACAACTACTTCTACTACTACTACTACTACTACTACTACAACAACAACTACTTCTACTACTACTACTACTACTACTTCTACTATACTACTACAACTACAACTACTACAGCTACTACTACTACTACTATACTACTTCTTCTACTACTACAACTACTACAGCTACTACTACAGCTACTACTACTACTACTTCTTCTTCTTCTACTACTACTACTTCTACTACTATTACTACTACTTCTTCTTCTTCTACTTCTACTACTACTACTACTATACTACTTCTTCTACTACTACTACTACAGCTACTACTACTACTACTACTACTACTTCTTCTTCTTCTACTACTACTACTACTACTACTTCTACTACTACTACTACTACTACTACTACTACTACTTCTTCTACTACTACTACTACTACTACTACTACAACAACAACTACTTCTACTACTACTACTTCTACTTCTACTATACTACTACAACTACAACTACTACAGCTACTACTACTACTATACTACTTCTTCTACTACTACTACTACTACTACAAGAACTACTTCTACTACTACTACTACTACTTCTAGTATACTACTACAACTACAACTACTACAGCTACTACTACTACTGCTATACTACTTCTTCTTCTACTACTACTACAGCTACTACTTCTACTACTGCTATACTACTACAACTACTACTACCACAACTACTACTACTACTACTACTGCTAATACTACTATACTACTACTTCTTCTAGTACTACTACTACTCCTTCTACTACACCTACTCAACTACTACTACCACTACTGTAGAAACTGGTGACCCACTACAATTGCTTGTCTTGCAGTGGCATCCACTGCCATGAACACCTCTCTGTAGACACTGGTGACTCACTACTATTGCTTGTCTTGCAGTGGCATCCACTGCCATGAACACCTCTCTGTAGACACTGGTGACCCACTACTATTGCTTGTCTTGCAGTCGCATCCACTGCCATGAACACCTCTCTGTAGACACTGGTGATCCACTACTATTACTTGTCTTGCAGTGGCATCCACTGCCATGGACGACATTCTGTAGACACTGGTGACCCACTCCTATTGCTTGTCTTGCAGTCGCATCCACTGCCATGGACGACATTCTGTAGACACTGGTGACCCACTACTATTGCTTGTCTTGCAGTCGCATCCACTGCCATGAACATCCCTCTGTAGACACTGGTGACCCACTCCTATTGCTTGTCTTGCAGTGGCATCCACTGCCATGAACACCTCTCTGTAGACACTGGTGACCCACTACTATTGCTTGTCTTGCAATCGCATCTACTGCCATGGACGACATTCTGTAGATTGACACTGGTGACTCACTGCTGTTGCTTGTCTTGCAGTGGCATCTACTGCCAGGGCCCCCTGCTGGACAAAATCCAGATGGCCGGGATCTACGAAGACTCCAAGACATTTGTGGATATGAACCTGAAAGACGATCCAGGTATAATGAGTGAGTGGATGCTGGGTGAGCGAGTGTAAGGGGTATGGTCTTGAGAGGGTATTTGAGTGAGGGGTGGTTAGAGTATACTGATACACAAACAACAAAGTCAGTCTCATCAACCGTTCACTCGTTGGAACCTTAAGTGAATGAGGACATGTTTCCTTTACACTTTCAGTAATACTCCAGCTTTATCTCATCGGCTTGTAACACCCTGCTGGACAAACACTTGCTTGACTGCAATCGTATCACTATTATCTCCCCACGGGATCAGTATATCTATTATCTCCCTACAGGTCCATTATAAATATTATCTCCCCACAAGTTCAGTAAAGAGATTATCTCCCCACAGGTTCACTATATCTATTATCTCCCCACAGTTTCAGTATATATATTATCTCCCCACAGGTTCAGTATATATGTTATCTCCCTACAGGTTCAGTACATAGATTATCTCCCAACCGGTTCAGTACATAGATTATCTCCCAACAGGTTCAGTACATAGATTATCTCCCTACAGGTTCAGTAAATATATTATCTCCCTACAGGTTCAGTATATATATTATCTCTCCACACGTCCAATATATGTATTATCTCCCCACAGGTTCAGTATATATATTATCTCCCAACAGGTTCAGTATATATATTATCTCCCCACAGGTTCAAGGTTCAATATATGTATATTTTCTCCCGACAGGTTCAGTATATATATCTTATCTCCCAATCAGTTCAGTATATATATGTATTATCTCCCAACCGGTTCAGTATATATATTATCTCCCCACAGGTACAGTATATATGTTATCTTCCAGCCGATTCAACACGGCAGTTATCACACTACCAATTCAATGTAACTATTATCTCCCTACCGATACGTCACTCTTACAACCATAGTTCTTCTTCTAGACACAGTCTTGCGAGCTTTCGACGCAATGCAGACAAATAACGGCAGCCAGATCCAAGGTTTTCTAGATCAATACTTCGAAGGTCCGGGGACAGAGTTCGAGGAGTGGACACCCGGGGACTATGTCGAAAAGTAGGTTACAATATGATCATGTCTGGAAGAAGGTGACAATGTGACTCTGTCTGGAAGTAGGTGACAATGTGACGATGTCTGGAAGTAGGTGACAATGTGACCATGTCTGGAAGTAGGTGACAATGTGACCATGTCTGGAAGTAGGTGACAATGTGACCATGTCTGGAAGTAGGTGACATTGTGACCATGTCTGGAAGTAGGTGACAATGTGACCATGTCTGGAAGTAGGTGACAATGTGACTATGTCTGGAAGAAGGTGACAATGTGACCATGTCTGGAAGTAGGTGACAATGTGACCATGTCTAGAAGTAGGTGACAGTGTGACCATGTCTGGAAGTAGGTGACAATGTGACCATGTCTGGAAGTAGGTGACAATGTGACCATGTCTGGAAGTAGGTGACAATGTGACCATGTCTGGAAGTAGGGGACAATGTGACCCAGTCTGGAAGTAGGTGACAATGTGACCATGTCTGGAAGTAGGTGACAATGTGACGATGTCTGGAAGTAGGTGACAATATGACCATGTCTGGAAGTACGTGACAATGTGACCATGTCGAGAAGTAGGTGACAATGTGACCATGTCTGGAAGTAGGTGACAATGTGACCATGTCTGGAAGAAGGTGACAATGTGACCATGTCTGGAAGTAGGTGACAATGTGACCATGTCTGGAAGTAGGTGACAATGTGACCATGTCTGGAAGTAGGTGACAATGTGACCATGTCGAGAAGTAGGTTACAATGTGACCATGTCTGGAAGAAGGTGACAATGTGACCATGTCTGGAAGTAGGTGACAATGTGACCATGTCTGGAAGTAGGTGACAATGTGACCCTGTCTAAAAAGAAGGTGACAATGTGACCCTGTCTGGAAGTAGGTAAAAATGTGACTATGTCTGGAAGTAGGTGACAATGTCACTATGTCGAGAAGTAGGTGACAGCGTGACAATGCCTTGAAGTAGGTGACAATGTGACCATGTCTGGAAGTAGGTGACAATTTGACCATGTCGAGAAGTAGGTGACAATGTGACCATGTCTGGAAGTAGGGGACAGTGTGACCATGTCGAGAAGTAGGTGACAATGTGACCATGTCGAGAAGTAGGTGACGATGTGACCCTGTCTGGAAGTAGGTGACAATGTGACCATGTCTGGAAGTAGATGACAATATGACCATGTCTGGAAGTAGGTGACAATGTGACCATGTCTGGAAGTAGGTGACAATTTGACAATGTCTGGAAGTAGGTGACAATGTGACTATGTCGAGAAGTAGGTGACAATATGACCATGTCGAGAAGTAGGTGACAATGTGACCATGTCCGGAAGTAGGGGACAATGTGACCATGTCTGGAAGTAGGTGACAATATGACCATGTCTGGAAGTAGGTGACAATGTGACCATGTCGAGAAGTAGGTGACAATGTGACCATGTCTGGAAGTAGGTGACAATGTGACCATGTCTGGAAGTAGGTGACAATGTGACCATGTCGAGAAGTAGGTGACAGTGTGACCATATCTGGAAATAGGTGACAATGTGACCATGTCTGGAAGTAGGTGACAATGTGACCATATCTGGAAGTAGGTGACAATGTAACAATGCCTTGAAGTAGGTGACAATGTGACCATGTCGAGAAGTAGGTGACAATGTGACCATGTCTGGAAGTAGGTGACAATGTGACAATGTCGAGAAGTAGGTGACAATGTGACCATATCTGGAAGTAGGTGACAATGTGACCATGTCGAGAAGTAGGTGACAATGTGACCATATCTGGAAGTAGGTGACAATGTGACCATGTCTGGAAGTAGGTGACAATGTGACCATGCCTGGAAGTAGGTGACAATGTGACCATATCTGGAAGTAGGGGACAATGTGACCATGTCTGGAAGTAGGTGACAATGTGACCATGCCTGGAAGTAGGTGACAATGTGACAATGTCTAGAAGTAGGTGACAATGTGACCATGTCTGGAAGTAGGTGACAATGTGACTGTGTGGAGTAGTAGGTGACTATGCGACCAAGTTGTCATTTCGATATGTGGGAGATGCCTTAATTTTTTTCCAGAAGAAGAAGATGTTTCCTTGTTATATACTGATGGCTTTGTGGGAGCATGCACCGTGAGTATTGGCACAGTGGTTCAACATGTTGCAACTCACAACACAGTTGCTGTCATGGTCTGCTGGTCGAGGGTTCGAATCAAGTTCGAACCGACTATGATCCTACAGTTTTGTCGGGGCGGTCGGGTAGCCTAGTGGTTAAAGCTTTCGCTCGTCACGCCGAAGACCCGGGTTCGATTCCCACCATGGGTACAATGTGTGAAGCCCATTTCTGGTGTCTCCCGTCGTGATATTGCTGGAATATTGCTAAAAGCGGCTTAAAACAAATACTCACCCTACAGTTTTGTCAGCAACTTGCCCGACTGGGCCATGCCAGCTACCACGCGTAGACATAATAACTGAAATACTGCTGACAGAGGCTTAAATCCATCTCTTCTCCTTCTTCATCATGGCCAGAGTGACCGGAGGATGCAGATGAAGACAGATGAGAGATATAAGGAGAATCTAGTCAAGTATAAGCATCAATACACTATGCGATATTGACATACCGTAAACTACGGTTATGACGAACTCAAAGGGACCACTAATTTTAGTTCGTTATATCCGTAGTTCTTTATGAACATATATGCATCATACATACAGCAAATGGCTTGGACTAATAAACCAGTTCGTTACAACCGCCAGCTCGCTATAAACGTGTTCGTTATAAACGTAGTTAACTATATATTCCTATGTCCACTCACTAGCCCATCGTTCCTCGGAGATGTGAAAGACGTCAACCTGAAGCAGTTCGGCAAGTCTCTGTGTGGAATCTGGGAGCAATTGGGAAGGAAGGTAGTGTCCCTTACAGTATTCCATACACAATACTCACTTGTGTATTGGATACTGTCAGGGAAATTCTCCCGATATCGCATTCTCGCACTTTTGGCATATTTAGCCCGTTTCCAAAGGCAGAGATGGCGAGAATGCGAGATCGTGAGAATGTCCCTTACAGTATTCCATACTTGTGATTCGTCATTTTTAGAACCTCTGTCAACGTCAGCAATTCGGATCTGTAATTTATTTTACGTAAATATCCATAATATTTTAAAAGACATCTTTATATGTGTTGACTGCTACATAACATAATATGTTCCTTCTTTGATTTAGAGGTGAGGTGAAATGGGGTTTGACGTCGCGTCCAAGATTAATGCACTTATAGAGCGACGTGCATGTACGTGTGTGTGTTTGTGTGGCTGCTTGTACTAGTCCGGACTGATGCCGATTTATAGTGCTAGCTCACTGAGATACCATGCCGCTGTTTAACATGAATACTCCACTCAGACACAGTATACTGACTCCGAGCCGACCAGTCCTTGTTTTAGCCCCTTAATGCCGAGCGCCAGACAGGGTAACAACAAGTACCATCTTTTAACGTCTTCTGGTATGACGCGGTCGGGGATCAAACCCCGGACCTTCCGCCCTCCGGGCGGACGCTCTACCACTAGACCACGGAGGCGGGTTTTTTTATTTAGAAGTTGGAGTAGTAAGTAAGGATAGGATTTATGGATGATACTTGCTTGATAACGGTGTTAGAACATACACCGAAACGTGGCTCTTAATTGTAGTAAAGAAGAGTTCATCCATAAATCCTATCCTTACTTAGTACTGGGATATTTTTCGCCGATATGAGAACACGTCCTGGTAATCCTTTGGACCACGCCCTTAAGGTGTCCTCCTTGTGACGCTGCAGATAAAGAATGACGTCAGAGATCACCAGGACCGTTACTCTCTACTGTACGTGGAGAATCCCTTCATCGTCCCTGGCGGCCGCTTCAGAGAGACATACTACTGGTGAGACGGAGACATTGTGTGTGTGTGTGTGTGTGTGTGTGTGTGTGTGTGTGTGAGTGAGAGAGAGAGAGAGAGAGAGAGAGAGAGAGAGAGTGTGTGTGTGTGTGTGAGAGAGAGAGAGAGAGAGTGTGTGTGTGTGAGAGAGAGAGAGAGAGTGTGTGTGTGAGAGAGAGAGTGTGTGTGAGAGAGTGAGAGTGTGTGTGTGTGAGAGTGCGTGTGTGTGTGTGAGTGCGTGTGTGTGTTTGTATGTGGGGTGTGTGTGTGAGTTTGTGTGTGTGTGTGTGTGAGTGTGTGTGTGCATGTATGTGTATGTGTGTGTGAGTGTGTGTGTGTGTGCATGTACGCGCGCTCGTGTATGTGTTTGTGTGTATGCTTGTGTTTGTGTGTATGTGTATATGTGTGTGTATGTGTATGTATGTGTGAGTATGTGTGTGTATGTGTATGTATGTGTATGTATAAGTTTGTGTGCGCATAATTATTTATGTGTGTGTATGTGAGCGCATGTGGGTATATGTATGTGTATGTATGTGTGTATGTATGTCTGTGTATACGTATGTGGTTGTGTGTGTGTGTGGTTGTGTGTGTGTGGTTGTGTGTGTGGTTGTGTGTGTGGTTGTGTGTGTGTGTGTGTGTGTGTGTGTGTGTGTGTGTGTGTGTGTGTGTGTGTGTGTGTGTGATCTGAGTCTCTTTTGGGAGACGAACAACAAATGTAAGATGGTAATCTATATATATATAAAATCAAAAAAAAAAATCAAATCAAAATCAAAAACATCCTGTGACGGCGCTATGTTGTGTTGTCAGGGACTCGCTGTGGGTAGTACACGGACTTCTCCGCTGTGAAATGACTCAGACAGTCAGAGGCATGTTGGAAAACTTCTTCTTCATCATTGACAGGTAGGGAAGGGCATGTTCATCATGTACACGCAACTGATCCGGATCATCATCACCGTCATTCTATTTAACAGATAAAAATAAAGAGGGTTTTAATGATCCTGGCACAGTCAGGCTGGTTTGGCTCATCATCAGCATAGGGCCCTTGCCCCCTTTACACGCAGCCCAGACAGCGAATGGGATCTCACCAAATAAGCGCTACCAAGTCGAAGCCACCCAGAACTTTTCCAAGAATGTGAACACTCCCTAAAACTGAAACCTTCTGCATTACCCAGCATATATTGTTCCTGGCAGCAATCCCGGGTACTCTCCCAACGTCAGACAACAGATTGCCAAACCTAAGGCACCGAGAACAGTGGGGAGTCGGACAATTTGGTACTCGGGATACAAGCGTGACATTTCGTCAGCGTGGTCTGCATACTTGCCATTTTTGGCTGTTTCTTGTCAATAACATTATTGTCAAAAGGGACAGAGAATTCAATAATATAAATTATTCTATTGGATTTATGAAAAGGTCAATGTCAGCTTTGTAGGCCTGGATTGGTCTAAGGCTGTATATGTACGGGCCTATTCCAGCTAATTTTAAAATTATCATTTTCCATGACGCCCTCTACACATTCTTGATCGTAACATAGATGGACCTTTGAGTCTGGCGAAGTACGGTAATAAAGGATCGAGCCACGCCATCATGCCGCTTAAGATACTGTGTCTCATTAAATTCATTGCATATTCTACATTTCATGTTATCATTATCATAATCATTCAGTGTCAGTAAGCACCACAACTATTGCATTTGTTAAGGGTACTCTTTCATGTAAACTTGAAAGGAGACAAGAAATAACTTTCTGACCAATGGAAACGAATCCAGACATCTTCATCATTAAATACACAATGCCATTTAGAAAGTGGTCAAATGTAACATATGTTATATTTGGAATAACACCAGTTGTCGGACTTTCATTTTTGTTGAAGCCTCGGTGGCTGAGTGGGTTAGATCGCTGACTTTGTGTGCTGGCGATTAGGTGCCTCACTCTGGCTTGGGTTCGAATCCCGGACGGGACTCAACTCAAAAAAGTACTAGAATCTGTACTTTACTAAGAAAGTGTTATCCCAAATATAACATATGTTACATTTGACCACTTTCTAGATGGCATTGTGTATTCATAGCTTTCGGCCGTGGGAGCCGTGCCAATATACACTTGTCAGAGGGGTACTCTAAGTACATGATCTAGACTACCAGTTGTCGGACATTCATTTTTGTGGAAGCCTCGGTGGCTGAGTGGGTTAGATCGCTGACTTTGTGTGCTGGCGATTAGGTGCCTCACTCTGGCAGGTGTGGGTTCGAATCCCGGATGGGACTCAACTCAAAAAAGTACTAGAATCTGTACTTTACTAAGAAAGTGTTATCCCAAATATAACATATGTTACATTTGACCACTTTCTAAATGGCATTGTGTATTCATAGCTTTCGGCCATGGGAGCCGTGCCAATATACACTTGTCAGAGGGGTACTCAAAGTACATGATCTAGACTACCAGTTGTCGGACTTTCATTTTTGTGGAAGCCTCGGTGGCTGAGTGGGTTAGACCGCTGACTTTGTGTGCTGGCGATTAGGTGCCTCACTCTGGCAAGTGTGGGTTCGAATCCCGGACGGGACTCAACTCAAAAAAGTACTAGAATCTGTACTTTACTAAGAAAGTGTTATCCCAAATATAACATATGTTACATCTTCAACATTGACAGGTAAGGGCATGGTGAAGAATTTCTTAGTCATTGACAGTCAGGGGCCAATCCAAACCTAAACAAAAATATGGGGGGTTGCCTATGTTCCAGATATCCATTTAAAGCAATGCATAATATAAAACGTCACTGAAAGAGAATACCCAGTCCATATGCAATCCAAAACGTTTAAAGTGATTCTGGTTAAATCGCCACTCGACATTTTGCAAAAGCGGTCACTTGACAGATGGAAGGTTTGAAAATAACGTTCCAAGTTTTTTTCTACCAGTGAAGAGTGAACTTGTATGTTTACATTCCACAGATACGGGTTGATCCCCAACGGTTTCCGGGTGTACTATAAGAAGCGGTCTCAGCCGCCCCTGCTGGCGTGGATGGTAGAGAGCTACTACGACGTGAGCAAGGACATGGACGCCCTTGTACGAGCACTTGGTCCCTTGGAGATGGAGTACCAGTTCTGGATGACCAACAGGAACGTGGAGGTGCAGGTGGACGGGAGGAACCACACCTTGAACCAATATAGAACCATCACCAACACTCCCAGGTACACCGCCACGTATTGTATTTTGAGATTTCTTATGATTATGGAAGGGTTTTTTGTTGTACATGTTTACATTAAATTAAACATACACCATGCTCTTTCCCTTTTTGTCAGGCCCGAGTCTTACGCAGAGGACGTGAAAACAGCAGGGAACGTAACTGAAGGTAAGCAGGGGAGGCAACTGAAGGTAAGGAAGGGAGACAACTGAAGGTACGACTTGAGATAACTGAAGGTAAGCAGTGAAAACATCTGAAGGTAAGAGGGGAGACAACTGAAGGTGAGAAAGGGAGACAACTGAAGGTAAGAGGGGAGATAACTGAAGATATGCAGGAAGACAACTGAAGGTGAGAAGGGAAGACAACTGAAGGTGAGAAGGGGAGACAACTGAAGGTAAGCAGGAAGACAACTGAAGGGGAGAAGGGGAGACAACTGAAGGTAAGCAGGGTAGACAACTGAAGGTGAGCAGGGGAGACAACTGAAGGTAACCAGGGAAGACAACTGAAGGCGAGAAGGGGAGACAACTGAAGATAAGCAAGCTCGGAGTGGCATATCCGTATTTATAACTGTGGCATGGTTTCACAGTGGGCCGCCGTCTTTAGATGGAATATCGCTGAATCATGTTTAACGAAGCGTCCTAATTGTGTTTCAGAACAAGCGTCCAACATCTATTCGAACCTGGCATCTGCCGCTGAGAGTGGTTGGGATTTCAGTAGCCGTTGGTTCTCGCGTGAAGACGAGACTAACATGGGACTAAACACTACTGTTATCAAAGACATTATTCCTGTTGACCTCAACAGCATCCTGTGCAGGAATGAGAGACTCCTGGCACGCTTCTTCAACATAACAGGTAGATTGATGTAGATATACCATATATCCTCCATGACAGTTAGTACTTTGAATTCTAATTGGACCGCCGGCGGTATCGCTTCTTTGAAAGAAAATATTTATTTGAAAACACTTGACTGGCTGTGAAATTAAATATTGATTATACTAAAGAAATGCTGTGAATTGCAATCATTCTTGATGCACTGGTACGTCGTTGTTGAGAGTGCTTCCAACTCATGCAAGAAACAACTGGAGAGCATGTGCTAGCTACATAATTTACTGGTCAGGATGGTGATACAAATAGTGCGGCTGGGTCCGTATCCCTACGCCAGGAATGGTACTATGGAGTAGTGATGTGGTTACAATATAGTCCATATGTTACGTCCCCTTTGCTCTGTTAAGAAGCACACATGTTTTACTGCGTACCCGTTTACAGTCATTTTACAGTCACTCATTGAAATGTCTTGGAAATGAACCTCACTACCGGATCTAGTCATGTAGGTGGTTCGATGATACCCATTGTCTCATTGGTGTCTCTTGTCGGACAGGGGACTTCCGTGACCTGGCTACTTGTTTGGTTTGTTGTTTCACGCCGCACTCAGCAATGTTCCAGCTACATCACGTCGGTCTGTATAATCGAGTCTGGACCAGACAATCCAGTGATTGGTATCATGAGCATCGATACACGCAACTGGGATACGATAACATACATCAACCAAGTCGGCGAGCTTGACCACGCATAGTCGCATTTTACGGCAAGCATGGGTTGCTGAAGACCTATTTTAACCCGGATCTTCACGGGTCGTTGACTTGTGACTGGTCGGGGACTGGGATCTTCCTGGTTAAAGGGGACATGCCTTTGATGTAGGGAGTGCGTGTTATTCCGAGTTGTATTCGCAGGGGATAATCATGCTTAGATATTGAGTGATCCCAGTGCCACTGTATTCGCGGGGTGTTGTTGCACTTGGCTTGTTAGTACCTGGTAGTGGGATTCCTTCATCGTCCAGTTTCCTTGGGAACATGCGTCGGAATATACGTTGGGGTAGAGGTTTCCCTGGGCTCCTGTATCAACTGTCCCCTTGAGCGTTGCCAGTTGGTATGGTCGATCTTCAAGGCGGATGTTGACTGTCGCAATCCAAAATGATGGAATCAGTGTCTGGGTTTCCAAGGTTAGTGGTTTTAAAGCTGGCCCCTGGATCATTGTGGTCAGTGCTCAGTGCATTAAAGACTGTCCGCCATGAGAGTGTGATCTGCCCCTTCCTCTGTTTGATCGTCCTCTGTGTGTAACAACGGCCTCTACTCCGGTTTAAGCTTCTTCCTCTTCCCCAAAAGCCGGTTACAGTGGGGATGGTTTGTTCCTTTCCTCTGCAGTGAGTTTTATGCTTTTAGTCCTTCATCCCCAGTGAACAGACGTATGCGATCTACTTGTTCTTCTTCTTTGACATTCTTCAGTGAGAAATACAGTTCACATCTTTTCTTGAATAGCTTGAAGTCACTTTTTCCCCTTCAATATCTTCAAGTCTTGCTTGGAGAGGAATCAGGCTGGTTACAGGAAGTTTACTTCATGGGCGCCGCCATCTTGGCCAACACATGTGAGGGTATCACTTTACAGATGAGGCTTGCTTGGCACCATGGCAACCAGGGGTATCACTTTACAGATGAGGCTTGCCTGGCACCATGGCAACCAGGGGTATCACTTTACAGATGAGGCTCGCCTGGCACCATAGCTTCAACTTCACACATGCCGCTTTCCAATAGATACCAAAACTTTAAACCTAAGCCGGGGCACAAGATAAAGAAATAAGCAAAGTTTCTTTGTTTACATCGTGAAATATTCTAGATTCTAGGTTATTTACAGCAAGTGCCTTTCAGACAGAAACCCGACCAACAACGGCTAGGAGTGCGCATTGTGAAACTGTGAATTACCTAGTAAAATTAAACAATATCAAATTAATTTGACATTAATCTAGACTTCATGTAGACGTTATTGCTGTGCTATCTGTACACGGATAATACAGTTTCGCCATGTTCAGCAAGTGCTCTTTTATTTACAGCAAAGTCGCCATTGTTGGCAGACAACCCGATCGCGACCAACCACGGCTATGGGAGCGCATTGTGAAATAGTGCATTACCTCAACTTGACTTTTAAACTAGTGTTGTACCATCTGACCCCGGATATAATATAAATTGCAGTTTTATCAGTTTAAAATGTCAAGAAGCCTTAAAAAACAGGCTAGTAGTATATTCTTTTGTAACAAATGTTATACATTGGATAACATTTGTGACATTTGACCACTTTCTATATGGCACTAGGTGTTTATATTCTATTAACTTTTGAATGTTTAGTAACGAGACACTTCTTAGTCCATTCTATTCTACTCTTCATCTGTGCAGGTAATAACGTAAAATACCGGTACTATTCGGAGAGATATGAGCGGCGGAAGGATGCGATACAAGACGTGATGTGGAATCAGGAAAAAGGCGTGTGGCAGGATTACTACATTCCCAACAAATCCCTGCGGGACTATTTTTTCCCGTCCAACATATTTCCTATGTATGCTGGTTGCTATGGCAACACCGATGCAGAGCGTGAGGGGATGGAGGAGAAGGTCGTGAGTTATCTTGAGGTAAACTATTGGTATCTTTAAAATTCCGCAATACTGTTAAGGGTTTCTTGTCTTCTCGTATTAAGTGCGTCAGATTCTCTACATTACATGTGACTGTGCTTGTCGTATAGGCGACTAACGGGATCGGGTGGCAGGCTCGCTGACTTGGTTGATGCATGTCATCGATCCCAATTATGATGTCAATCACTGGATTGTCTGGTCCAGACTTGATTATTTAAAGACCGCCGTCACATAATAATGCTGAGTGCGGCGTTTAACAAACAAACAAACAAACACACATATTTGGTTCCCTATGATGTCATTCAAGCCTTTTACGACTAGTTTTGATTGCTGAAGATTAATTCTAACCCTAATCTTCACCGGTCGATTATTTTAAGAATGACATCATATTATATGATAAAGAGAGCATCAGATGCGTCGCCAAAGTATCGCTTAATGCAATTGGTATTTCTGACATATGATATTTATGTACGGAAATACTCGAGGGTAATAATCTGTATCTATATTTTCAGAAACAAAACGTGCTAGGTTATGAAGGAGGCGTCCCCACTTCCTTGTCAAACACTGGCCAACAGTGGGATCTGCCCAATGCATGGCCGCCATTACAACACGTGATCATTGCATCATTAGCTGAAGGCAGACGTAGCCAATCAAAAGCCTTGGCAGCACAACTCGCCCAGAGCTGGGTGTACACTAACTATCTAGGCTGGAAAAATACCAACCACATGTTTGAGAAGGTATGCATATTTTAGTCATAGAAATAATACAACTTGTCCTTGATCACAGAGATACACTTTGGAAAAACAAGAAGCCATCATTGTATTGTTTGCCCTAATACATGTGTTCTGGGGCGGGCGGGTAGCCTAGTGGTTAAAGCGTTCGCTCGTCACGCCGAAGACCCGGCTTCGATTTCCGACATGGGTACAATGTGTGAAGCCCATTTCTGGTGTCCCCCGCCGTGATATTGCTGGAATATTGCTAAAAGCGGCGTAAAACCATACTCACTCACATGTGTTCTGTCGAGCCGCGGTGACGAACTATTAACTGCTACATCCCCCTTTGAACAGACATCATAGAATATTGTGACAGGTGTGTGGGTAGTGACATTGTCCTATCAAGAGGGGTGGCGCCTTTGTGGTGTAGTGGATAGAGTGTCGGCCCGGAGCGGGTAACGTTGGTGGTTCGATCCTCGGTCGCGCCATGTTAAAGGATGGTACTGCTTGTTACCCTGCCTGGCGCATTAAAGGGATTGAAAAAAGGACTGGTCGGCTCGGAGTATGCTGTGTCTGAGTGATATATCAGTGGGATAGCACTTTAGAATGAGCATTAGTCCGGACTAACACACAAACAGACAGACAGACACACAGACAGACATACACACACACACACACACGCACACGCACGCACACACACGCGCGCACACCCCCAACCCCCCCACACACCGACACACACACGCACGCACGCACGCACGCACACCCACCCACGCACGCACGCACGCACTCACGCACACACACGCGCGCACCCCCCCCCCCCCCCCCCACACACACACACAGACCGACATACGCACGCACACACACACACACACACACACACACACACACACACACACACACACACACACACACACACACACACACACACACACACACACACACACACACACACACACACACACACACCAACGCACGCACGTACGCACGCACACACACACGTGCACAGACACCTTTGAGGTATGGTGATATAGTTCAAGTAATAAAACACTGTACTTTCTCTGCAGTACGACGTGAACAACGTCGGGAGACGTGGAGGCGGCGGTGAATACGACATTCAGGTAGGCGCAAAGAACATGTGTTGTATGACATTTGTCAGACAAAATGTCCAAATTCTTCTTAAAAGACTGGTGGTCACCTCTGTCGGTGTTGGGTTAATAATGATGTCGGATTTAATTTAATGTAGCTTATTCCGAGTTTGTTCGTTTGTTGTTGAACTCAGTATTATTCCACCTATATAATAGAGACCTGACAATCAAGTGAATGACACGATGAGAATTGTTCACCCGATCCCTTTAGTCGCTGAGACCTTCCCTTCTATCGATGAATCGAACCCGGGTCCTCGGCGTCCTCGCTTTAAACACTAGGCCACCCGACCGCCCCCCCCCCCCCCCCCCCCCCCACACACACACACACACACACCATCACCGCAAAAAAAAGGAAAAAAAGGTATATCCAAAAGAAGCGTTAGGGTAGAATATTTAGATTTTGGAGAATTTTGAATTTTATATTTTGCCGCAGGTGGAGAGACGAAGGGAGGATGGGAGTGGTGTGATTTGTTTTTTTATTATGTTTTTTGTGTGCGTGTGAGCTATTATTAGTTTTAATAAGGTTGATGCCTAAGACTTTAATATTTGTGTAATATTTAAGGTGAGTGAGTGAGTGAGTATGGTTTTACGCCGCTTTTAGCAATATTCCAGCAATATCATGGCGGGGGACACCAGAAATGGGCTTCACACAATGTACCCATGTCGGGAATCGAACCCCTAGTCTTCGGCGTGACAAGCGAACGCTTTAACCTAGGCTACCCGACCGCCCCGTATTATTTAAGGAGTGTTTGTAATGTTAGGTGTGTGTTGATGTCTTTTCTGTCTCTGGACAAAGGCTTATATGACTCGGACTAGGTATATATAAACAACAGTAATTAATGGTTGGTTGGTTGGTTTGTTGTTTTACACCGCACTTAGCAATATTCCAGCTATATGACGGCGGTCTGTAAATAATCGAGTCTGGACCAGACAATCCAGTGATTGACATCATGAGCATCGATCCACGCAATTAGTATCGATGACATGCTTCAACCATGTCAGCGAGCCGACCACTCGATCCCGTTAGTCGCCTTTTACGGCAAGTATGGGTTGCTGAAGACCTATTCTACCCCGGATCTTCACCGGCCCAGTTATTAATGAGAAGTGGCTGCTGCATAGCTTGATCAGGTTGGCTGGCAGTGATGTACAATACAACGGGGTCATGGTGATTAGGAATGGGGGTTTGTCTCTTATCATTAATGGCAATGAAGTGATTCCAGACATGGACATGGTAAATAGCCTTTGTAATAAAATATTCCGTCAGACACAAATTGTCATGACAAGGTCGCTATGACAGTGTAACACATGGTTGTGTTTCTAATTATGTTTGTTGAGTACGTGTATATATTTCGTATCATCCTTCCTTTCTCTAGACTGGCTTCGGATGGACAAATGGTGTCGTGCTGGACCTACTCAGTCGCCATGGAGACATCTTGACAACGGATAAGACGACATCTGACGCGCCAGGATATAGGCCGTCCATGTTTACTTGTGTTTACGTATTGGTCCACGTGATGCACGTGTTGTTTTACTACTGAGGACGACAGGGCGTTCCAGTTTCAATATAACCAGAGTTATAATCAGTGATCTTGTATAGATTTCAATTTCAAAGCAGCTTTACACACAGCCCCCTCTCCGGAGTAGATTCATATGAACCCGAAGAACTCCTTCATCGTCTCCTTAATCATAGAGACCGCCTCCGTGGTCTAGTGGTAGAGCGTCCGCCCGGAGAGCGAAAGGTCCGGGGTTCGATCCCCGGCCGCGTCATACAAAAAGACGTTAAAAGATGGTATTTGTTGTTACCCTGTCGCTCGGAAAAAAGGGGCTAAAACAAGGACTGGTCGGCTCGGAGTCAGTATACTGTGTCAGAGTGGGGTATTCATGTTAAACTGCTGCATGGTATCTCAGTGAGCTAGCACTATAAATCGGCATCAGTCCGGACTAGTACAAGCAGCCACACACACACACGTGCATGCACGTCGCTATATAAGTGCAATAATCTTGGACGCGACGTTAAACCCCATTTCACCTCACCTCACCTTAATCATAGTAGGACAGCAATCATAACTCCACTTTAAACAGTATGTCAGTTCTTTCACCTTGTGGAAGCCCGTAGCGATGCAGGCCCAAGACGCATTTCCACTGAGCAGAAACCCACGAGCACGGGTATGGTGCTGACAAACCCAGAAACATGATCAGAGCGAGGGTGTGATTCGAAACCACGAGTCTTTTTGTAGGCCTAAGGGATGCAACTCTTAACAGCGAATTGCAGCGCCTTAGACAACAGGGCCACCTGTCCCCCACACTGAACAGAAGGCACAACAACATATCACCACTTTCATATGAAAGGTCCTGTTTCATCCAATGAGACGGCTATTTAGACATGTGCACGAATAGACTTTGACGCTGAGATTTAAAGTGAGTGAGTGAGTGAGTATGGTTTTACGCCGCTTTTAGCAATATTCCAGCAATATCACGGCGGGGGACACCAGAAATGGGCTTCACACATTGTACCCATGTCGGGAGTCGAACCCGGGTCTTTGTCGTGACGAGCGAACGCTTTAACCACTAGGCTACCCCACCTCCCCGAGATTTAAAGACTAGAGATGACTATTCCAAATCCAAATCTCTGGCCATGTATGAATAGTTGAATGCCATGTAACTAAAAGACGTTTGTTTAGCATACTCGTGATTAGGTTGTGGAAATTGTTTGCATGAAGGAAATTGTTTTAGTAGTAAAGTCTTTACTGAGCTAAAACAAGGTATTGTTACTTGTATATTGATACATGTGAATAAAACACGGTCGAATGTACGATTCCGACTATATCAAGAGCATGTGTTCATGAATCAGTGTCACATAGTGATGATAAAAGCTGCCCCACATATGCCACCCGTCACAAACACATGCAAAGGCAAGTCAAAAAAGGAAATTGCATCGGACATAAGTTTTGTCACTGATGCGTCAAGTTCGGAAATGTCCACCACATGTCTACCATAAAGCTTTTTGAAGGCTTTATTGAGGCCTTGAATGTTGTAACCTTGATCAAACAACTTCTCGGGAAGAGTTGTATGAGGCTCTTGGTAGAAAGAGCATGCTCGATTGTATCTCAACAGTTGTAAAATGTAAACACCAAAGGCTGCAGCTTCGGGAATATTGCTCGACATTAAGGGAAAGTTGACTACTGGAAAGTTGAAACACTCTTGTCATGCAGTCGTTTTGTGAATGTTATTGTATATGCATATAGGAATTGATGTTTGTTCCGGAAGCAATACACGCTTAAAAAAACCCGCACAGGTAGTATGTAGTTCATTGAACCTGTCTACACAAAAATCCGGTATATAAATTTGATATATGTTATTGGAAAATGTTGGTTGCCTGATATTCGACGAACGGTGCGTCAAAACGCAGCCATTGTCGATTTGCAATGCCTTAAACGGCATTGTTTTCACACTTGTTAAAAAATGTCATGGAGGAAAACAGTAAAGCAAAATGCACGAGCAAGTGATGGCATTCGCAACGCGTGGTAGTGGCTATAGATAGGCAAGCATAAGCCAATAATTTGTCATTCAATTGTCAACATTTTTCAAGTTTCGAAAATGCCGAGTCCCAGTGCTGCCGATCGGAACATCGCCATGGGACGTATCCAAAGAGGGGAATCGCAGTCTTCTGTTGCACGCCACTTCAACGTCCACCACAGCACCATTTGCCGCCTTTGCCCTTCATAATAAAGAGTGAGTGAGTGAGTGTGGTTTTACCCCGCTTTTAGCAATATTCCAGCAATTTCACGGCGGGGGACACCACAAATGGGCTTCATGGTACCCATGTCGGGAATCGAACCCGGGTCTTCGGCGTGACGAGCGAACGCTTTAACCACTAGGCTACCCGCCCGCCCCTCATAATAAAGAAGTTGACATCCATACATTCTCTTCCTTAATGTATTTCTTTAAGTAGTAAGTTGAAAATGCCAGCAAAAGATAACAATCAGTCTTGACTATTTTCCCAAACTCATCTCAAACCAACCAAACCAAACCAGCATCCCGTGTTCTCCGGAGTTCCGGTTTTAGTCCCCAAATGGTTAACTGTTTTAAGTGCATCCTTGTTATCTCCTACACGGATACTACTTGGTATAACTTGTATCGGCGCAAACCATACTCACTCACTTATTTCCCAATTACCCAGGGACCAAATTTATAAATTGTATTTGTTGTTAGAGCAGCAATCGACAATATTTCACTTTATTACAGCCACTTGTAGAAAATCGTTCGTTCGTTCGTTCGTTCGTGAGTGAGTTGGGTTTAACGCCGCTTTTAACAGTATTCCAGTTATAACACGGCGTGTCAGCTTAATGTGGGAGGAAAGCCCGAAGTGATGTAGGTCTCTGACGTTTACCACTTCGTTGAAACCCACGAGCACGGGTATGGTGCTGACAAACCTAGAAACATAATAGGGGCGGACCGGGATTCGAACCCACAATCATAGGTTTCTGGTGTGCCCAAGGGACGCAACTCTGCACAGCAAATCGCGGCGCCTTAGACCACTAGGCCACCCGTGCCCCCTGCAGAAAGTCGAGTCAGGGTAATATCAATATATTCAACAAACAAAGCCATTTCATAATTTATTTTTGATATGTGTCAAGCATATGTATGTCCTTGCAAGGACATTGGATATACGCTATCCTCCACTTTCAGCACCGATTCCATACTGAAACCGCGCAAAGACGTCATATCACGTTCTCCGAGTGTCCCTAGGTTGACACTTGAAATCTGTTAACCAGACGGTCTCGCTATCCGAGCAGCACTTCGGGTGTACCGATACACAGTTTACAAGTTCCGCCATCACGAACTCGCACAGTCGCTCACTGGGATGAGACAGGGATCAATTTACTGAGCCACTGCGTTGAGACTTGCCTGCGCCGTCGGTGAGATGTCGACTGCAAGATCAGAAATACACATTAAATAAGACATTTATGACGGATATTTCATATCATTATTATTCACGCAATAGTTTTTGATATATCTCACAATGGTCATTTGTGTCATTGTTTAGTCACTGTGAAGTACCCTATATTTGGAGTGAGTGAGTTGGGTTTAACGCCGTTTTTAACAGTATTCCAGTTATATCACGGCGTGTCAGTTTAATGTGGGAGGAAAGCCCGAAGTGATTCAGGTCTCTGACGTTTACCACTTCGGTGAAACCCACGAGCACGGGTATGGTGCTGACGAACCTAGAAACATAATCGGGGCGAACCGGGATTCGAACCCACAATCATAGGTTTCTGGCGTGCCCAAGGGCGCAACTTTGCACAGCGAATCGCGACGCCTTAGACGACTGGGCCACATCTATATTTGGAGCCGAATGTAGTCTGGTGATTGAAGCGCTTTCTCGTTACGCCCAAGACCCGGGTTCGATTCCCCACATGGGTTCATTGTAGGAAGCCCATTTCTGTCCCCCCATTTAATTTAATTTTTTTTATTTATTATTATTTAAAAAAAGAAGATTGGGGGGGGGGGGGGGGGGTGTTATTGTACGCAGATACGCAGATAATCTGTAGCTCTGGATCAGTTATTGTGATATTTTGCGGCGTAATGACGCATAAATGTGTTTAGGTTGTATGGCAAAACATGAATCTTCAACAATTCAACTTGGTTGCTTAGGTCCCAGATATCTTCAGCGTGATATTGTGACGTTTTAGACATTTTACTTGGTAAAGGAAATAATGTCGTATTCAAAGAGCCAAGAGCTACACAGGATCTGCGATTATAGGGACCAGCGATTATGATTATAGGGACCAGCGATTAAGATTATAGGGACCAGCGATTATGATTATAGGGACCAGCGATTATGATTATAGGGACCAGCGATTAAGATTATAGGGATCAGCGATAGATAATGTGTAACTTCTAGTTTCGAGTTTTCTAACAGGGAGAATATAGGAAACTTCATAAACTGTCTACCCTTCAAAGAACAATTACTAAAGTCAAGCTATTCGCATGAACGCAACGGCATCAATATTAGAGACCTCGTGAACAATGTTTTGTTTGTTTGATTGTTGTTTGACGCCGCACTCAGCAATATTCAAACTACATGACGCAGGTCTATAAATAACCAGACCAGACAATCCTGTGATTGACATCATGAGCATCGATCAACGCAATTGGGATCAATGACATGCATCAAGCAAGTCAGCGAGCCTGACCACCCGATCCCGTTAGTCGCCTTTTTCGACAAGCATAGTTGCCTTTTACGGCAAGCATGGGTTGCTGAAGACCTATTCTATCCCGGAATCACGGGTCTATATTGCCGTGGTAGTACGGCGTACAGGGTACAAGCTGCCAATGGAGCCAGACTCACCGAGCCATTAAGTCGTCACTTTGGACAAGCAAACGTTTGCTGGTGACCAATTCACGGTTCACCTCATGTGGGCATCATCAGTTTGTGTTGGTTTCAGTCCCTACTTTGAAGGGAACGAACCACCCGCTCGACTTACCTGGTCCGGGGCAGCACATGCCAAGTGTCATCGCCGGTGTAATTCCAACTTCCTGGCACTGGAAGGGAAGTAACTGCTCCCTCAACTCTGACAGTTCTGCTCCAGCCATTTCCCTCATCATCATGCCCCTTCCCATCATGCCCATTGCACCCATCCCACCCATTCTACCCATGCCACCCATCCCACCCCTCCCGCCCATCATGCCCATAAACCCACCCAGACCTGACATTGGGTTCTGAGAGCTACCCCCACCCATACCGCCCATACCGCCTCCCATACCACCCATACCACCTCCCATACCACCCATACCACCCATACCGCCTCCCATACCACCCATACCGCCTCCCATACCACCTCCCATACCACCACCCATACCGCCTCCCATTCCACCTCCCATACCACCCATACCGCCTCTCATACCACCCATTCCTCCCATACCGCTTCCCATACCACCCATACCGCTTCCCATACCACCCATAGGGCCTCCCATACCACCCATACCACCTCCCATACCACCCATACCACCTCCCATACCACCCATTCCACCTCCCATACCACCCATTCTACCCATATTACCATTCATACCACCCATCCCAACGTTAGGACTACCACCCATGTTTTGAGTCATGGCGGTGAAGGGGTTAAGATTGTTCAGAAACTGAAGAATCTGCTGCTGGCTCTGCCCAATAAAGCGATTGGTGATCAGAGTGTTCGGGTGTTTCTTAAAGTTAACAAGCTGACAGGTGTTATTGGCTGCGGCACTGCACCCCCGGGAGAACTGGCCCGCCGCCGCGAACCGCATCATATTAGGGGTGTGTTTCATGGCCTCAACGCAGCCGAAGTTGCTCTTGTAGTAGCTGATGAGGTTGGACATGAGGTTCTGCTTTCCTTTCAGTTCCATCTGGGCAAACGCCGGATTGGCCATGGGAGGACTCTGTGCTTGTTGCTGCCGTTGTCGTTGTTGCTGCATGTTATTGAAATGGGCGAGTGGTCCTCCAAAACCAGCATTGAAACCCATAGGCTTAGAGTAAGGATTGAACTGCTGGGGCCATCGGTTCTGTTGTCGTGGCTGGATCATGTTATATGGACTCTGCATATTTTGTGGCCATTGACGTTGCTGAAATTGGTTGAAAGGACTTGAACTGGGCCCAAAGGAACCCGAATTGCCGCCAAAAGGATTCGAATTGGCTCCAAATGGTCTTGAAGGGGAGCCAGGGTTTCCAGATGAAGAAAATTGGTTTGCTATTTGTTGGAAAGCGCTCTTCATGTTTTGGGCATATGGATTCGGGAGTTTGAAGGGGGTCTGAGAAAACATTTGATTGTTTGGTTGGGGTCCATTCATAGATGACACGGTTCCCTGTGCACCACCGGCTGCTGATGGTGAGGGAGTGCCTGTTGAGGAAGAATGGCATCAGTGGTTATATTGACTTACATAGGAGCTGCTTCTGATTGGTTGGTTTGTTGTTTTACGCCGCACTCAGCAATATTCCAGCTATATGACGGCGGTCTGTAGATAATCGAATCTGGACCAGACAATCCAGTGATTAATATCATGAGCATCGATCCACGCAATTGGGATCGATTACATGAATCAACCAAGTCAGCGAGCCTGACCACCCGATCCCGTTAATCGCCTTTTACGACAAGCATAGTCACCTTTTACGGCTTCTGATTGGATTACGAGCAAGGGCCTTCGAACAGTACGTTTATTGAGACATATAGAATTCATTATTTGTTCGATTCAAGAGGGAAGAACCTGAAGGTTCATTCAAATGGTTTCGGAATAAATTGTGTCAGGTTAAGGGTTTTTATCATCCAAAACTAGCTTCCAGCGGAGATATCGCATGGGGGAGATCAAGCCATATATGCGTGGATATATTCCTGCAATGAAATTGTATCACAAAGTTTTTCGGACCATTGTGACGTCATTTTATTACATCACTCATCTCTTAACCTCTGAAGCTGGTTTGCTGTACCTTTTAAACTCAGGACACTGGCTGTTACTGTATACAAACTGCATAAGTTGGAAGACAGATTTTTGGAGGATAAATAGAATCTTATCCTCGGGTGTGACCCGTCGATACAAGTTTAAACCTCGTCAACAAGCCTTCGAGTTTTAAACTTTTGTGTTGATGTGTTTGATGTCGAAAGGCACTCACGTCAGAGTCTCAATTTATCAAGGAAGATAATTTATGGATGTCAACTTCTTTATTATGAGGAACACAACGTTTCGGAGTATATACTTACTCCTTTATCAGGCCAACTTCTTTATTATGAGGAACACAACGTTTCGGAGTGTATTCTTAGGCCTTCATCAGGTGATGAAGGAGTAAGCATATACTCCGAAACGTTGTGTTCCTCATAATTAAGAAGTTGACATCCATAAATTCTCTTCCTTATGTGTATCACTTCTAAATGCCTTTCAAATGCCTCAATTTATTAGATAGTTTGTTTCAAAACAAAGGACATGGGATGTTTCAGAATACATGATGTAAATAAAAAACACAGTTGTATAAGATGAACTTGGAAAGATCAAAGTCACGTGACGAGTCCACATCTTATCTCTCCCACTCACCTGTTAGCCCGTGTTTCATAAACTTTGGCGTGTTTGTCCACGTAGCTACTTATTATCGATGAAAAAAATGGTATGTGGATATTCACCTTGGATATTTGTAAGAACATTGTTTTTAACTTGTATTTGTTTCAACGTATGCCTTCTATACGTGACCCGTCAATAACCCTGAATTCATAAGTTGTATTTTGTAAT